CTAAGTATCTAATACAGTAGATTTTCTGTGTGATATTTGCAGCTTCTCAACATAGCACTTATTTAAGTAGGAGATTAATGTTCTGTGTGTTTGACCTTTGTAAATGCTAATCTACAGCTAGGATCCCTCCATAATGATTAAAATCTATGGAGTCAAACTGCTGTAGTGTAACAGATAGAAATTGTCCTATTGTAGCAACATGAACTTTGCTGAACAAAGCAGATTTTGTACTACAGACTGCAGTTTATCATGCTGCAGTGTTTCAGCTGTCAAATGGTTGCAGAATTGTGGAACATCTGTGACATGCTTTAAAAGCATTGCAATTCACTTGTACGTTGTATACGTGTGGGTGAGGGGGGAAATTAATTAAGTTTGATTCTTTAGCTAATTGATAAATCATTGAGCTGCTCAAATTATATCTACTATAATAGAAAATGAATGTAAAACTATATTTGAAGCTGAATAATTATCAAACCAATTGGTTAAAAGTGGTCCTGTTTTTAGTTCAATTCTCCCAGACAGTGATCTTGCCGGTTTTAGCCTTTGGCTGTGGTTGACATCAGGCACCGCGGCATTTTTGCGAAAGGCTTTATTCTGTAGAAAAAGACAACTAGTTCATGATATTCCGTATTAAATTAGTTGGTGGCAAAAAAGCCCTAGTGTAAATTGTCTCTGAAATATCCTTTGAACACTAAGACATTTTTTATTCTAGCCCTGTAACTTTAACCTTGCAGCATAAAAGAAACCACTAGATGCTGTAATGAGAACACTGTTGGAAGGATGAGATCAAATGATCTGAAGGACCTTCTTCATCTCAGCCTTCTTATGATCTTGTGAAAAAGCAGCTGCCAGCAATTTTAATCTACAAGAAAGGTGAAAGGTTCTGCAAAGAGTCAGTGGTGATGCAGGAAGAGATGAAAATAAAAGTCCAAAAATAACTCATGGCTTTGTTGTTTTGCAAGTAATATGGATAGTCCTGCTAGATCCTTGCAAACCATTTTCGACTGTAATGCTGAAAGTATATTACATTTAATTTGGGGAATAAATTTGCAATTTTACTCCAAGGCATTTTTGAGGGCTGAAAAGCTTTCTCATTGCCAGCATTTCAAAGCATTTCCAGCATTATTTAGGCTTAATTATATGTGATTAAGTGTCGTTGTTGTTGATTTAATATGTCTGGCACACAAGTGCGCAATGTACATTTATGGGAGGCATTGGTATGGAGTTGTCACACATGGGCCAGTATATATGTCCCAAACCTCTGTGTCCTGCAGGTGCCTTTAAGAGCCCATTGAAACAAAGGCAAATGGACCAATTTGACTTATTCCTCATGTACAAACTTCTCAGAACAGTTGCCAAAGTGAGGGTTAAGCTGCTCCATAAAGGAAAGCCAGGCTTAGGACAAAGAGACACTTTATTTCTTCTACGTCATACTTTCATGCTGGTAACGCTGTAAGACTTGCATGAAAACTGAGAGGGGAAATAGATTGGGAATTTGAATGAATGGACTTTCTTCACTATCTGAAAAATTGTGATGTCTTGTTTGAAATATGTTAAGACTTTGCTGGTCCAACAAACCAGCCTCACCCTGACTTCCTTCTCTGTGTGAACAATGGCAGCATTTAAAAGAGGTTGGCTGAATGGACAATGCATAGGGAGAAATCTGAAATACCGGGAAGGAGAAATCTTAGTATTCCTGAAACAGCTCAATCTTTTGACTCACTAGCCTACCCCTTGCATGGATGCTATGGCTAAGTAACTTGTTGGTCTGCCTAATTACTGCTGTGTGGTTCTGGCATCGCATGCAAAACAAGTGCTATAACCACTAGGCTACAGGACTGTACGTTAATAAAAAGAAAGGACCAGGGATCATAAACTCGATTCTCTGACGTGCTAAGAGTCAATGGAGCTTGACGAGTAAGGGCTGTAAAGAGCTTCTTTGTGTAAGGGAGAACTAACTCAGTCTGCAGATTGCTGGATCAGTTGAGGTCTCTGAAGAGTGAAGTAAGCATCAGAAACCCTTCAGCAGTTGCAGACTTCACTGCAGAACTGTCCCAGATTAGTTCATTATAGGCTTTGTAGATTTATTTAGGCAACGAAACATTCAAGCGAAGCTTTTCACTCTTTGTCACAGTTTGGTAAAGAGTTTAGGTGTAACATCTAATATATTGTACACTTATAATGGGAATTACATATGTCATAAAAGTTTCTACACTTAGTGCCGAGAGAAATATTTTGCTAGTTAAGTCTCTTCATATACTATATTGTGAGGAGAATTAATCATTGTTGTTCCAGGGTTCTTTTCTTTGAAACCAAAAAATAATATTTCTTTCACAGGACTAATTCTAATCATATCTACCCTCATATGAGTTCCGTAAAAGAAACAGTTCAAAATATTTGTCTAAATTAAATGCTTTTCCTTAGCTACCTATACTGTGAAGGATCTTTGCTGGATGCAATTGCTAGCTCAATGAATGAATATAAAATATTGTAAGATATTTGCAGCTTCAGCATTCATGTGGTGTTTAGTCCACATGTGGAGTCCTGTATCTCAGTGGTTAGAGCACTCGCTTTGTAAGTGAGAGACCCGAATTCAATTCCAGGCAGAGGGCGAAACCTTGGGCAAGTTTCCTTACTCCACACGACTAATAATAATCCCTCCAAAACCAAAAACAATAATAAATTGGTCATTTTCAATCTACGACTGTTTGTGGGACATTGCTGTGCGCAATTGGTTGCCGCGTTCGCCCACAAATATGCAGTCAATTCACTTTACTTTATATTCTGTGAAGCGCTTTGGGACATCTAGAAGATGTGAAAACGCTATATCAAATGCAAGTATTATTATTTAGTTAATGCAATTGTATAAAATCATATCTAATCTGCATTTCCTTCCCTATCTTGTTTTCTTTATTCTAGCAATAGTTTATTGATTTTGGTGTCAACCAGCTCAGTTGCCAGGCTGAGACAGAAGGTTATGTGTTCAAGCCCCACTTCGGGACTTGGAGCTCATAGTCTAGGCTGGCACTCCTGTACATTGCTGGGTGTGCACTACATTGTTGGACGTGCAGTCTTCTGTGTTAAAGTGTTAAACTGATGTTTGGTTTGCTGTTCAACTGGACATTAAAGATCACATGGCAATTGAAAAGAGAAGGGAGTTTCTCAAGTTACCCTGGTCAACAATCCTCCATGTAAAATTAATCATTCACTTTGTGGGTGTTTGTGGGACATTGCTATTTGTGCAAATTGACTGCCATTTGGGCTATAAAATACAATCGCTGCACTTTAAACTAAACCATGTGAAGTGGTTGAGACATTTCAATGATGTGATAAGGTGCTATATCACAAGCAAAGATTATTATTATTTAATACCATTATAGTTGTACTTATTTAAGTTTCTGAAAACAATCTTAAATCTATAAAGAATATAAATGCATCTTGAATGTAAAGATTCTTAGTACAAAGTACAGGGGGTCTTCAATTTCTTTTCTTTGGCTCTATTTAAAACAAAGTTGCCAAATTTCCTTAATGATGAGGGCAATAGTAAATCTTACTGCCTAATGTTATGATTATGTTAATGTCAACAATACTGGCATGTAGCAGTTCCTTGTGCAAATCTATCATTCAGCATGACTCATCCTCAATTACCGTATATTGAAATAAATAGTGCATGAAACAGTTTGGCTATGAGTACTGCCAATCATTCATGATTTTAGAGTCTTAAGTACTGTTATTATACCTAGCTTACCAAGATTGGGTGGGGAGTAAGTGGGATCTCCTTAGAGCTGAACTGGTTCCAAGGTGACATGTCTCCAGTGGAATGTGGCAGTCTTGGTAGTTCAGTTCCTGACCCAGACAGGTCCGCAGGATTCTAGGGCCCTGTTGATGACAGGACAGCCTAGATCATAGGCAGGACCTGGAAGGGCAGATCAGTCACTGAGGGTACGGAGTCATCACACTCAGCTCCTGTTAACCCTACAAGCCAAAGCCTATAAATATAATTTTTTTTGTTGTTAGCAGGTAGGGTGGTCCTAGCTGGACAAGCAGTGGGAAAGCTTGCTGTACAGCAATATCAATGGCAAGCTATGCGGTGTTAGCTGGTTAGACTCCAGCAGTACCCCAACGCACACTCTGGGGTCCCCAAGCCTTAAATCTTGCAAACCTGCACCTAATACTTTACAGAATTAGGTAAGCAGGATACGTCCCCCCAGGAGACAGTGCACATTCTATTCCAACAATCTATCTCTGGGATTTCCATGTATAGGTGGGATGCATGGAAATTTCAGCTTGGTTTGGATACATGGTGATGAGTTTCTGCATCTATCAGACACCCGTGCGACCAAAAAAAGAAGAAAGGCTTTGATCCTAGTGATAGTGAAGCATTTTAAAGCCAACAAGTAATTTAACCATAAGCAGTCAAACATCTGACCATTCCACCAGTACAGAATTTACACGCAAGAGAGAGATGTAATGAATTAACTTCATTGAGAAGCTGATTAGTTGCCTTCGGTCACCCTCCTCCCCCCCCCCCCCCCCGCTCTCTACCCTCCCCAATCCTGACCCCCAGCTCGGGTTCAAAACACTGGTTGTCCAGCACCTTGGGACGTCCTCCTGACGTGATAGGCACTATACAAATGTAATTTTGTTGTTGTAGTTTATGAACTGTGATGATTAATGTTGAACCAGAAAACAGCATGGTTCAACTTCTAACACTGCAGTGATGAAACTGCCAGTCATGATAACTTTTCTACAGAGAGACCGGTATTATTGTTATTAACAGTTTTAGTGTCTAAGTATAATATTGATTCTGAAAGCAACTCAATACCTGAGCAAACTGTTTGCCACTATTAAGAATTAAAACATCAAATCAGAATCAAATCATGGATGTGAACTGTTAAACAATGATGATCTTGATCTGTATCAACGTAGAGTTGGTTGGAATATAAATCACTTTGGCATATTTTAATATGCACATTTTGCTCTCTCTTTTCTGTTTCCAGGGTGATATCCAGCAGCTGTTGATTGTATCTGACCCCAGGGCAGCCTATGACTACTGTGAACACTACAGTCCAGACTGTGACGTTCCCCTCCCCAATGTTCCACAGGCTCAGGACCCTCAAGTTGATAAGGTCAGTACTAATTCAAATGCAAAGAAATTCTTAACACCTTGGAATCTAGGTGTGCAATATGTTACACAACCAAATAGGCAATAGGAAATACAATATTATTTGGCTTTAAATATATACTTTAGTATAAAAACTATATTAAAACAAATTGCTAAAACAACTCACAATATCTCTAGCGAGCAACGAATGTGTTTGCTTCAAACGTTCAGTAACAAAAACTATATCATGACTGTCAACCAAGGAAAAAGGTGTTGCGCATGTGGAAATGCTCAACCTGATCACTTTTCATGATGTATTTTAAGAAAAGATTTTCAGGGCGAATTGTCTGAGAATGTAGAGGTATATTTCAAATTGGTATGATAGAAGCAGCTATAATTTCCCCCTCCCTGCATCTTAGAATATTAAGAATCAACTGAAATTTAATCTTGAAAAGGTAGATGCAAATGTCAAGAAAACATTTCTTCTTTTACCTGGTGTCCGTAGACTGTTCCAAACTACTCATTGCCTATTCATTTATAAAACAGATTGTGTACCATTGAATTATATACAGTTATAACTGATTATGACTTTAAGGTATGGTTCTTCTCTCTTTTGTTTCTCATGCATATTTCATGGATGAAGCTTTTCAACAGCACTGTTTCTGCATGGTGAGCTTTATGTACAGACATTAACACTCGGTTGCATTGTGTTACCAGCTGCAATAGTTTGAGAGAGTATGGGAATGTACATTGACCAACCATCTTGCTCTCTATGTGGTTATTGTTTTACCTGCTTTGTGTTTTGATTCTGTTTCATGTGCCAGTCTCAGCATTGCTGTGACACTTGTGTCTTCACTGAGGATTTTGCACAGCAGTTGAGAGCAAACATGATTTTCTAAACTCAAAGGTTGCCTAGTCCAATATCCAACTGATACAATTTTTTAAATTATAATTTCAGTTAAAGGCAAAATGCAGATCAAAGGTGAATGGCAGTTTCTCTTGGAGTTGTCCAGTGATGAGCATTTGAAGATATTTACGTTTTGAAATTGCAAGGCTAAATATTTTTAAGGAATAAATCTATCTTAAATTTAGGGAGATCAGTGCACGAAATCTACAAGGTTAACAGCAGCACAAGCACAAGCTTGCTACCAGTGATCAAAATCTATTGGGTGCTCCAGAGGTGCACAGCTCTATTTTGTAAAGCTGATAAAATACGTACCGTATATTTGAATTATACAAACTGGGCTAATATATGTGACATCACTGTAAATAGGCTAGAGTTTATTTATTATGTTTTCATCACAAGCATTCAGATCCATAATGAATGTTTTTAGAAACCATCTTTCAAGAATATAAGGCTGGAATTTTACACAGCAAATAGCAGCAAGGAATAGTTGAAATGGAGAAAAACCCTTCTGTTTAGTTCACTCGCAAATGGGAGTCACATCTCATGAAGCTACCTCATGTCCAGTACTCTCTTCTGCTGTGCAAAATTTATAGGCTGCAATAATCATTTTGTTTGGTACTCTTGTGATGATCAGTTTCTGGAGTTTCTGGCACAGCCTCCTTTCCGCAGCAGTTGTTCTGCATGCCGTCAAATAAATCGCACTCATGCATGATAGTTGTTTGCACCTCTGTTTGTTTCTCTTCACTTGCCAGGAGTAGCAACAGTATTTCATTCACAATTTATTTATCCTCTAGAGTTTTACAGGCATGTGTTTGGCTTCATTTAACCCCAGCATACATTTGCTTCTGGGCTGCTTTTTTTCTTTCAAACAGCTTATGGAAACCAGCCAGCCAGCTTATCAGCTTCAGGGCCTTATTAGCCAAGCAGCTGTGATGGAGCTGACACTTAACAACTTTGATGAGCACTGTAATAGCGAGATCAGTCAGTTAACTGCATTAAATGAGCTTAATTAGATTTCAGTACCACTGTAAGGAATTTTTGTTCTTATGCAATTCGTCAAATAAATGCATGATCTAAAGAATCAATGATCTTACTAATACTGCAGAGATTTTTTTTCTTATTTAAGTTTCTCTATTCAACCCAGAACTTAATAAGATCACAGTTCAACCGTTTTTATATGAAGGTTACAAAGGTCACCAATGTTTAACTTTCTCACTTTTTGCAGGCAAAGAGAAATGCCTGCAATTCTACAGAATGTTCACTTTGTCACCACATAGGGCATAGGTTAAAATAGAGTGTTCCTCCATTTTGCTACAGTGAGTTATCACAGTAGCAGCAGTTTTGGAGTTGGCTTGTGGTGAAACCATAATTGGGGCTCGTTCTTTAGTCAGTTAAATTAAATTGCAAGAAATACATAATGAGATTGGATATGATGGATCCTTTTTGTTCCTTTTCAATCACGCGTGTTATACTATGAATCGTACATGTTGGGAGACCAGGGATTTTCGCTGGTCGTGAATCATTAGGCACAAAGCAATAAAGTTGGCTTAAGAGAGCCAGTAAGTGAAGCTATGGAGCTTTGTAACAAAAAGGTTTCCTGCTCTGAGCCTATCAGTGGCTCAAATGGAGGTTGTAAAAGCTCTGGCAGGTGAACTGTCCAACTTTCTGTCCTGCTTCTGTGCTACAATATTTATTGTCATTCGATGACTGTAAAGTTTCAAAAGATTTATTACATAATTATATTTTTGAAATACTTAAGAGTATGAACACATAGTTTGAGTCATGGTAACTGGGCAGAAAGCCTCCGATTTAGATATTGGTGGTAGGGGAGCTGCACTTGACCGTAAAGGCTTCTCGTTTGGGAGCTACTGGAATGAGCTTTGGAGCAGGGGTGACACTAGAGATTTTTCCAGGAAATAAACAGATGCTTCAGTGTTGTTGAAGCCTGAGTTGAGCAAGTGTTTCATATGGGTGTTTGCAAAAACAACTGAGAATTAATTGTCACTTACAGAATCTCTAAATAAGAACATAAACAGCCTGGACAGTGGAAAAAGGTCACCTAGCTCATTAAATCCACTGCTTCCACAGACACTGATGTTTATCATGAACATTTCAATCGCTGTACGTCTCAGTGTAAAGTTATGTTTAAATACTTTCTTATGAAAGTTAGACCCTTATGACTTGATTTTATTTGCATTTTTTATTGCATTATTTTGATTCCGAAATCCAGTAATTGGGAATTTAGCATACATTGGTGAACTAGACGAACACTTCAAAATCAGTATGCATTCTTACACCTCCATTATCGAACCCTTGCCTGTTTATGGCTCCAGTATATAATATCTTCTCATAACGTGCACTAAAATCCCCATTTTTTAAATGTTCAGATCTTCTTAAATGTTTTTTATATTAGTTGTACTATTTATCTCCCCTTCACGGTTTTGAATCAGCAGTAAATGTTTAAACATCACAAGAAGAACTCTGCAACTAGTGAATAGAGTACAAAGCAATGAATCAGAACAGACCTGTTCAGAACTCTGCAGTAATTGTTTCCATGTGGAGCTTTTTTCATTCATCATCATTTATTGTTTAGCCTATTTTCATTCCAACCAGCAATGTATGAACCTTTTCCTGGAAAAATGTCAGGTTATCAGGACAAAGCCCACATTCCCTCCACTTTATTTCACTTGTTTATTTTATTGCATTATTTCAATCTCGAAATAAGGAAATTGGGAATTTAGCATACATTGGTGACCTGATGAAAACATGCTCTATTTGTATTGTCTGGACATATTTTCATTGCCTTCAAGTCTGTGAAAAGGTTGAGACTGTTCAGCCAAAGCCGTCAATTGTTTTGTGCTGCAACTAACATAACTGTGGTTGAATTTTCCTTCGCAATTTAGTTCTACTCTACAGAAGAAATACTGGACTATGACTATAATTATAGTGACGGAGACCTTGTAGAGTATGACTATAGCCCAACAGAGGAAAGCACAACCATCGAAGAGGCAGGAATCCAAACAGAGGTAAAACAAAATCCAAAAACTCCAAGATGGTCTTTGTCCCTTTGTCAGTGTGGTCTTGAGCTATGTCATCCTGTCTGTCAATCGTTTGCCATCTCATCACATTTACCATTCTCTGTTTCTCAAATGCATTGCTCTGCAAAGCTTCCATTTTCTTGTTTTAGCCTGGAAGATCTGAAGACTTTGGGATGCAGCTTATACTCTTTCTACCTCCCCTCCCCTCTTCACCTCCCCTCCCTTCTTTTACCCTCCTCCCATCCCTTTGTTCGAGCTTCTACCATTTTCCTTTCATTTTATTCATGTTTTCCATTCCATCTTTCACCACATTTTTCAGAAAAAGAAACCCATTTCACTCATCAAAAAGAAGAAGAATGCGTTGCCCACTAAAACTAAGAACAAACCGATAAAGGTCACTTTCAAAAAATCAGAAAAAAATAAACCGAAGAAGAAGAAGGTGTCTGGGTACCAAGAGGCTTCAAAAGACAAGCTAGGGGCAAAGGTAGCAAAAGTGATCAAGATCTTCCCTAGACCAAGACAGGAAGATCTCTGATGATAGACATGAATGACCCCTAACCCTATCACTTCTAATCATCTGTGTCTATGTGTGCTGACTAACAATGATTCATCTCCTGCAGAATATTCACTTAACTAAATGATTTTTTAAAAATTATTATTCCAAATTGAATTTAGGCAGTAAATAACGTCCTACCCGAAGTGACTACAGAAGATTATGTTCCGGGTGAAAACTATTATGAAATCATTGAGGAAACACCAAGACCCTCAGTCTCAGCAGGAGTTAATGAGGTAATAAGATTGCACTAACAAGACTTAGTAAATGTTTGTTCTATAACACTCTGATAGTCTGACCCCACTCCAGTGGGGTAATGTTTCAGATCAGTCTTGTGTTAATAGTCACATACCTTAACTGTTTTTGACTGCCTCTAAGATTCACCATTTACCAGGGTAAGAATTCTGAATTTTATTATCAATACGTGAACATTTTGGTGAACCTTTTGTCCTTTTAGAGCTGAGATCTCAATACATATAGTGTGTGAGCCAGCTTCATCCGACGGCTTGCCTTTGACGACTGCCTGAGCTGGGAATTTACTGTAGACGTCAGCGGTAAACAAAAATGCTTTGAAGCTATTAAATCACCTAAATATCTAGTTTGAAAAATCAATCATGCATTATTTTTTCCATGGCTTAATTATGCTTTTGAGTTTAAACTGCAGATAGCTGATGTAACCAAGCCATTATCTTTTGTGCAAGTGCACATTTAATTTTTAAAGCTTTTTTTTCACAAACTGCATTCATCATATTGGATTTTGTGAGCAACAAATTTGTTAATTTGTTTTATGAAAATCCATTTATTGTGCATTCATTTTACTGTTTTGCTTATTTAATTTAACATAATGATGTACTTAAGTTGTATTATTGCAAAAGGCAATGTCAGGTCATGATGGAATTTCTGAACTTTATTTGACTTTATTTGATTTAGTACTACAATGATTTGGGTACGGCTTAGTGGTACATTAGACCACTAAGCCATACCAACCAATAAGTTGCAGGATTGATGCCTGATCTGGACCAAGTTAGTTAGCAGGGAACAGAGATTGGGATAGGGACAGTATTTAGGACACTACAATTGCCGTTAGATTAAGCAAGAAGAAAAAGTCAGTCAGGATTTGCACTGTCCAGCGACCAGTGTGAATGTGAAATTTAAGTGAGAACAGAATTGATGTCAGCATTGATTTCACGCATTGGTGAACAAGCTTATTGATACTCACTAGATTTGGGAGGACGTCCCAAAGCGCTGAACAGTTAAGTGTTGGGGCCTGAGCATGGGGGAGGGGGGGTTGTGTAGGGGTGAGGGAAGGCAGAGAGGTGGGAGGGAAACCAAAGGCACGGTCGAAGAGAAAGGTCTTGAGACCGACCTTGAAGGAGGCAGCCCTTCAGAATAGAGCTGACAAGGGAAAAAAATTCTAAATTTTTTTAATGTATTTATGAATCTGAAAAATTGAGGATAATTTTTGTGAGCTGTTTTTCTTCAAAAGGCAACTTAAATCAAATAACACACATGAAAATTAGGAATTCCAAGTCAGACATTGCCTCCATGCTGAGAAATGCTTGCAAAGGTTGACCAGAGGGTACATTTATATTGGGGAAAGATGGTCTTGGTACTACATTAATAACACATTCTGCAGCAATCAACCATTGCTCCCATTTATTCCTTTTATTTTTGGATCAGTTGGATATTTGCATTTAAGCTGCACAACAATTTTCAAAACAAAAATATCCAACTTGATGATTCATGTAACTGGTGTAACAATAAATATTGTGAGTGATTGGGATCTGATTTCATTCATATGGATGAAACAGAACCAATTAGATCAAATCTGAAAATGAGACATGGTGGCATTTTCAGTCTCTCTGGCTTTTTTTTGCAAAGCAAGCATATTGTAGCCATGAGCCAAAGCTTCACTAACACAATCCTCATATCCTTCCTGTTTTCTCAATGCTCTGCTCTTCACATCGCTAATGTAAGAATGTTGAAGAAGAATATAAAGAAGAATCCCTGACTGGAGAGGATTATGATATTGACAAAAAAGAAATTGAGGAAAAGAAACAGGATGCCAAAGAATATGGTGTCGATGAATATGAATTCAAAGAATATGATGTCAGCGAACATGACCTCAGAGAATATGATCCAAATGAATATAACGTGAATTATGGAGATGAATATTATTATGAAATTAAAGAATATGAGGATAGTGAATCGACAAGCAATTCTACTGCTCGGGAGTTTGGCCCTGGGGTACCTGCAGAGACTGAGTTTGGTTCCACAGCAGTAAGTCATGTTTTGGAGGGTTTGTACCAATGGGTCCTTTAAATGTTTGCAACACATGTGGTAATGAGTTTTTTTCTGCATCTTGTGCAACTTCTTGTAGCCATCATTTGATGCCTGAGAAGCATGTAGTTCCAGAAGGTAGTACTGCATTCCATTGAGAGCAACTTTTGAAACCGAGAATGTTTTGAAAATGTGCAGTCGAATTTCAGTATAACATCTCCAAGTATTCTGTTTGAGATTCAGACATTAAACTGTCATAACTTTTGAGTGACTATCCCAAAACCGTAACCAAAACAAGGTTAGTGAATAACAGTGGTGGTGTCTAGTGATTAACATCAGTGATTTTGAATCACTATTAGTTTTGATTACGATCTCCTCAGAGAGAAGGCATTCCTGTTCCCAAGTATCATTCTCGGAGAATATTTGTCTCCTTGTCATCACAATTGAAGTTGAATTTATTTCATTTTCAATCAAGAGATTGGTGGGATTGGCTGTTTCTGTACCAAATCACTCTTAAGATGTAAAATTGTGTATTTCAGTTCTGAGGCCAGATTAAAGGAAGTTGGATTTATTTTTACTTAGAACACAAGAGACTTGTGAGGTGACCCATTTCAAATGTTGATTTGAAATATCCAGGTTAATTGCTGAATATAGTGCAGGATACCAGGGCCACACAAAACTCCCAAGTGTTTTTTAAAAAATATGAATTTATAAGCTTTTTCCACCCCAGAAAAGGGTAATAGACTCCCGTGGAATAAGTTACTAGGGAAAAAACACAATCCAACAAAGAGAATGAATGTTTTTACAAGGCATGGTTAGTGAGAGAAATTGAGAAAGACGGTGAGAGCAGAAAGGTGAGGTTGAGATCTATTAAAAAGAGATGGACTCATTCCAGCTAATTCTGACTTTAAAATCATATGTATATATTCTGTGAGATAGAATGGATAAATGTGAGCAAAAGAGTGATGAGCGTGTTATAACCAGCTAACAAGTGAAAATAATAAATGCATTTGACAGGGGAACATTAAGAGTTGTGTTTCTCATACTCAGTGACATTTCAGAAGGCTTTTGTTTTCTTTCTGAAGCCAGAAAGGCCGTTGCAAGTTATCCGATGGGGTCAATAAGTCATTATGACTTAGCAGCTATGGAAACGCAAGCAATAATTCCAGAGCTGTCAGGACACTCTTGTGGGTGATGCTTTCCAGTAAATTCTACCTTTCCAGTAGCACAACACTTCTAATCCATGGGATCTACTTGTTTAGTTGGGGGTTTAATCTTAATTCCACTCAGGACATTAAAATGTCACACTTCACCCAAGGATGAAATCAAATAGTCTCTAATCACATTGAATACAACAATAGCATTTTAAGTTGAGTTCCCCTTGTTTTACTTGAGCAAATCTTTCAAGCGATTCAGAGTCACTTGATCATACATATCATTCAACCATAAGATCCCTATCATTGGCCACAATTTCAAATTCAGAATAACATTTAAAATAATAAATATAATAATCCTTGCATTTGAACCAGATGTGATTGAGACATCTTGAAGCATTTCACAGAATTTTACTGTGAAGTGTAGTGACCTCTCAAAGCCAGTCAGGAACCTCAGCGTTCTGTTCGACCCTGAGCTGTCCTTTCTCCCTCATATCCGCGCCACAACTGACACCGCCTTCCATCACCTCCGTAATGTCGCCAGACTACGGCACTACCTCACCCCTCACGCTGCTGAAACTCTGGTCCATGCCTTTATCACCTCAAGGCTGGACTATGGGAACTCTCTCCTCGTCGGCCTTCCCGGCACCTCCCTCCACAAGCTGCAGGTCATTCAGAACTCTGCAGCTCGTGTATTGTCCCGCACTAGGCTTCGGGACCACATCACTCCCACCCTCGCTCGCCTCCACTGGCTCCCCATCCTCCACAGGATCGATTTCAAGATCCTCATCCTCACCTACAAGGCCATTCACGACCTTGCTCCCTCCTACCTCTCCGATCTACTATCCCCCTATCTACCTGCCCGTACCCTCCGTTCCTCTGGCTCCGGTCTGCTCCACATCCCCCGCCCCAACCGCCCTACCATCGGTGGCCGGGCCTTCAGCCTCACAGCCCCGAGGCTCTGGAACTCTATCCCCCAGTGCCTTCGCCTTGCCTCCTCCCTTTCCTCCTTCAAGGCCGGTCTCAAGACCTTTCTCTTTGACTGTGCCTTCAGCTCCCCTCTCGACTCTCTACTCCCTCCTCACTCCCTCCCCTCACCCTGACCATTTCCCCCCTGCTCGGGTCCTGACCCAACTGTACAGCGCCTTGGGACGTCCTCCCGACGTGAAAGGCGCCCTATAAATGGAATCTTGTTGTTGTTGCATCTGTAGGCAAAAGTGCCAAGCAATTTGCGCACAGCAACTTCCCGCCAACAACCAATATTTAAAATTGAATTACTGTGCAACTCTGAAACCTAACAGTTTGCACAAGAAATAGATCAGAGTCCAGAGGAAAAAAAAGTTGGAGGAAAAAATACCAAAAGTAATATTATAATATATAGTATAAATAATTGAGTAATATCCTCTGCAATTTGTGTTTTTCAAGTGAAATATTTTAATAGACTGGGCAAAGGTGTACTGTGTGCCAGTACATTAATGTTCTAAGTTTTCATAGATAATGGTATGCACTGATAACCTCTTGTGTAGTATAATGTTTGGCTATTTTTGGTTGCAGATACAGTATATTGCTGCACTACAAAAAATGTTTTACCCCTTCTGTTTTTCCATCAATTAAGTATTTCCTGTTTCATTTTTTTAATGTCGTATTCTGCAATTCTGTATAGGGTAGAATGGTTATTGAAACCAAAGAAAGTTTACAGCATAGAAGGAGGCCACTTGTCCCATCGTGATGTTCTGATGCTGGCTCCCCCACTGGAGCTAACCACCGTAATCACATTACTCTGCTCTTTATTCACACTCTTATTATTATTATTACTTATTAGTTATTTTTCTTCAAGTACAGTATTTATTTCCCCTTTTGACAATTTTTGGCTTTAATAGCCATTTGTGCAGAAAAAATTTACATTCAAACATTCCTCAGTGTAAAAAAGCTCCCTTTTTGCTTCTGATAATAATCCTTAATTTATATTCACGATTTAGAAAATTATTATATTTCCCCTTTCTTTTGTTCCATTTAAAAATATTTTTTTAGATGTAGCATTGTGAAATTATAAAATAATTTAAATTAACATGAAAGACTGCTATATTAAATGGAAGTATTATTTACTTAGAAGTGGTTGGTTCAATAGAGCTGGTGTAATTTCAAGTTGTGTGTGTAGACGTACGGGGGACCTTGAGAAAAGCTTCTTTGTACAGATTTGCGTATATAGTGTTAAAACAGCCAAATGTTTACAAAAATCTCTGAAGTTGATATAAATAGCTGAGAAGTTCTGGAACTGGGTGCGGACAGGGTGTAGTGGTTAATTTTGTAAGTAGTGATCATCTGCCACTAAATATACCAATTTGTTCAAACTTATCAATTCACTACACAAGAGTAAAATAGTAGCTTACTTTCACACTTGAATCACACAGTGATTAAATTGGTTAAAACCATATAATCCCTGCACAATTGTAGGTTTTGCTAGTCATTCACCCTCTTTGGTTAAACTTTTTTCTTGCACAAATTAAACACTAGGAATAGAAAGGATTCAACTGGAAACAAAAACAACTCCACGCGCTTACAGTTTAAAGAAGAAGATCTTAAAACCTTCTAACCACTTCAGAATTCTCTCAAAAAAATTACTCTGACCTGTGAAAATAATATATCTTGTAAATTTAGCTGTGTTACGCAACTGGAGCATGTGATAGAGAGGAATATGTGACCTGTCAAAATGTGCTTTTGTTCACTAATTTAAAACAAAGTTATTTCATTTTTGAAACCCTAGGTACATGGGAGTAGATACAGCGGTGAGAAAGGACAGAAGGGCGAGCCTGCTGTTGTTGAACCTGTGAGTATAAAGTGTCATTAAGCTCTGTTAGTACCTGGCATGTGCTAGAAATTCTGCTTGTGTAAGAGACGATTTGAAGGTGGACTTAGATCTGCTCTTGTGTGGGGGAAGTCCGGGTTCTGTGCACTTCTATATGACAAATCTCTTGATATAGGGTAAGCTTTACTCTGCTTGGTCGGGTAAGAGCCATGAATTTGTCTTAATTGGTAACTGAACTGGGGAAACCAGGCTTGGCTTCATTCTTGAAAACAGCAAGGGTTCAATTAGAAGCAGTTCACAAACCATGGCACACAAGCATGTAAATAGTTGCATCCTTTGCAGATTTGAAATCCCATTCCCTTTGATCTCACTAATCATGTTCAATCAGTTCTCTTGCCAACTATAGAGGAATCCTCCTTACTACTCCCACACCCAATGTGGAAAGTCTGGCATTTGTCTCATTCCGTTCCGCAGAAGAACATGCAGAGGAGTCTGCTGGCCTTTTCACACATGTTCTATTGGAAGAAAAAGCATAAACAACAACAACAACAACATGGGAGGGACTGAAGCAGGAATAAAGACTTTGTGTCACTTTGTAGGCGACTGAAAGCACTATACCACTATTAAGGCTTACAAATTGCAACTGCATTGTTCTGCCCTTTTTCAGTTGCTACAAGGCAAGCGCTACAAGGTTAGGCAGGTCTGCAGTAATCCAAGGTAGTGTTGACTGTTGATTGGTCAGTCTGTCTCATAAGTGAGACTTGGCGAAAAAAATACTTCTATGGACTCAGCCCTGACAAGCCAAAGTCCTACTGGATAGCCTGTCCTGGCTGGACCAACACCATGAAGTTTGCTAGCACTTTGTACTATTACTTAGTTACATTCTGTGAAATTTTAACAATTATTTGATTTTATAAATGTATTGTTGTCAAAATGTGTTTTTTTCTGCCAAGTATGAAGAAATCACTGGAGGAAAACTAACGGCCCCAAGCTGAAAATGAAATAGTTGCTTTAGTAAAGCTTTTCTGTGTCGTTTTCCTTCGTTTATGAGTGACTTCATGCACTTTTGTGGATGGGGTGTAAAAAATAATTGAAGGCTTTTGAAGACCTTCAGATAAAACATCTATCAGCAATTTAAAAAAACATGTGATAACCCAAAGAAGTGTTTGATGCTAAAGGTAGCCATCATGGCCACTTGGTGCTGTGATAGGAAGACTGCAGGGTGGGCATTCTAAAAGGTTGAGATTAGATGAGCCAAAGGTCCTTCTTCATCTGAACTGATCTTGAACCCTGTTTGACATCGCTTCAGTGTAATAGATCTTTGAAGAACAAAATGGATGGTAGTTAATGCAGCAGGTCGTTAACAAAGTAAGAGCCTAAGCAGATCAGCATAATGTGGATGAAGAGGATCCAAGAAATAAATCAGACTACCCAAGAGATTCCATGCTGTTAGAAATTAATGATTCTCAGTAAACATATGGTAATTCATCTGATTTAATGTGTGAGATATCACTACTATTATTTTGTTATCACAGCCTTTACCTAGGTGGTGACAATGTGGAACTCCCTGTGAGAAGCTGTGGTTATATAAAGGATTCACTAATGCATTTAAGAAGAAACTTGACACCTATATGAGAGACAAGGGGATAGAGGGGTGTTGTGGGGAGGAGCGGGGTGGGGGAGAAGGTTAGGAAGGCGGAATTAGATGGGCTGGAGGCTCGTGTGACATGTAAACACTGGCACAGACTCATTGGACTGAATGGCCTGTTTTAGTGCTGTGTAATTCTATGTAGTTACCAGCTTGCTTGTGTCTGGACCAAATAATTTGCTGCTTTCCCAGAAACTAGTAGATTATTGGAGCTCTGTGTCAGTGATTAAAATCTGGTGGCCGAAAGTAGTCAACAGACAGATTCCTAAATGTTAAAACATATTTCCTGATATTTTAATGTGAATGGAACAACTATGGAACACTTATTTGCCCGCCACTGACTTATAAGTAAGTGTTTTCGATGGGTCCCATGTAAATCACCCCAGAGTGACACTACATCATGCGCTGAGGTCATTACAGCAAGTGCAGTGCTATGGAGGCATGTGTGGAATGCACACTTACAAGTAGGACATAGAGGATCGTCTGAAAATCTGCTCCCTCTCCCACTTGGACAGCTTCGGGAGGCAAGCTTCAAAGTGGCAATGGCAAAAGTCCTGGTGCATTTGTCTCTTTGCCTTCTTGTCTAGCGATATAGCATGGACTCATGAGTGAGACAGGGAGTGTTGAATAAACTTTTTTTAAAAAAAAGAAAAAGCATGAATGTCCTCTTTACAATCAAAACAAATCTGTTATAAAATGAAGTGAGTATAACGTTTCCTGTTGACTGCTCCTTTGGTCACCCTACTTCCTCTACCCTCCCTGCCCTCCACCCCTCCTGATCCCAACCCTCAACTCGGGTCAAAATCACTGACTGTCCAGGCCCTTGGGATATCCTCCTATCATGAAAGATGCTATACAAATGTAATTTATTAATTGTTGTTGATTTTCAGGGTATGCTGATTGAAGGTCCTCCAGGTTCAGCAGGTCCAGAAGTAAGAATGTTTTTGTTTTACATGTAATATTTTAATAATCGAAACAAACTGATCCAAAGTTCATTTTCTAACCGTATTGATTGTGTGAATCCGGGAGCATGTCTATGAATAATACCAGCGTTCTGCAGGTAAACACATGGTAGAGTTAACAGCTTTCAGAGCCCAGTGTCAGTGAGTGTGCAGTCTTGTATTCTCCTGCTGTCTTCCAGTTACACAGAGCTAGCTCTGAACATGCCGTTAAATACACTCTCTTTACTACCCTGACTGCTGGTGGAATTTCAAATGGGCTCTTTTCTTGCACTCAAATTTGAAGGGAAGCGTTGTGGACTGCCTGGCCTCTTTTCAAAGTTTTAATTGTAGCAAAGTTCAAAAAGTTAGTTTTGCATCGGTTCCAGTTAATTGCCAGCAAGAGTTAAGTTGTATGAGACTACCCCTTCAGATGGTATCACGTCCAGCGTTAAACTCCAAACTGACACTGGTAATGATATAGTTATGCCGTGCGTTCTGAATCATTGACAAGTTTTAATAGTATTTGATTAATGTTAAGATCAATTACACATGGTGAAGGAGTGATCTGTTGGGATTTGGATGCCTGTTCATCCTGTGCTGGAAATAAACTGCATTTGCTGTGATTGCAAGCAGTGGAACAAAATGTGCAGGTTTTTATAATCAAACGAAGAACGAGTAGAAATGGGATCATTGCAGTTTAGTTACATTTTATAATTTGCAAACCACTGAAAAATGAGTATGATTGGGAATAGTTTCTGGAAAAAAGTGGCTTATATGAATATATATTCTCCACTTCATTCCATTATGTTTTAAATGGAAACTGGATTTTGGCCATGTATAGTTCGGGAATTGCACGCCAATGTCTGTGAAATTGATTTTCTTGGAATTCTCCTGTGCTGAACAAGCAGCTTGAGTATCGGAAGAATCAGGCTTTTTAATTCTTTCTGCCAATCATTCACTAAAATTGAATGACTAATGCTGCTTTTCCCATACAGCTGTATTATTTTTATATGAAGGAATGCCTAAAAAGGGTAGGGTGCTATCTTCAATATAGAATACTCTTTTTAAAAAAATTGCTCTAAATCAGTCACATGGTGGGAAAAAGAGAGCCTTTTTGACTTATTTCATTCACTCAAGAACTCGGAAAACATGTCAACTTCTTTGATACTGATACTTCAGCATTGAAACTCATTGTCCTTGCAGTGAGGAAACATGGCTGATCTGTGCGTAGTTAGGTCAGACTATTTCGCTCCAATTTATTAGTTTGAAAACCAATAATATTAGTATTGTGAGTGTATGGTGTTGTCATCATGGATGTCCTGAATGTTTTTAGCAGTAATACATACAGTTTCTTTACTATTCTAGGGTCTACCGGGTCCCTCAGGTCTCCAAGGCCCCCCTGGTCCTCATGGTGACCCAGGTGAAAGAGTAAGTAGTGTTGCAATTTATTTTTCTCTCAGCTACATTAAAGAAATTAAAGAAGTTTCCTAAATGAAAGTGTAAAAATGTTGGAAAGTTAGTTACTGACAGTTGTGATGACAGGGGTATATCAATTGATTTAGTAAAAATTGCAGGAGAATGTTTTAATTCATGTCTTGTTGGCTAAAGCAATGCACAATAATCAATTTCTACTTCACTCTGAACAATAGCTGAGTTAGTGACTGACTGAGGTATTAGAAAAAGAGACTATGATAAAGGTTGTCACTGGTTAAACTTACACCTGTTTTTCAAGGCATTCAGTAAAATATTTTCTGCAGGTAAAATCAACTTTATATAAAGAGCAACAGAGAAGTAAACCTTAAATGCACTTATGTAGGTAGTTTTCAGAGTTGTAATGTGCTTTATAGTGTGAATTTTATCGTTTATCTGGTGACCTTGTGCTGCTCAGGTGTGTGCAAAGGAAAGTATTCAATTTCCCTGGGGCAATAGTCATTAATTCCAATTTTTCAAAAGGAATTCTTTGACATTGTGAAAAAAACTGTTAAGATTTTTAAAGTTATCCAGATATATTGTGCCATTAGTGCAAGCAAATACTATTTATTAAAATACATTGTCAAAGTACCTTCCTGAGAATGCTGCAATTTAAAACCTACATGTTGGATGTTTTTTAAGACACTGAAAGTTATGTGGAATATCTCTCATATGTCTGGAATATTTGTTTTAGTTTTCTGCTAGAATGAATAAACTTGGATAGTTAACATGGGTTAATGACATCAGCATGGGTTTAATTTCTGTCTATAAACAAGAACGTTCCTATTTTTGTAGAGCACATGTATTAATATATCATCATAAATAAGTGATGTAAATAAAACTTTGCTTTAAAATATGCCTAAGAATTCCAAAATGTTGTGTATGATTTTCTAACTCCGTATTGGACACTTATTTCTATCACAGAAATGACTATGCATTTATAGGAAGACAAGTCAACTTTAAAATATTTTTACATTTGGTCTGTTACAATTTGATTTTTAAATTTCTTATTATATATTCATTTAAACTCCTTAAACAAATAATAATTAACTTTTTGTATTTAATTGGTAATTTTACATTGCATTCAAATATCTAGAAGTTACAATGCCTCAATGTAAATAATCCTTACATTTGATAAAGTGCCTTATGTTGATACATCTCAAAAGTATTTCACAGGGTTTACAGCAGACTGTATTTGTAGGTGAATGTGACAGCCAATTTGCAAATAGCGATGTCCCACAAAGAGTCATGAAATCAATGACATTTTTTCAGTTTGGGGGAATATTGGTCAGGACATCAGGAGAAATTTGCCTCTCTTTTTGACTAATGCCATGGGATCTTTAACGGGGAGACTGGACATACAGTCTACGATAATGCAGTCCTTTATCGCAGGGTCAGCCTGAACTGTGAGCTCAAAGTCCTGACTAATTTGGTATTACAAGATAAAATAAGTGAACTGTTACTTTTTTGTTATTGTTTTAACTAATTTAAACTGAATTCATTTTGATCTCTTTCCTGATCATTCCAGGAAAAATAGACAAGCGAAATACATTAACTACATTGTACGGTAAAATCCTGTGAAACGCTTTTAGATGTCCTCCCAATGTGAAAGACGCTATATAAAATGCAAGGATTATTATTTTGTTGAACATCTGTTCCAGGAAGGCTACTCTAAACTATCTGATAGAATGGAATGACTTTTGCTGTGATTTTCTCTGCTTCCATTGAATTCTTGGCCACCTCAGCAAAGCAGATAATGAACGCAAAGGCCGCAGAAGATGGCATCAAGCCCAGCCACTCTGTGGCACCACATATTGATACAAGTCTACACTGTACGAGCCTGCTGATTAAAGTAAAATTGTAGTTCTCTCAGCGGTTGATTTGCAAAAGCCACTGACCAGTGTGAAACTGAGGCTGTAAGAAAATTGTGGCCTGGAAATAGCAAATCTTTGTGACTTTTAATGACTACCTTAAGTATGTGCTCCTATTGGACAATCCACCCATTCGTAGGATGGTCCAATGAGATGCTGTTTCTAGGCCATGATTTTCTTACAGTCCGAGTTGTAATGAAACGACAAGGTCCTGTCCTCAGTCTGCTGAGCTAACCTGCCTCAGCTGAGTTGATACCAGACATGCTACAATTGACCTCAATGCCCCTGTGCTTGGGAGAAGCAACTGAGTCAATGCTGCTCCTTTTCACTATCCAGTGATCTCTGCTGAAAAGTGAGAGCTTGAGTGGAGACAGGATCAGCCTCATCAAGCCAATGAAATGCTGGATATCATTGCAAAACTTGCTATTACTCACTATCTAGACAAATGTGTGAAGAATTGACTACTTGGGCAAGGTATTTGAGTGCACATGCCCCCTGTGGGTTTGCACCCCAGCTTGAGTCTGAAGTTCCAGGAGATGAAGGGAGAAAATAGGAGAAAAATTAAGTTTATTGAGCTATTTTATTTGGAAGAGCAGAGGTTGGAGGGGAGTGGATGCTGTAATGAACAATGACCCTACTACATTGCATTCAGCAAGGCAGTAAAGGTGGGTTTCAATAAAAGTAGTATTTGATACTTTATGTTTTCAGTACTAACACACATGAGCAATTCAGAGAAATTACTACTGCGGATGTCAGATGAATTGATGATAGTCTGTTGCTATTTCAGTAACTTTCATTCTTGAAGAACGAGCTGCTTGTTCAAAGGTTCTCGTTGAGGTGAAGTATGCCAGATGTAAGACACTAAAATAAGAAACGCCTGAGGCCTGTTCACATCATTTTAGGGTCAGTTGTGGTAGGATTTATTTTCAAAGAATTTTAAGGTGTAAGTAAATGCAGGCATGTGCAGGAAAACAGGTGCTGAGGACAAGCTTCATACTACCTGATTCTCCTATTCAGGCATGCCTTTACCTGGTTCTTGCGTAATCTATGCATCTACTTACACAATGCCTTCCTCTCTCTCTTGCACAGGGTCCCCCTGGGCGTTCTGGTCTCCCTGGTGCTGATGGCTTACCTGGTCCTCCAGGCACGATGCTAATGTTACCGGTAAGTTGCTTTTATGTATATCTCGATCAGTGGAAAAGTAACTACTTAATTGAGTTGCATCAGTTGCCTCTTCCCAACACATTGTAATGATACAAATTGCATAGCTAGGTTAAGGCAAGCTTCAACAATGAAAATAGATGAGATGGTGGTTGTACTTTGAGTTGTGATGCATATTTCCATTTTTAGTGATCTACATGCCCACAGAGACCCTATGTCAAATGTCAAGCTTAGTCCAAGATGTTAGAGCCAGCTTGCAGGATTTAAACATCAGAGGCTTGAATTCTATCATGGTTTAAATCATAGCTGGGCAGTCAAAGTTTTGCACCCGAGCTGGGGGCTGGAATCAAGAGGGGTAGAGGGAGGGCGGTAGGAGTGGGAGGATGACCGAAAGTATGGTCAAAGAGGAAGGTCTTGAGAGGGAGCAAGGAGGAGGGGCTCCGGTGCGGAGTTCCAGAGGGTGGTCGCAGAAAGGCTGAAGGCTCTACCACTGATGGTGGGGCAGGCGGGCGGGGACATGGAGCAGGCCAGTGCCTGCTGAGCAGAGGGAGTGGGCAGGTTGGTAAGGTTTTAGCAGGTTGCAGCTTCATGAGCAAGTGAATGACATTTCAAGAGAATGTTTATTCTGTCAATTTTTAAATGATATTGACGGATGGGAAAATGTAGCTATTTTTAGCTCCAGTCTGTATATGATGTAAAAGCAACTTTTGTATATACTCCACAGTCATTTGCACTAACTACCCTTTGCTGAAGTGTATTATATCAGCTACAGTAAACCTCTGAACTATGCTAACTTTGGGAGACATGGAAAAAGCATATTAAACCAATGGATGATTATATATAATTCATTATGTGTATATATATATGTATATATAGGCCACAGAACAAATAAATTCTAAATAAAATCTCACTTAAAAGGCAAGTTACCTCGAATTGTTAATAGATATAGGCAGACAATTAATTATCAGACATTTCTGTGTGGCTGGAGTGAATGGGAATCTCGCAGCTAATTCCATTCCAAGATGAGGAATCAATTTATACAAATTCCATTGCCCCATAAATCAGGTTGTTTAATGCAAGTTGTTGAATAGCTCTGATGTGCTTTATAAGGAGGAGATGTATTTACAACTTATGCATGCTGAAGGAGGAGGATGTGGCATGAACAGAATAAGGCATCTGTTCCATATTACCCAGTCTTTAACAAAATTACGAACTGCATGACAGGGTGCTATTTACTAATAATGCCTGTTTTTACTACATTTCTCATTAATTTGATGCCACTGAATCAATACTAAAATCGCACTACAAATTGGGTCTGTGCTCAAGCAAATTGAAATATATCTGGATAGGTGACTATGTCTGTGGATGCTGGAGTGGCACCGTGAGTGGGAGCTAGTAGTAATAATAACAATAATAAAAATAATCCTTACATTTTGATGTAGTGCCCTATCTCGCCTTCAAGACAGTGAATATAGTGCCTAGAGTCTGATTTGTGACACAGGTCTGATTAATGAATCTACCAGTTTATCTGATAACTGACTTGTGTCCAACATCAATTCCTCCCCCCCCCCCAGTGTTTGCCTATTTAGGTATGTACCACAAAACCTACGTTTGTGTTGCCTCTGAAACTCATTCACTTAACCCTGCAAGCACCTGTAAGACACCTTTGTTGAACTCTCCTCACACATAGTGTCATTTTAATGTATTTTTTAATAATCCTAACATTTTAACATACTAATCTAAATGATACACAGTATTTTGGCTTTTCAATCATATCAATATTTGGTTTATCTCAGCTGGAAACACAAAATTAAAAACTCTGAAAGCTAATTATTGAAATGCTGGCAAAGTACCTTTATTAAAATCTAATTTGAAGTCTATTAAAACTCAAATGCTGTTGGACTCATTATGAATAAGGTTTGTACTGTACATTAATTCCCATAATAACTGTTGAATCTCTCCCTACCACCCCACCCACACACACAGAAACACACCCATATGCACAAACACACAAACAAAGGATTGCAATGACCTTTGAGTTCTGCGTGGACCGGTTCAAGAATCAAAACCTGGAGATTAGCTAAAGAAGGGCAAAGCGTTCTGAATTACTGAATATAGAAAAATGATTAAAGTGTTCAAAAGCAACGGTTTTCCACAATGTAGTTGAGAGAAGAATTTCAATAAAAGTAAAAAGAATGCTGGCAAGAGACCCTGTTTAAAAATTACTGAAATATAACTTAACTATATTAGATATATAAATATCAGAATCTTGGTTGTCAGTTGGTGAAAAGGTAACACTTGACACGATTTACTTTAAAGTGTAGTGACTGCGCATTTGTCAGTGAACATAGCAGCCAATTTGCACCCAGCAATATCCCGCAAATGGGCATGAAGTGAATGATCAATTTTGTCTTGAGATTGTTGGCCAGGAAACTATGAGAAACTTTTCTCTTTTTTGAATAGTGCCATGGGATATTTAATGTTCACCTGAACAGGCAGAAGATACCGTGATTAAATGTCTTATGCGAAGGGTTGCGCCTCCCAACAATGCAGCGCTCTCCTAACACTCTTTGGACTGTCAGGGTAGACTAAGTGCTTAAAGCTCTGACTACCTATAAAACAAAGATCGTTGAGATATTATGATAATATTTAATCAGGATTTGAATTCTAGCTAATAATTGTTGTGGGGAAATTCACCATGCTTTGTCCATTTGTTTTTGCAGTTCAGATATGGATCAGATGGTCAAAAAGGTCCAGTTGTCTCTGCCCAGGAAGCGCAGGCTCAAGCTATTCTCCAGCAGGCCAGGGTAAGAAATCCATTTTTTTCCTGGAGTGGTTCCATCACTGGTTTCCTCTCATATGCAAGCGCGTATAGAATCACTGACTGCATCAAGTGTAACACTTGATTAATGACTTGCAAATGGTGCTTCACTGAAACCAGAACACTTCAGACTTGTCAGCTGCGTAATCTGGTAGCACTTTGTATTTTACTTCTCAATAAACCACTGCTCGCTGTGTCTTACCCTTTTGTAAAAAAAAGCTAGATTTGAATTTAAAACTGCAATTACAATGAAATGTACTGTAGAATTTTAACTATTATGGTTACATTGCCTTTAAAAACAAAGGTCTTGAAATGATAATGTAAAATATAGTTTCCCAGAAATATGACCAAGGGATAAACAAAACTGACGTGTGAAACACACACATCATATGTTGTATCTTTACCTATTATTACCAGGTAATCTGCTTTGTTGGAAGGTTTTTATTCAGATGCATTCTGACTGTTGTTTGTTTTCTTTAGATTGCAATGAGAGGACCCTCTGGCCCAATGGGTTTAACTGGAAGATCAGGTCCTGTGGTAAGTTAATAAAAAAAATTGTTCTTATTGTTCTTCGATTGTCCATATGTTTTTTTTNATAAATTTCATTTCCATCATGCCGTTTTACTTAAGCAGACACCGGTTATTTGAAGCAATCCAAAACGCTGTGTCCATTTACATGTATATTCAAAAAAGAGCTCCTCTTCCTCAGGCAGGCAACCTGATAGCAGCCAAAATCGTAATGTCCCTTGAGCTCTTTCCATCTGTGGAAAGAGGCATCTCTGAAGCTCATTTTTGGGTTATATTGGCAGCACTGAAGAAAAACACTCCTCATGTCCTAAGAATAACTCTGTTCATTCTTGCACTGGCTGTGACCAGTGTCGTTATTTTGTCTGTTCTGAATTCTGGCTGGCTTTCGTGTACAGCCAACTTCTGATTCAGTTTCTGATAGCAGCACCAATTCCATCTGACAAGCATCAACACAGACCTGCAAGTTGTATCAATTGAACCTGTGTCGAGTGGTGTGCGTGTGTGTGTTTGCCACAACATTTGTGTTTTTCAATAAAAATGACATTCTAGGTAATTCCATCCAACCTGATCTAGTCCTCAGTGTCATAAACAACTCCTGCATTTGTGATTCTACATCTATAGCAGGATTGGAAAGTGAAATACTTTTTTTTGTATTTTTGATAATGAAAAATAACTCAATCATCCCCTAGGTTCAGAAATATTTCTTTAACACAGATTTTGTTCAAAATATGACTAATATATGGTATTCAGTCGTTTTCAAATCTGGATCAAAATGGTAGTAATAAACCATGCATTTAAATATTGATAGCCATGGTATAATATTTTAAGTAAAATTGAACTTCTGAAGTACTTTACATTAATCACTCTGAGAGAATGATTGCACTTTTATGGATGAAGAGGGCTTCATTTGAATAGACCGGACATCTTAATTCCCAAGTCCATTTCCTTCAGTGCACAGTATTTAATCTACTTCATTTCATGGATTGGAAAGGAGAAAGATTTTCTTAGCTGTGGAATGTAGATTGCATACTGTGGTCTAAACACCACCTACATTGCCACATATGGCTCGTCTTGGCTACAGATTCCAGGGAGGGGTAAAATAATTAAAACTCATGGTTCAAATAACTTGTATTATGGCGAGCAGTTCAGTTAAACTGCATCGCTATAGGCAGGCTTCAAAGCATTTCATAAACTTCTATATCAAAATGATTTGACAAAAAAGCTTTATAGGGCCTCCAAGAAAATGGTTTTGGAAACCCTTTTTTAAATTTTCTTTTAAAGATTAAAGAATATGAGTTCTACTTAAATGCATCACTTGTCAAGTCAACAACAACAACTGGCATTTATAAAAGCCATTATAAAAATTGCCACACTCCTTGTGTCTTAAAAAACACAAAATAAATCTATTATACCCGACTCCATCACTAGCCCAGCTCCATGCTATACTCTTTACTAAACAGTCTCTAACCCCAGCCTCACTGTACTCAGCTCTCCACAGTCTCTGTCCACAACTAAGTCCCACTCTTTACTCAGCTCTACACTCTCCAGCATGAACTAACTCAGTGTGCATTGCAGGCACCACATTCTTTCCTTCTTGTAATTAGATGTCAGCCACTGAAAATGTGGGTTGGTCACCACAGTTTAAATGACGATGTTGTGCTTCATTTTAATTACAATTAGAGAACTCTGCTTCCTGATTTTTGGCTAAAAGTGCACATATTCACAGTAGGAAATTCCACGCTTCATGTGCTAGATGTAAAAGGCCAAATAAACGCCTTTTATTTAATTACATGTTGTATATTTAGCAATACACACCCTTAATTCGTGAATCCAGTATTATGCAGCATGTTTTTCCTATGGCTGACGCAAACAAAAAATGCCACATTGACTGGAGCATGAAGTTTTGTCCAGTAAGAATGTTGGCTGTTGCAGTATGTTGTAAAGGTGTCATCTTTCTCACACTTGTCACACACACGCAGAGTGTCGTCAATGGCAAGTCTGAGTGGTTATTTCTTCTCCACTGATTCCCCATCTCCCTGATGACCTCTCTTGTGATTTTGTGCTGAAGGTCCAGGAAACATTTTTTTTAATTCTAATAACTAGTGCAGCATAAACAACAGCACTGTGCTAGAAATGTTAATGTTTGCCATTACATTGTTGCCTCAAAGCATTTTGTGCTACTTTGAGCAATGTTCTTAAGACATTTGTTGAGGGCAAGTTAAAATTTGTCAGTCTTTCTGAGATTGCCATAGCTTGTGAAAACCAATTAAATACCGAAAATTAAATGTTACCTGAGTTGAGGAATATTAAAATAGTTGAAAATCTGGCCCAAGTAGTTTAATGTCATTTAATTATTCACTAATCTCACACATTCCTTATACCGATCTGAAGAAAAAAATGTAGCATATTTGTAGTTGAAAGCGATTTGTAGTTCAGAGAGAAGCATCTGAATCTTAATGATGCGATAACCACAGATCACAGGTTCGTTTTGAAGAGAGTCTAAAATTCATAGCAATTTTTCCCTTAAATGTTAGTCAAAATAGAAGTGTATCTTTGCACATGGATAATGCTTCTGGGTAATTATTATAATAGTAATCCTTGCATTTGATATAGCGCTTTATCACATTGTTGAGATGTCTTGAAAGCGCTTCACAGAATAATTGTAAAGTGGATTGACTCGGTAATTTGTAGGCAAAATGCACAATATTACAAACTTTCAGCTGTCCTAATCAGAAAGATTTTGTTTTACAAAAAGTAATGAAATATTTGGCAAACCCTTTGCCATTCTTCATCAAGTCCTGTAGCTCAGTGGTTAGAGCACTCGCTTTGCAAGTGAGAGACCTGAGTTGAATTCCAGGCAGGGCGAAACCTTGGGCAAGTTTCCTTACTCCACACGCCTAATAATAATCCCTCCAAAAAAACAAAACAATAATAAATTGATCATTTTCAATCCATGACTGTTTGTGGGATATTGCTATGCGCAATTGGCTGCCGCGTTCGCCCACAAATATATAGTCAATTCACTTTACAGTATATTCTGTGAAGCGCTTTGGGACGTCTAGAAGATGTGAAAAGCGCTATATCAAATGCAAGGATTATTATTATTATCATCAAGCCACACAGAAGAGAACAGTGTAATCAGTGTCAGTGTTGAATAATGAAATGGCAAATTATTTTACATTTTACCATAACCATATAGATATCACTCTCCATACAGATTATTTAAATGGTGCTAATAATAATCCTTGCACGTAGTTCCCAAAGAGTGGTTGAAGAATTAAGGAAAACTCACAAAAAAAATCTGTTGATATTAATAGCTTGGACATGAGTCACAGGGGAGAAGTGTTCCAATATCCATTCAACACTAGAAACAATTGCACAGTAGAGCACCAGCTAAGGGTATAACCATTCATTCCCTGAGTTGTTTTACACCTGAAAGCATGTTTTAACCTTAAGGTCATGGAAGAGATATTGAAAGCTGTGACAAGGTTAAGTAGTAATAGATTGGTCTTTGATTTGAAGAACGACAGTAAATTGAAAGAAACCCTCTTGTGACACGTGAAGTAGGAGGCTCATAATTTTAAAAAAAATTGATCAGAGGCTCCCACAATGATCAGCATTAAGTTGTTTTCCAGGGCAGCAGTGTGCAACTGGCGTCAGTGTTCGTGGGTGAAAGGGGTAAAATAACCACAGATCCCACTCCTTAAACATTATCTAGTGAGCTTTTTATTAGAAGTTGTGCATGTGTGGATATCTGTTGAGGCTGAGACCTATTATCTTAAAGTGTAAGATTATGTGTAATTTTGGAGACAGTTCTTCAATTTACTTTCAATTTGGAAACCAGTTTTACACTGTTTTTAAAATGAACCGGCTTCTAAAATACGATAAATTGAAGAATTTTCCATAGTTCTGCCCAATCTAAATTTTAAGACAAAATAGTTTTAAAGCTAAGACTAGGTAGAACGTTAGACCCCCTGGGAACCTCAGCAGCAGTTTTTTGACCTCTCACCTGTTTTTCTCTGCAAGAAAATTAGAATCTCAATTACAAAGCCTACTGTGCATCATAAAATGCTACTTTTGAGAAGTTTATCCAAATTCAGCCCCCTTACTAACTTAATAAAACATGAAAGCCTTCTAGTTACTACACAAGTCTTTATAGACTAAATAACGGTCAGCATGAAGCTAGCTCTATAAGTAGTATTAAATTAAGTAAAATAAATAGTAGGATCAGACGTTCTAGCAAAGACATTTTGTACAGCTGAATATTTTGAAAAACACTTTTTTTTTTAAGGCTCTTCATTTGCCAGGATCAGATTCTGTACTCCTTGGCAAAATGCCAAGCTCCACAGCCACCAACCTAGTCTCAGCATTAATAAGCACACTCATGTGGAAATGCATAAGCGTCGGTAAAGTTAATCTAGATGAGATCAGCTAACTAGGACGTTCCTGGTCTGGATGGCAATATCATGCCACACTGTTCTTTTACTGAAATTTGAACATACCTTGGAGTGAGTCCAGTGTGTTTCTCACCCAGCGTGTTTTTGGTGCCCCTGTGGCAGTCTCATTTCTCCTTGCACCACTTCCTCCACATTGTCATTTACCACCAAGTGTGCAATATGAACCAAGTATTAGACCCTGGATACCCTGCCCCAAGCATCAAATAAATACTCTATCTTTTTCTTGCCCCCCCCGCCACAATTTATATACACATAGAATGACCAAGGGAACATCTGATCAAAATAAATATTTTTTTAACCAAGAAAAACCCTCAAAAGGATTTCCTCCCCCCACAACCAAAAAGAGTTCAACCCATATCACAAATAATCATTGGCACAAAGAACATTGTTGCTGAGATAAAGGGAAGGTTTTGAATTCCAAAGGAAATGTAGGTGAATGTATGAATCCAGGATAACTGCATCTGAATCCAATCATCTAAATCTGCACAAATATGAATGCATGAAACTTAAACTCAGTAAGATCCAAAATTTAGATTTAGGAAATTCCACAATTTAGATGAGTTTTTAATCTAATCTCAACCTCCTGCAGTTTATAGGACAGAGCTGCTGTTTTTCAGTACAAGCTGTTGATGATACCAAACTTTTAATTTACTGTGACTGTATGTTACAACAATGTCAGGGCATCTCAAAATTTTTGTATCAACTCAGTGACATTTTCTCTCAATAAATGCTGTATGAGAGTATACCCCAAGGAACCTAGATGATAATCGAGCATAATTTGAACCGTGCATAGCACATCCTAATTTAGAAATAGTGAATAAAACTCCTGCATGAAGACATTTTCTAACAATAATAATAATCCTTGCATTTGATATAGCACTTTACCAAAGCATAACACCTCAAGGATAACTTCAGAGGATTTACTGTAGAGTGTAGTGACTATAGTCTTGTAGGAAATTTTCCTCTCCCAATGGTGGCTGAAGCAGCTCCTTGATTGCTCCATGTAGAATTATGAATCAGATAACATGTGGAACAAGAAATGCTATGATAAAATATAAAAATACTTTGAAATTATCAGTCACTTAGTTGACTCATTCCTCAGATTGCCATTAATTAATTATTAAAACAGGCACTATTAAATAATTTTTTAAATGATTCCTTACTCGGAAGCTTAGGGCTTGTCGTAAAATTAATGTTCCCTTAATGTTTATTTCTCAGTATCATGGCACTGAAATTCTACACTATTGCTGATGCTGGGAATAAGATCCTGAGCTTTATCCCTATGGAGAGAAAGCTGTTCAGCAACAATACACTCAATATAGCATTTACCTATATGCATCAGAAAGTTAGTTTATGATGTGGTTATAAGAGTAGTTTGCTTTATATTTATTTAAAAAGCAAATTTTGGACTAAAGAAAATCTAAATACTGTATGTCAATCATACGATATGACTGTAATCATACTACACCACAGTGCCACCCTCTGGTTGAGTGCAGACAGAACAAACCTCAGCTGTTCTGCTGTGTGTAAAGGACTGGTACTAAACAACAACAACAACATCAACAACTCGCGCTTATGTAGCGGTCTCCACGCATGGTAGCGTCTCAGAGCGCTTAATACAGTATATCTAGAGGACTGTATTACTTTGTATGTTGTATGTTGACACTTTGTTTAATCTAATTCCATTTGTTTCTCTATAGGGAATACCTGGCAGCCCAGGTTTTAAGGGTGAATCAGGTGATCATGGTCCACAGGTAAATACAGTTTTATTCTCTTACAGTGCCCTTTATCTTACAGTAGCTATAGCGTAAAATGGACGCTCAACAGACAAAGCACATGTCAAACTAGTAATACTGAATTGCACTATATTCAAGTTAGTACACTACTGATATTACAATTATGTCGCTACACTTCCTATTGAATTGCCCGTTGAAGCCATGATGCAGTGTCCTGATCTGCACTACTATCTGCGAGTGTATTTATAGACCTTTACTTGGTTGTTCAAAGATTGTAAGGGTTAGATAGCAGAACATAAAGAGTGCTGCGCATCTCGTTCTGCCTCATCAAGCAACATAGTGTTTTACAGCCTGCTGTCCTCGGTCAGGAATTACTTTTGAAATTGTGTTGCTTGGAAGGTCAAAAGAGAGCTAAAGTTCTCCAGTAATGTAGCTATAATTAGGTGACACTGACCTCAATGTCTGAGATATTAAGACTATAAATCAATGCTTGCAGTTTATTTGCTCATCTTTTATAACTAAGAGGGGAACTATTCTCAACATGGAACTATTCTCAACATCCAGAATGTTTTGTGCTTTGTACACAGCAAATAACTAATTTTATTATAGTTTATGTCCCGTGAAAGATCAAATGTTTCACTGGGAGAGAGGGTGAAGAGGTTACCCAACTAACTCATGCCTTTATGGCAAATCCATCCTGAGACCATCCAATTATTCGTGCTTTCATATCTCATCAAATGGTGCATTTGCATCGTGAGCCATCGGAAGGAGCAATGAATTCACTTGGAAAAAAAATCATTTGTATTGAAACCTGTTTGTTTTTTGAGGTTATATGTTTTAATGGATCTTAATGAAGGTGGGAAATAACTACTTTATTTTATCATTAACATCATAAACAATATAGGAAAACAATCTTGATGGTTTACTTACCAAGGTTAAAACCCATTTGATAAACGTTGGTTTGGTAAATGGCAACGCGATGTGCACACAGACCAGCATGCATAATATTCACTAAATGTTTACAGTGTGAGGCATACCTCACGGTGCACAAAATCCACTCATACACATTTGTGTTCTGAGAGATTTTTATAACCATAGATGCCAGAACTTAGACTATCCAACACAGGATTGCTTCTGGGTCAACCCTTGAAATGGTCCAAATTCCAATGAGTTCGGATTCAATTTGGTTGTCATCCCATCGTATTCTGTGAACATCAGAATTTAGTAATGATGACAGCTCTACCCTGTTGTGCAGAGGTGGAGGCAAAGTGCAGATAGATGCAGTGAGAAAGGTGAATTTGAAAGGTTAAATGACAGGTTCTCATGCATTTATTCTGCTCATTAACTGAAAGAGTCATCTGCCTGCTGGTCTTGGTAGTATTAGCCTATGAAAACATCAAACTGGTCAAAATACCTCTTGACATTACCAAGTAAGTCCATGTAACTGGGTATTTGTTACAATAAAGGATTTGTTCAAATGGTGGACTGGTGGCATATGTCATCTAATTATAGCTTTTGCTGGATTTTTAATTCTACGTTAAAAATGTAGTATATATGGGTTTTATTAACGTGTGTTAATTTGTTTGGACTTTTAACACTGATCTTTACTGTTTGTATTGTGTGATCTAGGGTCCTCGTGGTGTCCAAGGTCCTCCTGGTTTGAGTGGAAAACCAGGGAAACGGGTGAGTACCAAGAGTTTTATCTTGTTTTTTTTAAAAAAATCAATGTTGGCGAAAAAAANTATTTGAAGAAGCAGGATTTGAAATTTCACCAATGCTAAGTTTACAGGTATTAACTGTGATATTATTTGACCTGAGACAAACGAGGAGTAATTCTGCCTTGGTGCAGTATTAATCTGTAAAATGTCTATGTTGGCCCTTTAGGGTCGTGCAGGTGCAGACGGTTCCAGAGGGATGCCTGGGGAACCTGGCTCCAAGGTACACTTTTTAAAAACGTCATTGCTGCACATTGCGTGGCATATGATCATTCATTTATAATAAAAACATCAGTATAACCATCAATCTGTATACATAACACAAAAGAGTAAAGTTCTATTAAAATAAAAGAATACTGCTCAACACACGTCCTTATCTGTCATCTATTAATCCACATTGTCATCCATTGGATTTTATGCACGCATCAATGTATGCGTGCATAAAATTCTGCTCATGTAGTTAACAGTATACATTCAGCAGTTTCTAAGTTCTTCTGTGTAAGTCATGAATTTTACGTTTACTGCTGGAAAGAGGTTTTGTCAAAATGATGAATACGTATAATAATAAATTTGTAGTTGAATTCTATCATAGTTCATCATGCACATGTAGCTTGTAACCAGTCTGAATTTTCTTTTGCTTTTCACTGGGGAGATTGCAGTGTAAATGCAATGACAAATGTTCATTTACTTTTTCAAGGGTGACCGAGGTTTCGATGGACTTCCTGGTTTGCCTGGCAATAAGGGACACAGGGTAAGATATTCTAGCAAATATAGCATTAAGAAAACATGGTCAGATGCTTGGGTAAGGTATGGTGATAAATTGGGTTGTTGCCTGTAATGTTAATCAAAAGATTATAACTTGTCCCCTTCTGTTGTATTTTATTTACAAAAGTAATTGTATTATCTACTAAGCTTGTACATAACAAACATGTGCAAATGGAGCAGATTTTGTGTTGCTTTAATAATTTGTCCACAGACTGACTTCTATGCCAAAGTATAAATATAAAGCTATCTGAACTGAACTGCTATGAAACAGAAATGGATTTGCTGCTTTGCTTTACAAAAATGTATTAAAAATCTAAAATATATTTAGTGAAGGTAATATTAAATGTTTGCAGTTCGATGTTCAATGTAAAAAATCAATTTAGTATAATAAGCCCCAAAGTCTTTCATCTAATTTCCCTTTTTAAAAAAACTCTTTAATATTCCAGTTTTTACTAAAACAGCATTTTATGTAAACTTTGCTTTCTTTTAAAATCTTTTGTTTCACCAATTTTTTCTAAGATTCAGAAAACATTCGAGTTCAGTTCAATAGTGAGTCAAAACAATTGTATCAATTCATATTTAAAATATTAGTAATAATTATGTTTTTGGATAAAGACGGCTGGTGGATAAAGAAAATTTACAGTAATGTTAATATTTCATTACTTTTGACCCATCATGCACATGCAAGCTTCAAACCAATTCTCAGCTACATCTGTAAAACATCTTTGACAATCCGCTACATTGTGTAATATGGACAAATTCCCTCTCATTGCTTCATTGGTGAAGAGCTGAGCACCACATGGGGGTGAGCTAATTGCACACAAGTGTCACCATCAAAGAACAAAGGGTGTGTGTGTATGTATGGTAGAGAAGCCATGAAAATTGCCAACATGCAACATGTGTGTAAAACACACTGATTGCAAGGACATAACTTTGTCGAAAAAGTAAATGATACAGGTATAAATATTTATTGAGAGCTTTTGCTTATGTCCATTTAATTTAGTTAGTTCTGAGCAGAAAATACCTGAACATAAAATCTGAACCAAATAAGATAGTCCTGCTGAGCAGGGAGTGAGGACTGAGTTTATAGAAACTTTCTTTCTGATGTATTCTATTTACAAAAGTAATTGTATTATCTACAAAGCTAAATTGTACACCTTGAGTGAATGTCGATTCTCTTGCATTATGGTTTTGAGAGTGTGCCCCTCCCTCTCTGTACTTTACCTTTTGAAATTAATTTTATAATAATAATCCTTGCATTTAGCATTAGCACCTTTCACATCAGGAGGACACCTCAAAGCACTTCACAGAATTCATTTTAAAATTGTAGTGACTGTATTTTTGTAGGCGAATGCAGGCAATTTGCACACTGTGATATCCCACAAACAGCCATGAAGTGAATGACCAATTTTATTTGGGAGACTCTGGCCAATATAATCGGAAAAACTACCTTCTTATGGAAAACAGTTCACTTAAAACTCCTGATATAAGAATCAGACAGACAGCAGAAACTATTGTTGAGTGTAAATAAAATATTGGGTTCAAATCAAAAATGAGGAGGCTCATCACTTAATGACCTTTGACACCTTTAACATTAACTTAATCCTTAATAAGCAGAGAAATAATCATTTTTTAATGGTTTATTAATTTAACTGTCAAGATTTGTAGTACAGCTCGGATGAATGTTGACAATTTGTTTTACTCTTTAATCTGACACCATAAATGTTAATCAAAACTGAAAACGGCATTGTTATGAAGATAACTGTTTTCTAAGATTGGAGTTTAGTTTTGGTGCTTCTTAATGGAATATAAACCAGTGTCATCGTGTATTAGAGCTGACTTCTTAAGCAATTGCAAATCCAATAGAGTTGGTGGCTGTTCAGCAATGCTAGATTATTTGGTTCAGATTTTATATTAAATAATGTTCTCTTCAACTCCACTGACAGAATACTGCCACTTTCCTAAAAGTTTTTTTGGCAAACCTCTTTATTGTTGTACAAGCACAATACACTTAATGACATGACATAGATCACATCGAAATGCATCATTGGATCTTTTCGGTAAAATGAAAACAATGTCCAAACAAGTATTAATAAAAAAAAGTTTGCACACTCCCCCACTGGGTCAGTTGGAAAAGTTACTGAAATAAAATGAGCAATGTAGGTCAATTTGTGCTGAGTGAGCTGATCTGATTGGGGCACCGCAATTGGCTTAAAGGGAAACAAAACCAGCCAATTTGCCAACCTGATCACTTATTAATGATTCCATTACTATGGATGTTGGATGAAGACAGAATCAGGTTTGACTGTAATGAACCCCCTATAGTCCAATATTTCTGTTTAGATTCTTATACAAAGACTGCCCCCCTCAGGCAAAATACTATAGGCTTCCCAGTTCCCATGATTCCAGATGGTAGCATGTCCGTACCTTTAAGATAGGCAGGGAGAAGGTTTATTCCGCATTTTTTTCATGAAAACCGTGCATTTTGTTGGCATGCCACTAAAGAATTGTATCACTTAAACCACATTTTTGTTCTCATATTTTTCAAAGTGGGACATGCGCTGCTTTGTGCAATGCAGCCTTTGTGATGGTGCTTGTCATAGGCAGAATTAGTGTTGATTAAATCAGAAATGATGCTTCTGTTTTCAATGTGAGCCAGATTGTGATTTTTACAATTGAACTCCTGTCCCAAAGATTTATATTCTTCACTTTAATCGTAAACATATTATCAGATATAGTGTCGTTTTTATTACCTAAGTAATTTATTCAAAAATTCTACAACTTTCCTTCATGCATTTCCTTGAACGTGCACCCCTTTGTTTGCAATCGCAGACTCCATACTGTTTTATGTAGAAGTTTCAATTGTCGCAGCTAAGAAAATTAGTTTGTTTTAAAGAGTGAATTGACTGTGGAGCAGGAAGACGAAAACAAGAAAATGCAACATGCCCCAGTGTAATGCTGATTGTTTTGTGTTTTACAGGGGGAAACAGGCCCACTAGGTCCACCAGGGCCAACGGGTGAAGATGGCGAAAGGGTAATGGATTTGTCCACTTTTAAAAGTTTGAACTTTTACGATCTGCCGTCTCTGACTTCATCAAGCACAGTGCGCAGCTAGAGTTTGAATCCCTCAGGGAATAATCTTGTTTTTGTGCCGTGTTTTTTTTCAGGGAGACGACGGAGAGATTGGACCAAGAGGTTTGCCGGGCGAATCTGTAAGCCAACCATTTTAAAGTCCTCTTACTCAAAGTTGTCGTTCTGTCTCTAGATTAAGGAGGCCGCAAATTTAAACTGAATTTTTTTTATTGTACGTTTTAGATCTAGGTATTTCAAAACCATTAGCACATTTTAAAAGAGGTTCGAAGTGTTAAAAATGACTATTTCTTTTTCTACAGGGTCCAAGAGGGTTGCTTGGACCAAGAGGATCTCCAGGGCCACCTGGACAGCCTGTAGGTCTACGTGTCATTTGTTGTCCCTTACAATAGATTTTCCCAATAATAACAGTAAATTACATTTCTATAATATATTTGCATCTAATATAGCGCCTTTTACGTAGAGAAGATGTCCCAAGGTGCTAGAATAGAACGTATACAAACAAAATCTGGAAGTGCTCTTTCACTGTTGATTTATAAATCGAAGAAAAAATATTCTTTTCCTGAATAGAGTTTATAAAATCAGACTAAGAGAGATTCTGGAGATTAAAAACTGAAAATCGCTTTTTTTAAAAGTTGAAATTCGCCTTTGCCATGAAGTTTTATCATATGTTCTTTTATTCTTTGGCCTATTTGCCACATTTTCCTCTTGTTACTTGTTTGACGGTAGTTTAATGATCAGGCCTATAATAATGTGGTTGTCTACAAAACACATAGTTGCAACACTTTGCGGTATTTTCCTTTAAATGTTTCTAAACGTGCTCCCGATGTGAAAGGTGCTATATTAGATACAAGAATTATTGTTAATTGCTATTATTATATGCACCATCATTGTTCTGCAAAACAATACATTTCCTAAAATATTATGAGAAAAATAAATGCCAATTAACTCCTGAATTTTTAGCAACCAATCCTAGAACTTCCTTTAAGTATATTGATTTAAAATATTTGTTTTATATATATTTCAGGGCACGAATGGTTTGGATGGGCCGCCAGGTCCAAAAGGAAACATGGTATTTATTTATTTTTAGTTTTTTTTTAGTTTATACAAACTTAAGAAATATAGCAAATACCTTTTTGGCCTGTAGCTGTATCTAAGGGAAGCATTGTGTGCTGTACTTTGGAGAATAAAATAGTGGAAAAAAACACAGGAGCTTATTAATGTGACAATTTACAGGAATAAAATTGACATAAAGATGCTGACTGGTTATGGATTTTAATGTTAGCTTGCAGTAGATATTTTTATTCACGCTTTGAATAAAAGTCCTTTTCTCTCTCCCCCCCACCCCCCCCACCCCCACCACTTTCTCTTCAAGGGCCCTCAAGGAGAGCCAGGCCCTGCTGGTCAGCAGGGAATTCCAGGCACGCAAGTGAGTACACATTAGATGAAATAAGGCTTGTATCAGGCAGTGAAAAGGCGCTTAGCGCTACAGTACTTCATAGTTGCAAAAAGAACAGTCCTGCTTGTCTGCTGTAGTGAAGCCTATACCACTTCTGCTGTGAGTACTTTTATTCCTAGTTTGCAAACCTAGTTTCATTTTAGAGTTTTTTTAAGAAAAGAGAGAGGCTATGGGTAGAATCATGTTTCTCTCTTTGTGCCAAAATGCTCAACTTTACCAAAGTCAGTCACCTGAGCTAAATCGTTTCTCAGTTTTAGATTGCTGTGTCTTTTAATATTCGCCACGATTTTAACTTCTGCACTAAACTGTGTTGCTTTTTTGAGTTTGGTTATTCCACAACCACACTAAGTAAATATTAGGATTTGAAGTGACAAATCTCTTATTTTTTTTTTCTCCCCCCAAACAGGGTCTCCCCGGTCCTCAAGGCACGATTGGCCCTCCTGGTGTAAAGGTCTGTGCTCTTCCCTATGTGCAGCTTCTACACATTTCTGATCATTTTGCCTGCCTTAGGAACAGCTGAAGTAGGATTGTGTGATGGATTGAACTGTGACCTTTTGTTCTGTTTTCTCCGTTTAGGGACCACAAGGCAAAGCCGGTCTCCATGGTCTCTCAGGTGCCGATGGGCCTCCAGTAAGTGGATCCCTGTTACATGTTAGAGAAAAAAACAATGATTAATCTCGCTCTGCACGCATATAGCTGGAAGAGTACTGAACAAGCCAAAGAAAAGTATAATTTTTTTAAATGCAACATAAAAGTAGCTGTGGGAAAAGGTAGAGATGATTTATTTTTTATTAAATAGTATTCATAAGAATGCTCACGCAAGATTTATGGTCAAGTAATAAGCCCATCTGTTGTTGTACACAGGGTCATCCTGGCAAAGAAGGGCCACCTGGTGAGAAAGGTTCACAGGTACATCTCGTCTCAGAAAATACTTTGTGATTGGGGAACAATAAGTGAAAGATTCATATATTTTCATTAATTCAATTGAATTATTTATCGTGAAATAACTGTAAACTAAAGTCTCCATGCAAAATCTCTCCCCCTCCTCCCACCCATTGACAAATTCTAAAGCAGTGTTTTTCTCTCCTTCTAAAGGGATCTTCTGGGCCTCAAGGTCCAATTGGCTATCCAGGTCCTCGTGGTGTGAAGGTAAGCTTGAGACATGTCTCCCCTTTCCCTTTTCTCCCAATAAAACGTTCACGGTCATTATAGAAAATGTAAGAATTTCATCCAGAAAATGCCCTGGTGTGTTTTAAGCTTTGACTGTCTGTTTAAACAGGGTGCAGATGGAGTCCGTGGTCTGAAGGGATCCAAAGGTGAAAAGGTGAATATTCTGTTTCTTTTACCCCCTTTTGTCTTATTTTATTTTACCTTGATTTTAGAAAAAAAATTGTTAGAATTTCTCGCCCACATAATTTTTTTTCCTCATTAATCTAATGAGGCGTCTTTACCTAATTAATGCAATTACTGTTGTGCAAATTAGTTTGAAGTGAAGAGATCACACTTTAGCTGATGGGTTGGTTGCGAGTTAACTGCTATTTGCAGAATGTCACCTCAGACATGATTTAACGGAAACAAGCTAATGTAATATTTAGTGAGATCCTGCAAAATGGAAAATCTGAAAGGATTTTTGGGACCTGTCATTCAAAGAAATGTTCCCTTTAGAAATATACCATTTTCCAATAAATTGCACAAACTGTTGTGTTTCAATAAAAAATTGACCAAAAATATTCATGGTGTCTCATTGTGTTTCAGGTTGTTGGTTAGTCTGTCTGAGATGTACTGAGAAAAAAACACATCTTATATGAGTAATAAGGATATAAATCAAAAGGAAGAATAGAACTGATTTTCATAATATACTGGGTTTGGCTGTACTTATAGACTCATTTATTAAATACTGCAATATGTAGATTAATGTTTGTTTAATCCAAGCTAGAAAGGGAATTCCAGCTCTTAATTACTCTCCAATGGCCCTTGCTGCAAAGTGCGCATGTAGCATGTGTGGACGTCAGGTGGATAGGATCAGACTCGAACTTTCATGTCTCCCATGACCGTGATGTCAGATCCTCACTGTGGAGGTTGGGCACCGAGGCAAGGTACTGGAGGTCTCCTGTGACAATAGAGCCAGAAAGAAACTGCCTTCAGAATAGGAAATACAATTGGGATAAGCGAGAAAAAAAATGTTTTGAAGCACAGAATCAGAGCAGTTAATCTTAGGGATGTCAGTGTTCAGTATTTGTTCCTGTCATATGATCGACAGAGTCATAAACTTGTGATGGAAGCATAATATCATCTCACCATTCATAAGTGCCAACCTCAGTGACCAACGTTTAACCCTCAAACATGCCGGCAATCCCAGGAAAATTTCTGTCACCAAGGCCAACAAGTTTTCAATTGAGAAGTAATGTTTCCACCCCCATTTTCAAAATATACACCAGCATTGAGTAAGTTCATGTGCATACATTTATGTTTAGTGGGTAGTGCAGGAATTTGGATTATTTATCTTGTGCATCAGTACAAATACTGTTGAACACTGAAGTAAAGAGTTTGGACTCTGTACAGTGGTGCAGTGTTAGCTCACTGACATTGATAGACCAATCATTTATTCTTCTGGTATTACAGAGATGGTCTAATATACAGCGATTCATAACTAGAGTCACAAATAGGGACTGCTACTGGAGGTTAGTCACCCAGTTGGTCGTGAAAATTTAAGCGAGAACTCCCTTGCCATTTGTGAACATGCAAAATTGCCCTTGTGTGGTTTATACCTAAACTCAGTAAGAGGCATAAAACCAGTTTCTCACGTTGACAAGGCTCATGGCTTTTCAGCTGCCTTTCTTCAGCAATTTGGGTGGGAGAAATATTTATTTCAGAACTCATTTCAACCTCACTCCTTACAGAAGAACAAAATGTCTTGCTCAATTTTCCCCATTTCCAGAACACAACCCCCTATGTCTGCTAATGCATGTCAGACTGAGTCGTACATTAGACTTTTGTGGATCACAGCATCTGACAGCCAGCTAACAGGATAGAAGCCTTCTGGAAAACAAGAAGCTCGGAACAAGCCATCTTTCCCATTTGCAGGCACCGAATGAGATGGGGCCAGGCTTCCCTATGATTAGTATTAAGAATGGTTCCAAGGGAGAGAGTTTTACGCACGACTGTGTTCTTAATTATATCACTTTACAAAATTTCTATTAAATCCAAACCCCTATGTTCAGAATTGAAATAATATATAACTGGGGTAGTGATCTATTTTCATCTCTCCAGCTCACTGTAGAATGGAGTTTCGACATTCTAGGTTCTGTATTAAGATTGTTTAGCAGCAGATTTGCTGTAGTCACTAAACACTGATTCTACTGTATTCTATTGTATTTTGTTGGAATGTGATTCTGTCAGTGCTCCTGCCACAAAAAACAATAAAAGATAACTTCAAACACACTTTGCATGCAAAAAAACCACTAATGGAAACTTTGAGAAAGTAATTGTGTAACGATTTAAATACTTCTGATTGTTTTGCAGGGTGAAGATGGTTTCCCTGGTTTCAAGGGTGACATGGGTCTCAAAGGCGACAGGGTAAGTGCTTTTACCATTTATCTCTTTCAATCCATACAATCTATTTAGTGTGCTTCAGGCTGAGCAAAGTTGACCGAGATAATAAATGTGCCAGACGTTCCATTTTCACACAGAAAAGCAATAAATACCTTTTTGCAAGACATCATCTGATCCTTTATCCTTGTTCATTACATTGGAGATATCAACTGAAGAGTAAAAAAACTCCTTCTTATTTTAACTTATTATGTTTGTACAACCTTCACATATCTGTGAAGGTAACATTTTTAGCTTTTCTTACTGTCTGGCTTGGCCTCTCGAATCTTCTGTAAATCTCTACTGGAATTCTCCTTTTCCCCAGACACAGAATGGTATCAGCAGAATCTAATTACAAAAGAGGTAACAGCTTCTGCATCACAGCCCAGTCAAGGGAAAAACAATTAAAATATCATTTCATTGGTTTTCTCACTCATGAGTTTTTGTGAGTTATTCTTCAGTGGAAATGTTAATATTGATGTTTGGATATAAGATTCTTTAAACTCTGGGGTTTAATTTCGGATCTAATTTCCAAAGGAATCAGACGTGAGTTCATCACATGGCCGTGATGTGTACCATGTAGCCTTCAATGGAGTTGTGATGGTCTTTGTGTGGTTCATAGCAATTATCGGGGAATTATCTTTTGTTAATATTTTACAAAAGATTGGAATACATCTACTGTGGACTTCGCTCAATTTGTCATTAGTGTTTCAATCATTTCTGATTTCCTTTTTTAGTATTTTGATATAAATGCATAATATACTTACACTTTCGTGAACTGCTATTAATGTACATATGAGGTGCCACCACCAAGTGAAGGAGAGGAGAGAGTCAAAGTCTGCCCTCCTCTGCTAAAGTTAATTCCCTCCCTCCTCAATCATCTAATAAACTTGTGTATATTTACATATATTAAATTACAACTCTGAAGGTCTATTTCCCCAAATCCAGCCTTAACCCAGAATAACAGGAATAATTTTATTGTAATGAATAACTTTGCTGTAACTTAATGGGAGCAACTAAGGAATCACAGGCAATGGTAGAAAGGATGAATGCAAACATTCTAAATGTTGCTGGGAGAGAAACCAATTCACTCTCAGGTTTGTGAAATAAATTTCAGAAAGACCCGAAAATGAATCATTTTGTAAAAACGAGCCCAGTGTGAAACAGCAAAGGTCCTAAGTTGCATCGCTGGTTTGTGATGAATCAATTGATCATACAAATGACAGGAATACACCAGGGTTAGGGAGTGTGGAAAAACAATCAAAATTCCTGCTTGGGATCGCCGATCTTTGTTAACAAGCTTGTGTAGGGGTGGGTGTGTGTGTGAGCGTATAGTTATGTGTGTGCTCCCGTGCATACTCATACTATTGAGTACTTCGCTGCTACTCATTGTCTTGCGGCTCACCCATGAACAATGGCCACTTGGGAAGAAGTACAGCTGCGGTCTGTGGGACTGCACCCCGACGTGAATCAGCAGCTTCAGGAGAGGAGAAAGTAGATATGTTTTACATTTGGTGGGTCCTCTCCTGCTAGAAATACTAAAGGTTCTAGCAAATGTCTTTAGTGTACAAATCCTGATCAATTCTAAAACATAGTCAAATGCCTTTCTGAAATGACTGGGAAGCTTCAGTGGTCCCTTTTGTCGGTTAGTTTGTTATCTTGTTTTTTTTAAAAAAAACACAAGAATTGCAGATGAGATGAGGGCAAACTAGGTGTAGCTGAAGATTGGTTGTCTTCAGTAGCTTATTAAATATCATGTGACAGATAGGCTCGAAAGTATTTCAGAAAAACAGTCAATTGTGTTCAGATATAGAAGTGAAATCGCTTCTAGTAGTGTTAAAGGCTGTGAATCGCATCACTTTTTTTTCATAGTCTCTAATATTCATTATCCTTTTGGGGTTTTCTTTTTCCTCGCAGGGTGAAACTGGACTTGTGGGTCCCCGAGGCGAGGATGGGCCTGAAGGTCCGAAAGGCCGGTCAGGACCACCAGGTGACGCTGGTTCAGCAGGTCCCGCAGGTGAAAAGGTCAGTGGACAACCATTATAAACTGTAGGGCAGAACTACAGTCTGAGACTCACAGATATGCAACATAAAGAAACTTTAGGAAATTGTGTGTAAATACTAGAATTGTGATTTATGCAAAATAAGCATGTTGCACAATGCTGATGTATCCGAAGTTTGTAGTAGCACTACCACTGAGGCATAAATCCAAGCTATAAAATAGGAATTTTGTTTAAATTGGCAGTAAAGTTTATGCTGTGTTCAAACCTAGCATGCCAATCGTCTTTAACACCATCAGAAACCCTAGGCAGGACACTCGGGATTGAATTTCAAAATCCTCAATCCACTTGAAACCACTTTACTCTTCCCATAAAATAAATAACTGCTGATTGTTTAGATTTACATATTGTGCCTGGTCAGGACAGGGAAAATATATGGCAATGGGGTTTAAGATGGAATTTCAAATGCTATTTCTTAATAGCAATCTTGAGTTGCAAAAGGGGATTCTTTTCAGGAACCACAAGTAAATCATGCGGGAACGCCACTCTGTTGTGATCTACTTTCAGAGGGCAGTTCCTGCACGTTTGCATGAATTACTTGCGGTTACCAAAAACAACAACAACAACAACAAGATTCCATTTATAAAGCGCCTTTCACGTCAGGAGGACGTCCCAAGGCGCTGCACAGTTGGGTCATGACCCGAGCAGGGGGGAAATGGTCAGGGTGAGGGGAGGGAAGGGAGGAAGCGAGGAAGGGGGAAATGGTCAGGGTGAGGGGAGGGAAGGGAGGGAGCGAGGAGCGGGGAAATGGTCAGGGTGAGGGGAGGGAAGGGAAGGAGCGAGGAGGGGGAAGAGAGTCGAGAGGGGAGCTGAAGGCACGGTCAAAGAGAAAGGTTTTGAGACCGGCCTTGAAGGAGGAAAGGGAGGAAGCAAGGCGAAGGCACTGGGGGATGGAGTTCCAGAGCCTGGGGGCTGAGAGGCTGAATGGTAGGGCGGTTGGGGCGGGGGACGTGGAGCAGACCGGAGCCAGAGGATCGGAGGGTACGGGCAGGTAGGTAGGGGGATAGTAGGTTGGAGAGGTAGGAGGGAGCAAGGCCGTGAATGGCCTTGTAGGTGAGGATGAGGATCTTGAAATCAATCCTCTGGGGGATGGGGAGCCAGTGGAGGCGAACGAGGGTGGGAGTGATGTGGTCCCGAAGGCTGGTGCGGGACAGTACACGAGCTGCAGAGTTCTGAATGACCTGCAGCTTGTGGAGGGAGGTGGCGGGAAGGCCGGCGAGGAGAGAGTTCCCATAGTCCAGCCTTGAGGTGACAAAGGCGTGAACCAGGGTTTCAGCAGCGTGAGGGGTGAGGTAGTGCCGTAGTCTGGCGATATTCCGGAGGTGATGGAAGGCGGTGCCAGTTGTGGTGCGGATGTGAGGGAGAAAGGACAGCTCAGGGTCGAACAAAACGCCGAGGTTCCTGACTGGCAAAAGACCCCAACTTGCAAATTGGAGTCTCTTTTAAGAAATCCCATTTGAAATTGGTTAAGAATTAGAAACTAAACCATTGCAAACTATTGAAAGTCACAGTTTAATCATCATATTCCTAAAACCTTAGTAATGAACAAAATACTCAGGAATCCACAGAGTTGTTTCAAAATGCAGACAATTCGGCAGCTGAATGCTTCATCAGTTCTTAGCCTGACCACTAGGTAGGGGTGTCTTGCAGCATTAAATGACTTTGCTGGCATTGGCCACTTTATTGCTACCTTCCCCCATTCAGGTAAGCAGAATGGTGTTGGAAAGATGGTCATTAAAGAAGGATTCAAGTTCATTTACATTTACTCTTCTAGTTGGAATACAAAAACAGCAACATACCCAATAATAGTTTCACTGAGCATAAGTGTACTCTTTGCCTGTGAGTAAGACAGACCTGTTGTATTGGCTATAGATTTTGCACATAGTTTATTATTTATTTAAACTCTCATGGGGAAAGACCAGAAGTTGTAATTTACTTTGATTTAATTGCTCTGAGAGTCTGTGATCAAGATGATTCAGTTAATTTTAAGGCTTTAATACGTTTCTATAGTGGAGCACTCTGGGGCAAGCACAAGAGCGCTTCATAATATTAGCTCTGGCAGGTAGCTCAGCCCTTGATGCTATCTGGTGCACAGGCCATCAAGCAAAGATTTTAGAGTGTCTTATTTTTTTTCAGAATGCACTGAAATACTGCACTGAAAGCAATTATTTTAAAATCTTCAACAAACAGTTTAATAATCTGCTTTTAATATGGGCCAGTTTATTATTAATCTTTTTGTTTACCAGATATTACAGAATGTTTTGAATATCAGTCTTAATGACTGAGAAACTGTGTAGCTTGCAGTAATTTTATCTGCCCCCACCCCCCTCCCAACTATAGTCCTGACTTTGTAAAGCTTAATGACAGATTCTCAAATGTGGAATGGGTGTGTATGTTTTCTTATATGTTTACTCTTTACCTAATAAACTGCCACAGAATACAGCTCAAGCCTTTGTGTGATACATTTACAGCACTGAGACATCCTATTAAATCCTACAACAATCAATTTAAAAACAAAGTAGACTATGTTTTGATGTTCTGGAAGTGAGACAAATTAAACAGGATAAAGATTCAACTCTCCAGCCGTATTTTTGTTTCTGAAAGACTTTCCAAGGTAGTTTTTCTCTGCTTGTGGAAGGCATAAACGCTTGTGGGCATTTCGCTCACAAAACACGCAGTCACTACACTTTACAGTGTATCCTGCGAAGCGCAATGAGACGTCTCAACGACGTGATATGGTCCTATATCAAATGCAAGGATTATTATTGTTATTAAAGCTCTGATTCTCTTATTAACACTGAGGTTGAGGAGGCTAGGGTTTGCCGTGTTTTAGCACCGATAAAACATTTACAAATCATTGTGTGTTTCAGGGTAAACTCGGTGTTCCAGGCTTGCCAGGATATCCAGGAAGACAAGGCCCAAAGGTATGTTTTCTCTATCATCGCAAAGCTTCCAAGGACTGAAGGATTACAATGAGACATTCAGTCCATTGGCTTTCGTAATTTAGTTGTTTGGAAATGTAGATAATATATCTATCATCTGTTTACCTGTTTTCTGTGTCATAAGTACATGAAAATAATGAGATTAAAATGGAGGACTAAAGTGCAGAGTGGAAAGACACTGTTTTTTTAATAGAAGAATGGGGGAGGATGTGAGCAAAAAGATTTTAAGTGCTCACTCCATGATACTTGGGACTAAATACTAATAGTACTGTGACATGTCAGTAGCTTTAGTACTGCAATGCACAAGCAAAATGGGGATCTAGAATATAGAATATAGAATATCTTATTGTAAGTGAATTTGAATATCTTATTGTAAGTGAATTTGAATACTTTACATCTCGTGTTCTGTTTTTTCCTCATTTTCTTCCATTTTTTTNACTCCTGTTCTCATTGACTTACTTCTTATGTCCTAAAATCTATTTCTAACTTTTTTTATACTTTGCCTCTTCAAAGTGCACTACCTGGCAATTTGCTCGGCCAGCATAGATCTTTTGGTTGGCTGAAAATCAGTTTCAAATGACAAGTTTCATCCAATCAAGGCCCTGAAGTATAAAAATTGGCATTGTTGTGTCAAATGCATGATCAGGTCAATTTTTAAACCCAAACATCATGGGTTAAGTACTGGACATTAGCACTGGATAGCCTGTTTTGTCCACCGGTCTGACTGCTGACTTGAATTTGGGTGCCAGCATGGGTTAATATATTTGCTAATCTACTTGTAAAGTGTATTCATGAATCTTAATGCTTGTCTTTGTGGTGTGAATTGTTAAAAATGTGCTAATATTCCCAATGCAACCGGAATTTTTGTCCCCTCTGGTAAGCCATTAATTATTTCCTTTAAGTAGATCCAATGAATTATGCAATGCATCAAGAGTTTTGTGAGAGCACTAGAAAAATTAAAAATAGTATTTTAACAATGTTTTATTTGATGCATGATGTATTCAATAAAAGCTAGCTAAAAATAATATAGCTATTTGGACTCCAAATACTGACAAGTTTTTGCTCTGAAATGAGTTGCCTGTTAGAAGATAGAACACTGACAGTTTTTCTTTATAGCTGCAGTAGTTAATTGTGTATCAGTTTCATTGTATTTATTTCCTTTCATCAGGGTTCTACAGGCTTCCCAGGATTTCCTGGAGCTAATGGAGAGAAAGGTGCAAGGGTAAGATAGATAATTATTTTTGGCAAGGGAATTAAATCGAAAGCACTGTTGCCTGCAAAAACTGTCATTACACTTGATGGTAATTATCCGCCAAGCACATTTGAACATTTTGCCATGATCAAGTATTATAAAAGTTCAAGTTTTTTTCTCTATTAATTGTGTTACAACACACGTGAGTGTGGGATTGATATAACTGTGACTTCTTTCCAACTTTGCATAATGATATTTGACCGCTTTTCTACTTCTTATGAGTGTCTGTCTGTACAAGACCGCCCGAACTCCAATGTGGGCAGAGTACTAGATACCCCTCAGCTCCCACCCCTAGCTTGGGTGTCTAGCCAGCAGTATTAAACTCTATGCGACATCCTCCTGACATGAAAGGCACTATATAAATGTAAATTTATATTGAGGTATACCCTACTTACAATGTTAATTCCACATGATTTCATTCAGTTCAAGTTAGATTTGCTCATGCTTTTCATGTCCCAGAGCTTCATTGAAGGGAAGATGTGAAGGCCATTGATGTATATATTGTGTAACTCAGTTGATACCAATGTGCAACAAAAGTGAATTTGGGGGCACAGTAAGATGCACTTCAATCAAAATGTCACCGGCTCCACTGAAAGTGAGCTCCAGCATTCTTTTGAACTAGTTTGACTGTACCCAATATAGACAGATGATTTTGCCACTGGGTACTGTACCAGATGGAGAACATGAAAAGAATAACCAACCTTGGATCTCAGCATTTGAACTCACTGTATTGTAAATAATATAATGTAAAAAAAATGCAGAAATAAAAATAGGAAGAGAAAAAAAAGTCTATTGTCACAAAGCATCTTCGTTACATCTTTTCAAAATTGTCCAAGTCTAAAACTGTTTTTGCAATCAGAAGCTTTGCGTTATGATTAAAGAGCATTAGTTTAGGGCAGGGACAGGAAGTTGTTTCAACTCAACCTTAAGTAGGGGGTGAGCACTTTTTGGGTTCTGCCATCAGGAAAGTAAGCATAGTTTTATATTTTTTATATGTTTAGAACTCAGGGATGGAATTGTATTTTCTATTGGGGAAGCAGATGGAACAATTGTCGGAACGGCTCCTTACCGACCGTGGTAATAGATGTAGTATGAACAGGTCACAGTGAAGGTCATTTGGCAGTTGTGAATAAATCCCTGTTGGAATTGGTGGCTGGCCTACTTCTCAGTTGCCAGGGTTTCCATATGTGAAGATGACACCTGAGGTAACTTGAGGTGGTCGCTGGTCAGAAAAAATTGATATCACCCTGCTGAGCTAGCACATTTAATTTAGCAAAGATACAAAAGAAATATCCCGTACCTGATGCTGGGCATGCTTCTGGAGTTTGGATAAATAATTTGGAGGAATTGTGTCAAATTCATCTTTCTCAAGCCAAACGGGCTTATCTCCAAATATTACACCCTTTGGCTGTTTTAAACCAATAAATCCGAGGACATGAACAATGTAAAATTAAAGTTTCTCTTGTTTAGCTGTCCTTCGCACAGCTAAAGTTATGGCAACTTTTCCATGGATTTTGCTGACCATATCCAATTATAATTATCTTATCCCTATTCATTGTGAATTGCTTCAACCAGTTTCAACCCACAAATACAGTCAACATAATATGCTACGTTACTTAATGCATTAAAATCAATCTATTACAATGTTACTTTGTCAAATTGAAATGGTGAATTACAAAGAATAAGCAACACTTTGCATATAGAATGCTTCTAAATTAACAGCACAGATTAAACAGAAGGGAAAGCCATCACTCGAGTATGCTTTGTTATTTTAATGCCTAATTCTGTTTGACACATATCTTTATATTTCCTTCTGTAAAAAATAAATTTATGATGATTCCAATTAGAGCCTTAGCCTCCTTCTATGGATCATTTTGTAGAATAAGTGCAAATAGCACCTCATTCATCGAGCAAAGAAAATTGCGTTTAACTGAAGCATGGGAGACTTCGAGGCCAATTTCTAAACCCAGTGCAAAAATCCAAACAGAACATAGAGTAAACATTCAAGATGACAAACAAGGGACACATTAGAATCTGTTTTACTGTGCCTTTGTAAATGAGGTTAGCTAATGGTGCTACATACATTGTATGTATTTGATATTGCATTGTATAATTGTACATACAGCCAAAGGTGCACCAACCTTTGTGTATCTGCTGCTGACTTGACCAGTGTAGCAATGCAGAAATCAAAGGATACAGAGGAATCCCTGAGCTTCCTGGCAACTCCTACCTGCAGGATTGCAGTTAGGTGCCAGCAACATTATGTCAAAGGGAAGCATTGTTTCAAGGAAGTCACATTCTTTATTGTTGCAGGGATTTATTTTAATTTAATCTGAACACTTAGGTGTCCCTTGGCATGGGCTAATTGGGGTTTGCATGCATTTGAGTTGACCACCTTACAACCTATTATACTCCATTTCAATAATTCGTAATCTTAAAGTATTCATCTCAAAATCAGCATCTCTGACAGATCTACATTGTTTCTTTCTCATAGGGTGTTCCAGGCAAGCCTGGCCCAAGGGGACAGCGAGGCCCAACGGTAGGCATCTATCTGGCTTGCACTCATAATGGGGAAATGTCTTGTTAAGTGGCAGAAGATGCATCTGATAGTATTAATTATTTATATATAATGTACCTGCAAAAGTAAATTACTATCAACATATCTTGTCAGAACACCATTTAAAATGGTGAATGAAACAGTTATGTGGCTAGTTGATCATGAATGAATTCTAAGTTGCATGAGAAAATATGATGGAAAAACTTGAGAGATCACTAGATACTAAAGGTTTGAACCAATCCTCTGTGAAAATTGGTCTTGATAAAATGCAAATTAAGTGTTTGATCTATTCACTTAGAATCTTGGGCTATTATTATTAGGAACTTTAATTGAATATAATTTTGGCACTAGTACCTGTTTCCATAAATTCATACAACAACCTTTGTCTTAAATGCTGTATTTTATTCACGATGCGGGGTTGCTTTTGCTGTTTATAATCTTGAAATAATTTGTTTTTTGATGAAATATCTAGGGACCTCGTGGGGCTCGAGGACCAAGGGGACCCACCGGGAAACCAGGACCAAAGGTAATTATTTTATCGTTAGTGTTGATTTAAGACCCGTTTTACATTCGACTACAAAATGCGCAGTCATTACAGAGTGAAGCAAGACATCCTTCTGGTATGAAAGGCATAATTTCAAATGCAAGGATTTTATTTTAGCAGTCCTTGCATTTGATGCAATGCCTTATCATGTCTTCGAGATGTCTCAAAGTGCGTCCCAGAATATACTGTAAAATTAATTGACTGTATATTTTGTGGGTGAAACTCGACAGCCAATTGCGCACAACAGCATTGTGTAATAGTCCTACGTGTAGTAGTTATCTTGTAGTATCGAAACAATTCATGCTGATGGAAAACAGTACATTCTGTGGAATATGTTTCTTATAAAATGCATTTGTATTAATATTTTCAACTCGTTCTTGCCTCTAGGGTACTTCAGGCAATGATGGACCTCCTGGGCCTCCTGGTGAAAGGGTAAGGAAGATCCTTTCTCAGGCTAACAAGCTATTGTTGCAGTAACAGAGTCAGTCACAGTTGCGGCATTTTAGGACCCTCTTCCACCACATCATTGTTTTCCTTACAATGCAGGAGAATCAGTTTTGCAGATCATAGCTGACTGAGGTAGCAACTTAATGTACAGTTTAAATTGTAAACTGTTGAGCAACATACTGAACTGGCCTTTTCTGACTATCTTGGCTTAAATTCTAACTATTTTGGAATCAGAACCATCTTGCTGATAGTGTTGCATCACACAAAAACAACATGTTGCCTACATAAAGGCATGAAATCAGAATCAGCTTTGATGCTCTCCAAAGTTGAGTCGTTTTCACTTGTGTCGAATTTCATTATGAAGAGTAGCTACTTGGGTAAGGCAACAGAGGGTAGTCAGGATCCATGGAACTGTTTAACAATGTGATTCAGCTCCTTTCTTAGAGGAGGGGAGAAAATTGTCAACAAAAAAATGTTGTACATGCCTTACTCTCTTAGTGATCTTGTTTTTCAGTCTATTTGGCACAAGTGCACTTTTGTCTTTCAGTTCGCTATTTAGTAACCTCGGGGTAAAATTAGATGGAAGGAAATGAGTCCCTTATGGGACAACAAAATTTTACTTCAGAACTGTGAATTGTGCATTTTTAGCTTGAAGACTGAAGCACTGGCAGCTTGTGGGTCGAAGGAAAGCAATAGAACAGCATACACTGCTCTTACATCAAGTTAACTGCTAGCTTTGCTTTCAGATGAATGGTTTAATGAGACTGGAGCTAGCTAGGCACAGCTAGCTCTCCATTATATGGCAGATTATTACATTGCCTGATTTCTTTAATTTTGCCTCAATGCCAGCAGAACAATACAAACTCATCTTCTGTTGATGGCATTTGAAAGCCGTGCCTTTTCCTCTGACCCAATAATCGGCAAAACATGGCAGCTACAGCAGTCAAATCAAGTTGGTCGCTGTGAACACTACTGGACTGAAATAGTCCAAGTAGCTTCTTTCAGTATGGCAGTCATAATATATTCTGTATCACTGAAAGACTTGTGGGTAAATTTTTGTGGCTGTGATATGTAAAACACACACACTATCTGTTTCAGGGACCTCAAGGCCCTCAGGGCCCCGCTGGATTTCCAGGACCAAAAGGCCCTCCTGTAAGTAATCTGTCTTTTTCCATTAAAATACAACATGTTTATTAGGTTACACATTTTATTGTGGTTTCTTATCTACACAAGTGACAGATTTCCCGACTGCTACCTACTGCAGCATCCCTGGTTCAGAGAGAGAAGCTTTTTAACTTCTGAAAAGAAATATAGATGTTGACAAGGAGACCATTGTAAATTGTTATCAGCAAATGCATAAACTATTATCACCAAATATTAAAGGTAATTTATTTGATTTTCCACTCACATGGCTGTTGAACAACAGCCAGTTTGACAGCTTGCTGGATCTAGAGGGATGTCTTACATGGGTCAAAAGATTGGTAGTCAAATTATGATTCATTGTCATGTCCACCATCAAAATTGACATCATCTGCATAAAAATACACAATCCTTTATAAAATTGATTACCAACCAAAGTGTGTGGAATAAATCCTATTTGGTTGCTGTGTAAACTCAAGACACTACTATTTGTCAGGTATTGGCACGTAATTTGTTTTCTACTTGCTAAATAAACATTTTACAGCAGGGCATGCCATATGTCTCCTTGTTCATACTACAAACAGATTTTGGAAGCATCTACTGTATTAACATTCAGTGCATCAATGTAGAAATGCTCTTATGAATCTTAGAATATCAGTTCTTAGTATGCATGGACTGTACCTATATTGTTGGGAGTGATTAATTTACACTGGTTAATGTTGCCTGATTGCCAAAAATAGTCATATTATTCACTCAGTCTTTGTAATGAGTCGCCATGATAAGGACGCAGCAGGAAAAAAACATTATTTTTAACCATCTCCATATGCTAACATGCCCATGTTGTAACAACATTTTTGGACACTGAAATTGATCCCTCTATCCACATCTTATGAAGTATTTATCTCTAAATATAAGAACCTTGAATTCTTTCAGTCAATAGTAACGGATGTTTCCTTTTTGAAACCCTTTGTAGTTGCTTATTCCATCACGTGTGCTGGTTGTCTTTAGAAAGGAGTTGTACTAACATTGTCATTACTTTGTTTGCCAGGGCCCAGCTGGTAAGGATGGATTGCCTGGTCATCCTGGACAGCGTGGTGAGACAGTAAGTATGCCGCTCACTGTTGCTGGCTTTCTTTTCTTTTGACCAGGTGTGAATCAAAAGTAGACACCTGCTACTACCAGACACTTTCTAGCATGTGGCAAAGATGAGGTGCACATTTGTCATAGGACAAGCAGACTGAAGGCATCATGCTGTGTTTTCACTCCTGCCAAGATTGTCTCTGTGGAAACGAGCAAATGGCTTCTGAAGCAATGAGGCTGGTGTCAGAATGTCTGTGTGAAGTTGTGTTATATCAGACTGCAAAGACCTAAAGATCCGAAGATGGGATTAATGGCTTCAAATCAGCAAGTGGAAAATATAGTAGCATTGTTTGTAAATATGACACAATGACAACTATATCACCAGTGACCCGAGTAAGCAAAGCTGCTTATTTGCTGAGTTGCTACTTATGAATTGTTCTTGTACTGGTTCCAGTACTATGTTAGTGATCAAACCAACAAGTGATTTACAATATATTTTAACAAACAAGCAAACAAATATTTAACAGTAGCAATAAATCATATTGCAGAGAGGTCTGCAATGGTGGTGTTCCTTAAGGGTGAGTGGGAATTTGGAATCCAGTTAAATACTGCAAAAAAGATTCCGATATATAAATTAAAGGTCTCCATTTGAGCTGTGGCTGTTCAGACCATGCTATTGCTGTGTGCTATCTTATTCAGAGTGGTGCAATTCAAAATGTATTTTCTCTGTTATATAATTTGTCTTTGAAATGACAGCATTTATTTGTTGAAATTGCTGATTTTGATGAAAAGAATGTTAGCCTTATTGATGCAAGGGTGTGTAGCGAAGGAATGTAGCATCTGATGTTTCAGTAAAGACACAGTAATAGAGATGATGACTTTCTTTTCTGTGACCACTATCCTCAGAGATGTTTAAATAATTCAGATAAAAGCTCTAAACATCTGTTTAAACAAACCTGCCCAACAAAAGAGAAGCATGCAAAAAGCACATGTGTGAATGAGGCCTATGCAATCCAATACAAAAAGTCTATTGATACCTACTCCAGAATTCTGTCATATAGAGCAAACAGTGTGTACATTACAGTGAACATCTTCACAAAATTAATCTCAAGCCTTTTATGCTTCATTGAGAGAAAAGTATGATTATTAGAAATAGAGGCCAAATGAAGGAGTCCAGTTAAACCAGTTTCATGTAAGGTTGAAGAATAGTAGAGGGAAATTTTGATCTCTGAGATTGAATCAAAGTCTCCATTTTGCGTCAAATGTAAGAGTTTAACATGAAATGAGTTTGTCCACACTACACAAATAATGCCTTTTGTACTCAATTATCAATTGCATCAGGAAACACAGTATAGTTGGATTAGGAATTGGGTATTCATCTAAGGTTGAGGTTTATTATTGAGCCAGATTGGAGGGTGATCAGTGGCTGGTAAATTTACATACCATAACACTGAAGTGGGATTTCCTCATTACAAACTCACAATGATTATGTTAAAAATGACCAACTAGTAGGTAACGAGTCCCTTGTTCACCAAGGTCAGTAAATGTACTGAACATCATAGAATCAGCCTTTGTCTCAATCTAGCTTCTATTGAAACTGATCTGGAAGTAGTTGAGTGCTAACATTTGACACTTAAAATGCCAAACCATGATTACCCAGTGCGAAGACCCTTCCCTTCCTGAGAATGGAATGTCTTCTAGGCTTGTTTGCATTGAACCAAATCTTACTTAGCAAAGCCTGCTGTTAAGTATTGTTTATCAGAAGAAATGTTTGGTAAAAAACTAGATTGGCTAGATCTGAAGTGATCTAGTTCTTGTGCTCAGCACAGTTGCATTTAAAATCATGCTAGATATGATTAATATAAGATTTGTTTAATCTTCTTTTCAGTTAAATCCATTTGAACCTTCCTTTAGTTCAGTTCTGAACAGCCCTAATCCCGTAAGAAGCAAACCCTTTATATATGCCAAAATATTCTATGTACTAGAATATAAAATCTGAGATGAGAAAAATTGTCTCTTTGAAAAAAAAGTCTTTAATAATCCTTAATAATAATAATAATCCTTGCATTTGATATAACGCTTTTCACGTCGGGAGGACGTCCCAAAGCGCTTCACAGAACATACTGCAAAGTGAATTGACTGTATATTTGTGGGCGAACGCGGCAGCCAATTGCGCACAGCAATGTCCCACAAACAGTCGTAGATTGAAAATTACCAATTTATTATTGTTTTTGGTTTTTGAAGGGATTATTATTAGGCTTCTGACAGGAAGTATTGTTTTGAAAGATCTTTCTATAGAGAGGGGAAAAAAGTCAAACAAATCTGCATTATAATGAGGGGTTTAAGCACAAGTGAGGTAGTGGTGAGTTGGTGTTTGATGTGATATATCTCATTGTATTTTGTGTTTGCAAGTGAGCAAGAAAGAAGAATTTCTGTGGATCAGCATGTACATCTGGTTAGAGTCAGGGGTTGGTATTTGTTACTTCCTGTTAAGGTTATTATTTTTTCACCCCTGATGAAAGAGTATCTACTGCATCAGTCTCCACAATCAAATCATTTATGGTTCAGTAAGTGATGTGATATGGCACTCACCCTCTTTCAGTCAATCACACTCTCTTTGAACGTATTTGGGCAAATGCTCAACGGTTTCAGTGGGTTCACTGTAATGAATTGTAAAAGGAGCTCCAATATATATTTAACTACCGTGGTAATATTTTTGAAAGCATTTTTTTTAAATGCCTTTGGGCATTAGTTTCTCTTTTGAAGTTTAGCTGTATTGCATAGAAGAGATGAAACTGTACACAAGATTCCTTAACTGTATTCTCTTCCCACAACATCTTGCCATACAATGTTTTATGTGTAATCAAATCCTATGAAAACATCATTAGGTACTATTGTTTCGAAAGAGTTTTCAGTAAAAACAAATGCACCCAGAATTTAATGCAGAAAATGGGCAGATATGCAGGGAAGATACTCAAATCGTAATAAATAATTGTTTGTGTACCATTAGAGTTGGGGTAGCTCTCAACAACCTACAGTGCTACATCATTCCCTTATGAGTAGTGTTTGGTAGAAGGAAAATGTGTTCAATTATTCCTTTCAGTGAGAACTAATACAATCTGGAACCTGTAGCTTTTTAATAGCGAACCTTTCTTAAGCACTGTCAACTAAAATGGTTGACTGTGGAATCACTAAATTGGTTGAATCTGTTTCAAATGAAGAAGTAATTTGTACCAGTAATAAATTGCCTTATTATATCTGGTTAAAATCACTGTAACTAAACAAAATGCTTGAGAGCTGGCAGCTTGTTTTATTTTGCTTACTGCATTTCTCACTCCAAAAATTATTTGTGATTCCGATCCACTTAACCTTGGTTAATATTTATTTTTCATTATGGCTTAGATTTTTTGTTAAATCACCTTTCAATATGAAATGGTTTCATGAAATCGACGAGTTAAAATAAATGAAATTGTGTGCATCCCTCTACTACTTGCTCATCGAAGAGTTCAAAAATCTTTCCTATTTCAAATACCATTTACCTCTAAGCTGTATTCATAGCTTCAGGGTCCTACCTGAGAAGAGAGAAAGGGAGAGATGGTCAATCAAAACCAAACTGAATGGATTTTCATTCAACAGTTTAATTTGGTTCAACAATTATGATGTGGGAGTTTTCTGCTCTCTGTAGAGAAAAGGTGTGAAATAGTCACAAATTAGGGATTGAGAAGGCATGACCATTGTTGATGGAATACTGCTTAGAGAAAATCTAGGACAGTGAAGATAAAGAGAGATGCTGAGAGAGGCAGGCAGGCAGGCGGGCGGCAGACGGGCAGGCAGGCAATTTTGAAGAACAGAATATTTGAAAGGAGAGGCTGTGGGAGACAGATGGTAATTCAAGCAGAGAGAGGTTGAATTGTCCAGAGGGAGTGTCACTCAAAAGCCTCATCAATGGGCGTGTGGTCCAGCTTGTTTATCACAGTCTTTATTTTGAATAAATTCTTCTAGCTGAATGTTACATTTAAGGTGAACTGGAAATCAAAATCAACCTGATGTAACAGATGGATCAGGTGTAATATTTGCTTCTTTGTGGCAGTGAAGGTGTAAACTGAAACGGGCATGAACAATGTCCATCAGCAAATGGTGAAACACATGCAAATGGAAATGCTCAGTAGTTTGTTATGTATTGCAATTGATACGTCAGTGCTGTATTTGAAAGCATCCAGTTTCAGTGGAAATTGTTGATGTCCATATATTTTAAGATTTTAATGCTGAACTGATTCTTTAGTTCTGGCTCTTTGACAAAAAAAACTACAAAAGAAGAGTTGCCATACATTAGGGAGAAAAGTCTTTTTATAATGTTCCATCTCTGAAAGAAAACCTTTAAGCACTACCTCATTCCACCTCACACCCATCGATCTCTGTGCTTTCAGCAAAAAGCGTTATGAATCTCCTAAGCAACCATAGCAGAGATACTACTATCTTTGTTTTGCTGCTCACAGACTCATAGAATTTTATGATTAAATAACACTTTTATATTGGAAAGAAATGTGTGTTCCATGCATTGACCTCTGGCCATTAAATACATTTATTTATTTATAACTGCAAAGAAAATGATCTTGCACTTTACTCTGTTTGAAGTGCTTTTGAGAAACAAAGCGAAACGTGCAAATAAGAGCAATGAAAATGGTTTGTTTTTTCAGTGGGTTTTTATACTGCTTGTAATGCTGCAACTGATGAATCATTCCATCAAAAAGTGCCTCTCCTCTTTTCAAGGAGCAGAAAAAAACATGAACAACAATGACTAATGTAGAATATTCCATTCCCTTTGTTCTTTTTCAATCCTTGTTGGATTCTTTAAAAGCTGAGCAGCACAAGAAATAAACAGTTTTGCACACGATAAGCAAGAAATAGTAGGTATATTTTAACATTTAACAGTCCCACAGGTAAATTAGAAGAGTTAATAACCACTTAAATGTTGTAACTTTACAAAGGTGGGTAGGTCATCATTAGGAGTACCACTATTAATGGCAGTCCGAATAGTCGCAAAAAAAATCCTATATGGTCTAAAAAGGTTTTGAAATGCAAAAAATTGTATCTTTACTGAGCAGAGCACTGATGGAAACTATGTTTGACATTTTATCCTTTGAAGGATGCATGCCGATTAAAAGGCGAGTCGTGGCAGATTTAAACACCTCTGAAAGCCATTGTGGAGAAGCATAAAGATATATTGTATTACATTTGATTTAATAGAAATAATTATTCAGAGATGCACGTGCAATGCATCTCCACTACAGAAAGTGGCTGCTCCATGAGGAGCATATCGTGTTGCAGACGACATTGAAAATCTTTATTCCAACTTTGGTAGATTTTGTCAAAAAATAAAAATACCAACGATTAAAGTGATGGCTCAGCGTCAGCTTTGCTTTTCTTTGGCATTTTCTCTAACTTGCTCTGGGGAGCTTTTTCTCTTTCAAAGCTCCAGTGTGTCTGTAACCCGTTGTTTCTGGCTGCAATTCCTTCAAAACACAACGCATGTTGATGTCATGCAATGGAGAAAATAAATTCTAAAGCATTTTCTACATTAGAAACAATCATTCAACATCCATTTCCATGATCCTTTAAAAAGATCTGCCCCTGTGGTTGAGATTAGGTCTTCATTTCTTAGTTAACTGCCTGTGGTATGACATAGATTTGTTTACAATTTGGGCAAACCATAATGCTATTCAACAGAATTTACAGAAACTCTGTTTAAATGCTGTACTGTTCCCTGGCTGAGTACTTTCCATGAATTGTAACTTTAAACATGTTTCTTCATCAATCACGTATATATAAAAAAAAGCAAAACAACCCTTTTCTGCATGTTAAATGTCCTTCCTTACATTGAGCACCACATGCTCTACCATAATTCGAGGAGGTAAATAGTCTGCATTCTTGCCTCTGCAAACGTTGTGCATCAATATTACTGCTAAATAGTGTTTATACGTGATTATGCATATTGATAGAGAATGTTGATTTCTTGTAGCCTGTGATACAGAGATAGAAAATCGTGGTTTGATTTAATATTTGGAACAACCCAAGAAAACTTGGCCTTGAAATACAAAATAGTGCAATAATTGAAGCAGAATAGATTTCAGCTTTGTAACAATGAACAAAATATATTTGTAATACTTTTTTTGGGAGGATGGGTCGGGGGGAGAGAAGGGCATGCTCATTCTGTGTGAATCTTCATCTTTGTAGATTTTGACTTCGAAGGGAATATAGGCTGAGAGTGACTCCATATTTGATGGGTCCCTGAGAGAGCAGCAGTGAGTACACTTACCTGACACCACTGCTGTCCTGGGTATACCCCTTAATAGAGGGTGACACTTCAAACTTTTTTCCCCCTTATTTGTGAAGAGTTTGATAGACAGATGACTCATGTGGGAATAACTGACACTGTGTCCATCTCCATGAAAACCGTAACTCTTGTCATCTTAAGAATGTGACAGCGTGTTCCTGCATCTCTTCAAGGACAGGATGTGTAATGACAGATCCAAATAATTTTAAAGGATTGCACAGATTGTTATTATTTGTCTGATTTATTTATTTTTAATAAAATAAAACTGAGAAAAGCTTAGAGAAAAGCACTTTTAACCTTTTCTTAGCAATTTTTAATTACTGTCTTTTTATACCATCCTCTTGTTTGCTTTTGTAGCTTATTCAATTTACTCAATTTATTCAATTTACATACATTCAGTCTTCCTACTTTCTATTCCTTTCATTCCCCCAAAACTTTTTCTGTTTGATGTCCAGGTTCCTCCACTCTTTGTTAGTCACATTGCCCTTCTATTATTTATGAGGTGCCTTTATGCTTTTCACTGAATCTCTTACCTTCCTCGTCTAACTGACTCTAAGGGTTGTGAGTTGATTGGCAGATCGCTTTTCCGGGGTAATAATTCCTTAAAAAAAATAATAGTAATTTGGTCACTCAATCCACGACTTTTTGTGGGACACTGCTGTGTGCAATTGGCTGCTGTGTGTCACCCATAAAATATACAGTCATTTCACTTTACAGTATATTCTGTGAAGCGCTTTGAGACTTTTCAAAGACGTGATGAGGTGCTATATAAAATGCAAGGATTATTATTATGGTGCAAGGATCATGTTTGTTATAATCCAAGGAAAAGCATTGAAAGGAAGTAGGTAATGGTACACAATGTTTGTTGTGCTCTGAACTTGCAGAAATCTAATTGCATGGAAATTTTAAGAAATTGTTTTATGTACTGTTCACTGTATTTTTATTGAAGAAAGGACATGCAAGACCTGTTTTTTAGATTTTTATTTTGGTTGTCTTGGGAGGGATGAAGGATAGATGTCATCAGCATGCAATACTGGAAAGGTTATATGTTATATGGCTCTGATGACAATGCTGGTTACATAGGAAGTCTATAAAGACACAACAAAATTCATAGCAACCAAGAGAGATTGACAATTCTTCCTTTTTCTCAAAAGAATAGTGTCTCCTGAACTCTGCTGAAGCTCTTTAAATACCTACATATCAGGCAGATCAGTAGCTGATGTCTGTTGAGGCTAAAATGTTTAACCTTAACATGAGGATGTGCTAATTCTTTGCTACATTTCCGTGAGCATGTTGTAGTGTTACTTTTACAAATATCACTCTGTGCTATATCTTTTTTTTCCAACCATCCCACAGGCAAATTAGAAGAGATAATAAGCACTTAAATGTCATAACAAAACAAAGCTGGGTAGGTCATCGCTAGGAGTATACCACTATTAAGGCGGCCTCAACAGTTGCAAAACAAAATCTTATCAGCCTTAGTTGGGCTAGCTCAGTCTAAGCATGATTTCAAAGAAGAACATTTTGCAACTGGTTCAGTGAAGCCTGTGATGAGAACGCTAGATGAGAATATTTGTTAAATATTGGAACCTGAGTATAACAACAACGACAACTTGCATTTATATAACGCCCTTCACACGGGGTAGTGTCCCGGATACTTGAAAGTATAACAATCATAGACATTTAGTTCTGTTTTAAATAAAAGCTGTTAATTTCCACCATGCAATCCCATTGAAATTTCATGAAAATGTAACAAATGCAATATTGAGGCAAATAATTTATCTGAATGTCATAAGATCTAAGCATTTTAAAAAAAGTCTTTTGAATGTCTCACTTTCCAAGATTTATTATTTACAACTTTAATCATTCAAAATACTAAGGAATGGTGAATGTTTGAAAATAAGAATGCTTTTGCATCATTTAGTAATCTGATTCTAACATCAAGTATGCTTTAGTCCCATATCTACCATATAGGCAGAGTTATTTTTCATTTTAATTGGTAAAAATCAGTAGTTATCGGGTTTTGCAATTTAATTCAAAATGAGGAAAATCGATTCCTTTTTTTTCCCCACAGTTTTGTTTATTGTTTTGAAGTACAAGAATAATAAAATTCCAGGACATGAGATCATGCAGATCTCACTTCCTATGCCCACTATATGCCGGCAATGCCTCTAACATCATTTCCTGATTTAGGGCTTAGTGGCAATACATTTTAGTCAACAAATTTTGTACGATAAGAGCATTGTTTAAGTGAAGAATGAAAAATAAATGCAAAGAAAACTGCATTTCAACTATTTATTTAGCTGTATGCCAGGCACTGTAACTATTTTGTAAATGAACTTTGCTGGGCAGTGAATACATCCAGTCTCTATATTCTGAGCGGTTTTGTGAATATAGATGTTCCGCAATCTTAATGTCAAGATATTTTGAATACACAGTGTATGGATCTTCATTGGTTTAGGAGGATTTTTTTAATGCATTTTAGATATTAAAAAGTGACAAGTGTTGAATTTTGTTACCCTGTCAGTTTCCTTCATTGGCAAGGTTCATGATCCTGTTTATTACAAAAAAATCTAATTGATTCTCAAACTTCAAAGTTAACACTCAGCAAATGGCTAAACACTACATTTCTTTTTTAAGCAGCCCTTCCCATTCTCCCTCTGTTCTTGGCCCCATGAAGCCTTTTTAATCAGGTTATCTTCCTTTCCTCAGGGTTTCCAAGGAAAGACTGGTCCTCCAGGTCCAGGGGGTGTGGTAGGTCCCCAGGTAAGTGCACAACCTAATGTCTACTCTGTTCTTGCCAAACAGATCTGGAGCATGCTGTTAAATCAAATGTCTTTGTTCATGTATGCAAAGACTGTGAGTCAGATAAAATATTGAACTCACAGTAATCTTAAACCTTACTGTCAAAAATAGATGGAACTGAAAAAAGAGCCCTTTTAACCTTGAAAGTGATATTTGGAAATATTTATCTTTGTTGCTATTTTTATTAGAGTACTGGGTGAAATTATGAGTTTTGAGTTTAGAATGATGTTTCATCCTGAAATTGCCAGGGGCCATTCATATCATTCTCTTAGCATAGTTCCTGTACCAACCTTCTAGAGAAGAATATTCTAACCAACACCAAACTGACTGCAAAGTGTAAATGAGGAAATGTATTTAATACGCTGGCATCAGACTGATTATGTTATTGCAGAGCATTTTGTGCAATTGACTCTTTAATAAGATTAAACGTAATCCGTTGAAAATCCCTGGGTGGTACAATGGATGGCCTGAGTGGATCATGCAGATGGAGCCAAATTTCTATTGTGAGTTACGAATTGCAGTGCTGCTGAAAAGATCTCCACCATTGATCCACAGCAGAGATGCATTGTAGTTCAAAAGACTGGTGGTAGATCTTCAGTAACACTGGCAGGATGATTGGGGTTATTAGCGCTTCAGCTGTCAATCAATCAAGCTTCCTTGCTCCGGCTGGGAGTGAGTTTTCTCAGCTTGCAGATACCCACTACAATGAGAGAAGTTGGCCTCCAGGTTGCTCAGCGGGACAAGTGGAGCAAAACAGAGGCAGATGGTTTATATTCTGTGCGATGGAGCAGGAATGATTGCATTCAGAAAGAAGTTCAGAGTTTACACTGTTCAATGTGTGTGTGTGTATATATATCCTTACAATAAAAAATATTTTAAAAATAAGATTTTGAGTAGGGAACGCAAGTTAGGAAATCCGCAAAACAAGAAGATGTAGCTGTCCAGCATTCGGTCACAGTAAAATATAGAATCTTTTAGCAATTTCAGGCGATGTCATTAAAATCAAAATATTTTCAAATGGCTGTATTCACCATAGAAAAGAAAACTGAAAGATCCTGGCACAAAAAAAATGCACAATTTGTGGAGAATTTTCATTCTAAGTTTTTTTTTAAAGAACAAGGATTTGCTTACACTTTATATTAAACTGAGACTAAATACCATGCATAATACTACTTAATAATCATAATTTTTTTAATTATTTCAATAATTTTTCAAACTGATTTGTGTTGCCTTTTATATTTCTATGGAGTTGGATCTCAAGTAGGGAGTTATCTATATAAAAGGTGTTTGGTAACATTCATATGACTTCACTGCACTTCATTGAAGTTAATTTTATTGGTTCTCAGTATACTTTGTAAAATTCGCATTTAATTTGTAGATGAAGTCTAAATCAGCACAATTTGATGTTCCATTAAAAAATGTTAGAATCCATGTTGCAGGATTGCTTAATTAAGAATCAGAATCATGCAGATGGGGATTCTCAATAAATGGAAGTATGTTATGTCAGAAATGGGGTCTACTTCTGGAGTGGAGTTATGTACATCAACTGTAGTCCCTACACAGTTTGCATATTTAGGAATTCCTTTAAGAAATACTCTAAATTTGGCCCAAGATTGCTAATGACTATCAGTGACCATCAATACAGTCGAAGATTGCAATTATTAATCAGTGTCTAACAATCTTTCTCTGGACTGGATATTTTAGGGTCCCACTGGCGAGACTGGCCCACTAGGTGAGAGAGGTCACCCTGGGCCACCCGGCCCTCCAGGTGAGCAAGGTCTGCCTGGAGCTGCAGGAAAAGAAGGCGCAAAGGTAAGAGCTGATGACTTGCTTTGCTTTATTTGAAAGGAAGACCATGTCAAATTATGTTTTAAAGACGAGATAGATTAAGTTGGTTTATTAAAATTCTTAGGTGCTCTTAGTTTTAAATAGGACCGTGTTCTGTCATGTTAGACAGATCATTTCTACACCTGGATTCACAGTTACTAAAGAACTTGACCTGATCTGCAATGCTGCATCTGTATTGCCAAAGGGCAAAACTAATTCATTCCAGCAATGTAGTTCTGCAAGAGTAGGAAGCACCATTCACACTTCCTGCTCCTGAAGCAACATTCTACCCATACTTGCATTGGCAATTTTTAAAAATATTAATAAGCTGTTTGTGTGATCACAGTCAACATTGTGTTAAAATGGTTTAGCTCCTGTTCTCAGCCTTCCTTCCTGTGACAAAAGGCTGCTCTCTTTTAACTAGAAGTTACCTGGGAAGCTTTGGTCATCTGAGCTAAACTAGTAGGGTGGAACGCACCTTGTCAAACTGAAAGATGTGACATTTTATGTGTAGATGAGAGATGTGATGCTCTATGTCATACAGGGAAAGAGAGACTCTGGCCTGTTGACATTTTGCATGTTTATTGTCTGTCAGTCAGTGCTGCTTTGCATTGATTAACACAAATGATGCACTGAGGGTGAATTCAGCCTTTTATTAAAAGCCTTCCAAATACTGGTGAAGCTTACTCCCCGAAATCTGGGTTGAATGTCACTTATCGTTAAGGTTGTCAATCAAACCCTCAGAATGAGCCCTTACCTGGGTGCCAACATTCACTAAAAAAATGCAATCACCCACTTGGGAATTTCTCCTTGGAACAGAACAAAAAACTTTGTTGCCAATAACTGTCCTTCAGATGAAACATTAAACTGAGATCCCATAACACAAATTGAAGGAAGTTTCTCCCAATGTCCTAGCCAACAGTCCTCTAGATAAATTGATAATTTACTTTAACTGATTGTGGGACCCTGCTCTGAGCATATTTTGCTTGTGCTTTTGTACCGTTAACAGAAAAGGTATTTCACCCTGTATAATTGGTGTCGATTTTGTCTAATAAGTTAAGCTTGTTTGTTTCAGGGAGTTATTTTACAGTTCTAAGTTGATAACTTATTAGATTGACGAGAGGTGAAACTTTTATTTGAATCTTTACTTCTGTATTTGTGTAAGAGACTGGGTATGAAACACGCATAACATTCTCACCTCAGAATATCCAAAGAAGCAACTGGTTTGGCTACGTAAATCAAGTTTTACACAAAAAATAGCTTGAGGTTTGTAGGTATAATTTGCAGCAACAAGTTATTTAAAGGTTGATGTTCATTCTTCTATTTTAGGGCGATCCTGGTCCATCTGGTGTTTCAGGAAAAGATGGTCCACCTGGTTTACGTGGCTTCCCTGGACAAAGAGGTCTTCCTGGTGCCACGGTAAGTGACAGTATATTATTGTTGTAATAAAGTACATTAGCAATGACAGTCCACAATGCATAAATACCAAACAATATCAAATAATCGTAGCAGATGAATTATTGACTCAAATGGATTAGAATTTATTAAAAACTAGAAACTATCTAAAAAATTAAAAAATAAAGTAAATATAATAAAGCTGAGGTCCGTACAGGGACAAAGCTGGCACTTGTAAAATATGAATTGGCTGTGATCAGTTTTAATCTGTGTAAAGCAATACAGATCAGCTCAGGCATCAGATGCTACTTACTGACTGGTTGAAGTGAGGTCCTACATCTGTTTCCCTATTACCTATGAACTTGTGATTCTAAAGCCACACTATCGATAGCTGCTGAAGTTGTCCCAAGTGCCAGCCCTGATTTGAGAGATGCTTAAAACAGCATTTTGGTCTCCTAGTTGCCCAATGGAGGCATCTGTGACTGGTGCAAGTCACAAGTAAAACATACAAGATCACAAAAATAAATCCCAACAATTACATGCGATTCTGAACAAAGTGAACAAATATATTTCAATACATTTTCAAATGTTCTCAGTTGCTGGCAAGACATGACATGAGCCATCCAGTTTTATTGACTGACAATGCTGAGCCGTCTTAAACTGCTAACTAAGGAAGTATATGAAAGTGCAAAACAGAAAGTGCAAAACATTTTAATATACATGATGCTCGTGTTATAACTGCTGCTATATGATATATTCTGATCTGATCAAGAATATAAACAAGATGTCTGTATTTCCAGGGAGCTGGTGGTCTGAAAGGAGGAGAAGGACCAGTTGGCCCACCTGGCCCATTGGTAAGTACCACACATTGACTTAAAGTGCAGACTTTTCAACGTGGTCCGTTTTTATAGATTGTTTAAAGTTACACGTGTGAGAAAACACACATTTGGTAAAAAAAAGTATTTTCAGAGGTAACTTCAGGTCAGTTGTGGACCTGAAAGATTAATTTTGACATCTTCATATCCTGAGCCTTGAGGGGCTGTGCATGCTCTTTGAAATCATAATATCTATACAACGCATTTCTGAAGCTCAAAGATTTGCCCTAAAAATCTGAGGAGGGTGCAGCCTGACTTAGTTGAATTATAAACAGAAATACTGACTTGCTGCTTAAATACCAGAGATTGCCACAAGAAGACCACTGCTTTTTTATTTCATACAATAATCTTATGACTAATTTTATTTATGTTAGAAATGTTATTTTGTGCCTTTCTGAAATCCCCCCAATTCTTTGGAGGAAAGAATGTCTAAGGAACTAAGTTATTTATTTTGGAGAGAATAGTCTGCAGGGACATAGTCCCAAACACACTAACAATCCCAGGACAAAGAAATCCCTGAGCAGGTAATGCCTTAAAACAAATCTAAAGGAACAGTTTTATTCAAGTTTTACATCTCCAAATACCTAAAGTCAGTATTAAACTTTTAAGATTTGTCTCTTCAATCCATGCATGATTAAGCTTCAATGTTATGAGCCTAGTATTCAGCTAATTTGATTTATGTTCATCCTGAACATAACGTCAGTATGATACGAATGGCCTGCAGTATTTCACAGCAGTGGAACAAATGCTTTCTCTAGCATATTGAGGAACAAATGGTGTTGCAGGTTATAATTCTGTTTTAAAATCCATTTGCATAACAACAAAGCAAAGGTGGTCTTATTTGATTGTCACATTGTACATTTAACACCCGAGGGCAGTTCTCAATTTGGCATCTTCTTAAACATATCCAAATGGGAAACCTGCACATTTACGTGGACTATTCTTTCTTTGCTATCTAACTATAATATGATTAAATATCTGATGATTTCATTATGACTCCAGCTCCTCCAGATTGCAATTGAACATTTGCATTTTCTTTTAACCTGCAAGAACTCCTAGGAGAGTGAATAGTTTAATACCAAAACATCAAGCACAATTAATAGTTCAATTTCCACCCCCTCCCCCTTTCACAGAAGGTAATTGTGAAAATCCATGAATATTGGATAGCTATGGAGGAGGCCGTAGTTTGAACTACGGCCTCCTCCATAGCTATATGTGCCCCACAAGGAACCATGACCCTTCCCATCCAGGATATTGATACCATATCCTTGACTGCCGCTAGAGCAGGGGTCTCCAACCGATCGATCGCTAAGTGACTTCTCGCGCATGTTCAGCAAAAACAAGGAGAGATATTTACTGCATTTTAAATAAATCACAGTTTAGAGTTTTATTTTCAGTTGCATGATGTACTTTGTGCATCTGGCTTCGTTTTCAATTGTGCTATATATATATATATATATATATATATACACTTGTGTCATTTCCTATTGCTCCTTCCTCTTGTCTTTTTGATCGTGCTCGACAGCGCCACCTAGTGGTGATCAAACAGTTGGAGACCCCTAGTTCTGAGAGGAACTCAACCCCCATCCAACAGTGAAGGGGTACAATGAGCATTAATGGTACAATAGAGAGACAGTATGAGTGACCGAGCATTCAAAGCTCAGCTTGTGTTAAAGCATATAACACAACACATACACTGCTGTTATTTCCTTTAATTAATCCTCCGCTCAGTTTTTTTAATATTAAGTTTTTATTGAATAGCAGAGAGGAGCTCTAGCCCATGATCCAGGATCTTCTATTGAAATTATTGTGGTAGTTCTAACCCACATAAATGATGCTTCATGCTGTCTAATTCTACTTGACATTTCCATACCATTTTTTTCCCCAATATCGTGCACTATTATTTTGATTGTATTTGAAAGAAATGCTCGTTTGAAGACACTAATTATTTTATTGGTGAAGCAACAGTCGACTTAAGCCATCTCCCGCTTACTTCCCCCTTGGCTTGTTGACCTTCAGAATGAATAAATAGAAATGAACTGTTTGACTGTGCCTTTCATTGCAAAGTTGTGCATAAGAGGGTAGTATTCCACTAAAATGTACATATTTCCATCATATTTAAATATTTATTGCAATAGATGAAAATTTTAATGCAGAACGGTTAGCGATGACTTTAACCATTTACACCTAAAATATATTTTCAATTGTATTGAAAATATTGTCTGCCAGGCAAATGGAAATTTCATTACTAAACCTTGTGGTCTTCCTATGATTTATTGCTTAATTATATTGCTACAATAATACGGTCTTATTGAGGTGGAATTGTTCCATAATGTGTTTTCGTTTCAGCAATCAGTTTGATGTAGAAATAATAGCACTACTGTTTAATATTTAAGCGGAACTGCCAACTGAAATTAGTAAACAAATTTGTGAGTCATGCCTTCGTACAAGAGCCAACATTGTACAACAGCAATCTTCATGGTTCTGGTCTGGGATGAGGAGCCATTACCTGTCCCACAAAACCATATTACCCTCTACTTCTCCCAGTCTATACACCCTCTCCATTCGAACTGGAGGATAGATATTCACAAATTGGTTAGACTTTTCTGAACTCCGCTAAAATGTTTAGACCTCATCTTGCCACCCTTCAGGTGCTAGCATTGTCGCTCAGCATTAGTTGACTGAATAAATTGGTGGTTCCCCATTCCTGTGCATCTGCAGTTGGACCCTTGAACAGGAAGTCATATGTGCAACCAAATTACAGCCACGCCTGTAACTACAACTGAATAGAAAAGAAAAGCAATTGGGGTAGAGTGATGCTGGAGGAGATAAGAATTTTTTTCCCACATTTAAACAATGCACTGTGAAAAAATGCAATGCTCTCCTACATATGGCAATATAAAGTAAAGCACTGCTTTATTACCAAATACTGTCATTCATTTTTTTCAATGAAGTGTAACTGACAATTATATATGCTGCTAAATTCAGAATATAGGAAAAGATTTGCATTGTTTTGCAGTAGTTATATTTGTTCAGTCTTTCTTTCCCACATTGCTTTTATGATTGTGTAGCTTGGATGATGAGTGCTCATCCTTGGCTTATCGCCAGTTGCACTGGGCATTCAAAGAATTAACACAGCTTGTTATTAAAAAAATGAGTATCCCACTCAGTAATCTACTCAGTATTCTGCTGACCTGTGCACAGTGTGGTGCAGCAGCTTTGAGGCAGCCCTATGATTTCAGTTTTGTTAACAGTAGGTGACTTACAAGCTAATTTCCCTGAGTATCCTGAGGGTCATTCACAACAATATTCGGACAATGTCCAAGGTAGTTTGCATTTGTGAGACTTTTAGTGAGAAAAGGCGATTAAATAGAAAAATATCTTAACCACTGAATATGTTATTCTACTCTGAATAATATTTAGAGGCTAAGAAATTATTCAAATTAATAATAGTAATATTTCTATAAATATTAAAATGAAGCTTGAATGTTTTTTTTCACACTTTTCTAATACTAAGGGTAAAATAACGCTGTATTTTGCTAAATGTTTTCTTATATAATACTAGACAAAAGTCAGCTAAAGTAATTATCTTCTGAGAAAACAAAGAAGCAAGAAAGAATTGTTATTCTTGAATTTTGGTTAATTTTATGCTTTGTTGATCACAAATAGCAGAATCGAGTTATAAACTTCTCTTTAGGTAAATAGCAGGGTTAAATTGCACTCGAAGCAATTAGCCTTGCATTCAAAGTCAAATGCAACATTTACACCTCATGACATAATTCTAAGAAAGCCTGAATGGCAAAAAGGTTTATGGCTTATGAAACCTATCTGCACCACAAACAATAAACTCCCAAATGTTAATCTAGCTTTATAGCACAATTACATCTATGCCCAATTTCATGTCACAGGTGCACAGCAATCATCTCAATTATCCTGATCCATAGAGTATTTGATCATTTGTGTTTATCCTGTTATGAACCAGTATTTTGCTTTCTGTTTTTTTCTATCAGTGTGCTTATCACCAAGAACATTTATTCTTGGTCTAACCACGGTACAATTCCGAAATGGCATCCAGTAAAGGATAAAAAATCACTAGAGCTGTAGAATGCTAAATTAGGATAGAAGCGTTAATCGGATATGATCGTAGGTATGCGCATGCGTGATAGGATGTATTTGATCTCATTGTAATAATTGGAACCGATTCATATTTAATATCAATGGTTTTCTTTTCTCTTCAGGGATCCCCTGGTGAGCGTGGCGCAGCTGGACCGGGCGGCCCGATCGGTTTACCAGGTCGTCCAGGCCCACAAGGTCCCCTTGGTCCTGCTGGCGAGAAGGGTGCCCCTGTAAGTACACGTCAGCGATTTGTAGCGTGTAACTATCAGTGTCACAGTTGGAAAAGATACTACTTACTTTCCCTTTATATATTAGTTCTTCATGGTTCAGCAGTGCCTCAAATGTGCGACGTTCTTAAACTCAGAAATATTTTCCCTTGTACAACATAGAAAATTAAACGTTTTATTTCCATGTTCCTTTGTACCTGAAGTTTTGAGGCATTTTTTCAACCCTTGGTAATTGGCAGATGGAGAAGGTACTTCTTGTGGAAAAATATTTCTGAAATCGCAGGAATATTTCCGATGTCTCAGCTTTTTTTTTGCAATATTGACTAGGGAATCTCGCATCCAAACACGTGCAATTGCTTCCTGAACCATTATCCACAGCTTTGCCCCTTTTACCTCTGTGACCTGCTAATCCCTTAGCAACCTCTCCACTCAGCCCGCTCCAGCCTTCTCCGCGTTCCCCGCCCTGCCCTCTCCACTGTTGGCGGTCGAGTCTTCAGCCTCTTTGCCTTTGGAACTTCACCCAACATTCCTTTCATATAGCTCCCTCTCTTTACTCCTTCAAGGCACATATCAAGACCCTCCTCTTCGATCAAACCTTCGGCCAACCTCCTACCCTCCCTGCCCTCCATCCTCCCTCACCCTGTCCCCCCCACCCCCAAGTCCAAATCCCTGTCTATTCAGTGCCAGCTGAGGACACTGAATTTGTTTCACACTTGTGTCCCAATCTGACTTGTTCTTAATCAAACCTTACAGGGTGAGAAAGGTCCACAAGGCCCAGCTGGTCGAGATGGAGTGCAGGGACCAGTAGGTTTACCAGGTCCTGCAGGTCCCCAAGGCCCACCCGGAGAAGACGGTGACAAGGTGAATTCATGCTTTTATTTATGCCACAATTTCTGTATAAAATATCAAACAGAGGACATTTTTTTCTGCTAAACAACTCAGTGAAATGCACACTTTTACAGACAATAAGGTGTTGTGATGTAATCATTTTCCAATGTACCATCAATATCAAAGGCTCTCATATTTGAAGTGGAGAAATAGATTTGCAACGATGCCTAGCATGAATTGGGAGCATTCCAAAAAGATTAAAATATATATTTCTTTTTTAAAAAAAGATAAACAATTGAATATGCAAAGAACACAGGGAATTCCCTAACAAGTGATGTGTTCAGTTGTATGCAGTACCAGGGCATAAAATGGTGAGAAAGGTGGTGCTAACGTTTGGAATTTGTAGCATGTTGCACTGAAAGTGAAACAAGTTTTTGTATTGAAAAAATGCTGGGCAAAGAAACAAATACATTTTATAGGAAGCTTCCCTGCCCTCTGTTAGATAATGACCTCCAATGCCCAAGCACGCTGTTTTATTTATGATTTTTGTTTCTACCAGAATTTTGTGGAATGTACATGAGTAAGAAGAGTATATACAGGAAAGCGTATACAATATTCAGTTACTAGAGAATGTGCAGCCAAGTGCTTCTTTCTGGAATAATTCTCATAACTTGAAGGGTAGAGCTACAAGGATTGACTACAAGAAAGATCTGAGAAAGTTTCTCTCTGAGAACATTTGATAAATGGTGCTAGGCACATAGAGCAAGAAAACTTCAAAGAATTACAAAATGGAATTGGACAAGTTCCTGTCATCTTAAAGCATTGAAGGTTATTGGATTTAAAGAATGGTATATATGAAAGGGATCGTCTGGGAATTGTATAAGTGGAATGGATGGATGAATAGGATTCTCCTGTCTAAAATTATTACATTGTTTGTATTGAAGGCCTTAGAAGAGTTAGGGAAATGCAACTTTTCTACTCAAGGACTTGAGTTGTATGCAAGTAGGGTTCCTACATTTGCAATCTGGCATTTATGATGACGCACAATTGTTTGTCACGTGATTTCTGACTCGGCGCGCAGATGCTATTTGGTTTCTTAATTGGGTCTTCTTTACATAATCACTCAGTTAACTTTCTTTCATGCAGCTTAATAAATTCACAACCATTGAGTCATAAATACAACCCAATCGCAATTCCATTACCTTAAATCCTCACCTCTTCAATAATAGTTTTTATTTAAGGAGCTCAAATTGAATTGAATTGCTGAACACTTGCTTAAATACTTGCTGTAATTTGGTCTCACTCTTCACTGTATCAGAGATGATACTATACAATGGATGTCTCTTTAGAGGACTTTACACAGTCTAAAAACTTGGAAGATCAATAATTCATTATCTTGTTTTCAATGGGTTCAGGATATCTCTTAATTTTAGAAATATTGATATTCTCAACTACTTAATCCCCAAACAATAAATTCAATTCTAGCTTTGTTTTGGAATAATAGGAATGCTTTCCTCCCACCAGCACCTACAAGAACCAATATTTAAGATGACAAATCTCTGAAGGGAGGTTGGTATTTATTAAGGACTGGGGTTGCGCAAGTTTTATTATCTTTCTATAGTGGCACCTGAAGTTTGAAACAGCAAGCAAGGTTTGCTGTTGTCTATCTCCGTAGAAGTGATACAATTTCTGTGCTTTGGTTTGGATTTGGCCTTTCAACTTGTAGTTGGTGCTATCCAAACTTTTAAAGAACAAGAGGGTAACTTTTTCAGATTCGAAATTCAATCAAGCAATAGCCTTCCGTCATGTCAGAAACAGGTGCATCCTCTGGACCATCAACTGAACACAATTCTGAAACAATGCCAAAAGCTCAAGACTGCAAATATTTTCATGCAGTGCAACAATGCTAGAAATGTTTGTGAGATGGAGTGTTTCTTTCACCTTTTGTCCTTTTTTTATAAACAGGAAATGATTCACTTTATAGATCAATGTACCTTGCAGATTCAGTCTTGTAATTTCTTCATGTGATAAATTATTTACTTTAGTCGGGCTTTTGGAGAGTTAGTGAGTGCCATTCCTTTCCTTGGGGAGAGGAAGAGTTAACCAATGTCTGTGGCAGATGCATCAAATAGTCTGTGAGCCTCTTCCATTGGGAAATGGTATGTGTGTGAATTGGCAGAAGAGAAATATAGGAAGAAAATCAACCTATTGCAGAGCCAGTCAGTATTAGCTTTCTATTGTATATACATCTGATCCGATTGACAATACTCAACACTGCAATGAAAGACCAAACACAAATGTGGAATATAATTTACACTCAACACATTGGTATATGTTGTTCTTAAAATGGTATTGAAATCCATCATAATATTTTTTTAAATCCAGATTTCAGTAGAAAATACATTGTTTTATGAGGATTTACAATTAATTCCATTTATTTGATTCTTTCAATTATTAGAGAAGGTCTGTCAAAATAAATTGCTGCATTGTTTAGAATTGTAGCACTGTAGCATTTTAGAACTAAATTGAAATATAATGGTTTTGCAACATGTACCATTTAATCCAGATCTGCTTGATTCTTAATGCACCTCCATTCTGAAGTTGGTTTTATCTATTTTAGCAATGCCGTCCACGGTTTAGGAATTAATATCTCAATTTGTGCTTCGATAGTTTATGGCATTGCTTGATGCTTAAACTTTTGTCAGATTCAGAACAGTTACATGTATAAAAGTATAAAAGGCTGTAGAATATCAGCAGGCACATTATTGTCTGGTGGAAGCTGAAGGGAACACAATTTCCTGCATTTAAAACTCAGCACAAAAGATATCAGACAGGTCATACTTCTCAACAGTGCGTACCTGTCAATACTGGATTTAATCTCAAACCAAGATGAACAATCAATACAAGATACGCATTGTAGGACCTTACAATTGAAACAGCATAAAAGGCACAGCACAATGATACCATAAAGTGCAATTGAAGGTACTTGCACATTGACAACCGTTAAAGATAGAAGTAATAATTGCTGAATGGGAAAAAAAGTTTAATAACTATTTTTATTTTCACGCAGGGTGAGATTGGTGAACCAGGTCAAAAGGGTGGCAAAGGCAGTAAGGGTGAACAAGTAAGTAATCCTGCATACGTTAATTGACACTTCTGTTATGCCAGTCATTAACTGAGGTACCTGAGCACTGCTGAACATGCAGTCACTCTTTTGTTAGCATAGACTCTTTAAAGTTCCTTGGAAAAGGTAAAGCATTTCTAATGCACAGCCTGTCTTTCCACTTTACCTATGCTACATTTGATTTTATATATGCAGTTCTACCATTTTGTTTGCATTACACCAATTAGTAACTTAGTAATGGGCACAGACTTGAAAAGGATTTTGAATTCCCTGCAGAATGAAATGGTAGTCATAGTTACAGTGGGTGCATTTAAAAGAGTGATTTGGGGTCTCATTTCTGCTCTAATTTTCCCTTGATTTCTATTTGTATTGCAAGTATTTCTGATCTGACTTTTAGTTTCATGTTTCTAGGGTCCTCCAGGACCACATGGCCTGCAAGGTCCCATTGGTCAGCCTGGTCCTGCTGTAAGTAATTTTACTTATAATTTATGAGTACATATTGAATAAAGAGAAGCAATGGGTCAGTGTGCTGTCACATAATATTATGCTTACATTCGAAGGCATTTGGAGAGAAATCAATACAGGATATTGAAAAGCTGCAGAGATTTTGCTGGCAAAATGAAAGTTGTCTGATAATATTTGGACTGAGATTCATCTATAAGATTAAGAATTGTGAAGTAGTCCTTGGATAGCTGGCTGCAATAATAAATGAAATGGGTAAATTAAATTTACTATTCAAACTTGCTGGATTGTTCTCAAAATTCCAGCATCAACAGCCATGACTAATTACTTGGTTATGGGAAGTGATTCTTGTTGTATGCCAGCAATTTATTCCAGGGCACATCAGAAGGCTAGAAAAATGGCAATTTTTCTAGTTGATTAAAAGCAACTTTTCGCTACCCTTCCTACTTGCCCTGGAATAAACAAACACAATGCTCTTTTGCAACTAGGGCTAACGCATAACAGAAATCATCCCATTATTAATTTCCATTGGATATGTGTCTGGAATTATTATTTGGAAGCATGTCTCCAAATGGAAATATTTTGCTGAAGCTTTGTACTCTTGTATTTGTAAATACATACCATCAGTTACCATCTTGTCTCAAGTTTCACACTGCTATTAAAAAATATTCATGAACTGGTTATAATTTTCTATTTAGAGGATTTTACTGATGTTAACTGTATTAACATAATTTTGATACTGTTTATTAAGTATGTTGTAAATTAGTTCTCAAAGTGTTATTGAGTGGCACTTTAAATTGGAATAGTACCAAAGAGTACTTAAAATGAAACATTGCACTTCTAATTTTTCTCAACAAAGGTCTTAAATAATTGAACACAAAATACTACATTGACTGGGGATTACGGATATAAAAGCTTTCCTCATAATTAAGCATTTAGTAGATCGAGGTTGATAGGCTCAAGCGGAATTTTGAGTTGGACAGTTGGATTGTGTTACCTCCATTGCTGATAACTCATTAACAAAGACCCCGTGGCTGCTACACCTATTGAAAATGGAAGAAGGAAGACGTACAACATATTTCTTGAGCAGCCCTTTTATTTTCAAACAGACCAATCATTAGTTCCTTTGGCATTAAACAGGGATGAGAAAGACGTCAACATTGGACTTTCCTATTTTAGATGCCATCTAACTTTGTTAATTTATTCCCCTCCTCCTCCTTCAATTTCTTTTCTCCCTCTCCCTCTCTTTCCCCCTTCGCCCTGACCAGAAAGTGGGGTATCTTTCTCCAGCTAACGCCTTACACTCCAGTGTCTTACCCAAGTTGCTGGTCTTCATATGTCAACTATTTATCCAGGCTGAGTGTGTCTCCAGCCAATGCTCGCAATGTACACTTTTGTGAAGGTCACAGTCATCTGGATGAGCTTTCTTTGTTCTATTCCTTCCTCCAGCCTTAGTTGGGGAAGGTAGTGGATCACACAGTTTTAGAGACTCAAATGTTCGCTCGGTCTTAGCATGTAAGACCATTTTGAAAGCCATTTCTCTTCAGTTTTTTTAAAAAAAGGCCTCCAAATTAGATTTTCAAAACATTTCCAAAATTCTGCCCCATCTTTCTTTTTATAAAAAACAATAATGCTTCTACAGTCTTAAGAATAGGTGCACTTTTGGGCCTCTGAAGTTAGCTGTCACCTTTGAACGTGGTTCAGTGCCCAATGTAACAGGAGCATTTTGTATTTGGGAAAATAGTTTGCTTGAGGTTCGAGGTCTAAATGTGCACTGAGGCTAGTAATTTCTCTTGTAAGAACAGTCAATCAGTAGGAGCTGCAAACAGTCAATTAGCAGAAAAAAAAATACCACAAATTCATTCCCTCCAGAAATAAAACTAGGCTTTCAATACCAAGATCTGATCTCTGAGTTCAGTGGTGCACTTTGATAGAGAAATGTTAACAGTCTGCCACTCAATTGCTTGAAAACAACCATCACTCAGTTCCCCAAAGCATCAATAGACGACACTGTGTGATGGATAGAGGCAGCTCTCTCTCTCTGAAGCCTGGTGCTGTAGCAGTACACCTGGGCCTCTGTTATACGTTCTGCCCAAATTGCATTTTCAGCACAAGTGCATGACTGAATTATATTGTAATTCCCACATCAGGTTTAAATGCTGCAGGAACATATCCTTGCATTTATTCCCATTGCCACTACCCACCTGGGATTCGAAAGTATAGTTTGTACAAGCCGTATGTGTCAAGCCTGCTGACTTTGGGGGGCAAATAATTGTAAAACATTATAGTGACCCCAATCTCGGAGATGCTATAGGGAGACTTTAAAAGAAAACTAAATCATTTCCTTGGTCTCTGTTCATTCAGAAGAATGGACATGTTTATTTTTTTTGCTGCTTGCAGCATTTTTATATTTTGTCAGTTTAGGGAAACCACAATTGGCACTTTTGTGAATATCTCCAGTTAAATGCTTTACATCATTTAAAGTGGAAGATGCACTGAATCCAGTTTGCAAACATCACAAACTAGACCCCAGTCTATTCCAGTATATTGTGCTGAATGTCAGATATTAGTCATCAGGATCTTTGCTATTTATTGTTCACACCTCTTGCATTTTCCTCTTCCCTCCCTTTCTCACCCTGCACTACAAAGCACTCTAGCTACGTGTGAATGAGTTGACCAGTTTCCAAGTTTCTGCTAACTCTGCTTTGTAACCAGCCTTGCAGAGGTGTGTGAAGGCAGCCTGAGACACTTTGCCCTCTAATTTTCAAATTATCTTCAAAGAGGAAGCCTCCCTGACATCCAGAGCAAAACCTTGGCAGATGCGAGTCACTATAATGCCAGTTTAGAAATGTCTTGCTTTGCAGATTTAATTCCCCACCCCCCCACCACCACCAGCTTGGGCTCCAAGTCAGTTGTCTGAAGTGCCTTGAGACATCCTACCAGTGTGAAAGGTGCAATATAAATGTTAATTGCTGTCGGGTGTTCCTCTCTAACCTTTCACTTTACCATTGACTTTGCACTTATTTCCAGTCGAAAGTGCTTTGCCCTCACTTGCAGCTTCATATATTTAACCAACCGGCTGAATGCGCCATCTTGCGATTAGCATGGAAAATATTAAAAGTCATTAGTTACTGTGATGATCTTTAACGCACATATGTGCAGAGCAGTTAAATTACATAACAATTTTATGCAATTCAGCTGACAAATCTGTGTCCCTGGCATTTCAGTTCTTCTTCACCTGAACTCAAATCTACCTTACTCGCTCAACCTCAAACATCAGAAAATAATAAGTTAAATATAGTAGGAGACGTGGAGACGATAGAGATAGTTTCTGGACAGCCAGATCAGAGCATATAAAGCAAAACCATGGTGCATAAACAAACAAAAGTACAAAGGTTACTAAAGGGACTCAACAATCAAAATAATCACTTGAAAGAAGACAGATAACGTTAATGTGGTTAGTCACATGAATAATTCTTATGCATTCTCTCTTTATTCTATTCCAGTTGTGACTGCCAAAAATACAGTACAGTGATTCCAGTACAAGCTGATGATATCAGGCAGAAAAGCTGCCTCCAATAATTAGTCTTGTGTTATATTGAATTTGCACTGGGGCAATATTAAATCTGCATACAGAGCTTGCCCTTAACATTTAATGTCTTTTGGACAACACATTGAATGTACGGAAGTCGCTTGCATCATGATTCTATTTTTACAGATACAAAGAGCCGGTTTCTTTCCTTGTCGGTTATTTTTCATGGATAAAAATTCTCACTGACTGTCAGAGGCTCTGATAGTGATGACAATTGACACTGTTTGACAGTGCTTGCTATTTTAGCTCTGGCGTTAGTCATGGAAGTACACCTGCTATCACTAATGGGAACATTAGTTGCAGTATATATGTAGCAAAATAGGAGGGTGTGCCATTCAACTGGCAACAAGCACTTAGATTAAACTGAGGTTTTGGATCGGAAATTGTTTTAAAGTTTATATGTAACCGAAAGCTCAGGAGCAAAATGTTCTGGTGCAACCTGTCAACACCATCTCTGTACAGCATTTGGCATTAAGAGATGCTATTAAGCGTAAGAAGAAAAGGTCAACCAGCAAAGCCGTTACATTTTCCATCTGCTCGTACAGTGTGCCCTTCCCCAAACCAAATTGGGCTATCATTTTGATTCATGAAGTAGCATTTCCAGATGTAAATCCATCCAGAATACTGCTTTCAGCACAGTGCATGCCTCTCCTACATGGTAAACTCAGAGGCTTAGTTATTTTCTGGGTTATTTCTGATTACTCTTGCCCCTGGAAAGTCCACAAAAAATATTGTCATTCAGTTACAGCTTGAATCCAAAGATACATGATCTGACAGAAGAATCCATTATAATAGATGAGTTACATTATAACTAGAATTAGCAGCAGATCAAGAATAAAAGGAGGAAAACATTTTTAATGTTATATAACTCTGGTGTTGAACATTTATACTACAGATTTGCTTCATATTGACCTGGCTGCAGGTTTGCTGGACTCTGGCCATCGACTTGAGCATTGAAACAGCTGCACGTGCACAGACTCGGTTGTTGCAGTAATATATCTATTCAGAAATGATTAGCACACTGATTAACGAGGCCAGAAGAACATAGCAGCTTTGCACTGCTGGAGGTCACAACTGTAACCCATTGCCCTACCACACTTACTTCACCCTGGAAACCAACGGAAGATTCACCAGAGCAAGAATAGCTCTTCATTTATATTACAACCGTACACAGATCAATATTAATTCCAGGGTTGCAATATCGAATAGCCACGAAAATGAATGAGAGGATTGTTTTGCCAATAGGTGACGTTGAGTGCTAAACAATTGCTGACAATAAAGACGTCAAACGTGTAGATAACTAATCACATTGACAGTATTGGGTTCAACAGTTATTGAACATGTGTAAAATATATGTCACTTTAAAATGACTAGCTTTCTTTCAATATAAAAATGTCATTAACGTCTCGTGTGAGGGCAAGATGATAAAGTGAAAGAGATACTATTAATTGTATCACAGAGAACAGGTAGGATTAGATTGAGTTTCTTAAAGGAGCTGTTGGAAAAGTGGGATAATGAGCAATAGATTGAATGACCTCAGATGTTCAGGAATGACTGATTGTGTTCATGTCAAAAATTGGCAGCTGGCACATTGTGTTTCAAGTACTTTACATCTCTTGTCAAGCAGGAACTATTTCTCTTGCTAGATTTAGCACAATGAGCCTGTTATTATTTAATAATGATTGATTTATTTATTAGTGTGATGTTGATTCTGGGCACATTCTCTGAATTAGCAGGAAGGAGATGCATGAAAAGAAAGAAAATTAATTGATTTTTCACTTGCAGGGAGGTGATGGAGAGCCAGGCCCAAGAGGTCAGCAGGGAATGTTCGGGCAGAAAGGTGATGAAGGTCCTCGTGGCTTCCCAGGTCCTCCTGGTCCAATTGGTCTTCAGGTAAGTCCGTTTTTCCAGCAGTCAAGACTTTAACACTCTGACCTTGTAGCCGAGTAGAATATGCAGCTAAATGATCACATAGTGAGCTGCTAAGTGCTTCATTTCCAACAGTCACACAGCACAGCATTGATTGTGTAACTTGATTTTAGCATTTTTAACTTCCAATAAATTTGTGAGAACGGTTGTGTATTTTTTTTGCTTTGCATGATCAGTGAACATCCTTCAGTAATTATAAATGCACTCCACCTTTTTACAGACTAATTAAGCCACAGTAACATTCATCAAAATCTACATTACACCCGTATTAACATACACTCTTCTTCACATTACATTGCTTGTACTTGTGAGAAATTGCATTTTAATGATGCATTTTTACAGCAAGGAGAAATCATTTTTAAATGTCATTAATTTCAGGTGGCTTTGTTAAAAGGCATTGACCGTAGCTCAATACTATTCAGTTATATAAGGAATCAAGCTTAGACCAGAGTTTGCTGATCTCTCAGCCTCTACAGTTTGAAGCCTCTTCAACATAGGTTAAGTAACGTAGATTTCCGTGATCCTTAAAACTACACCTCTTATTAAATCTACATTCTTCTCCCGCACCTATTATTCTCACTATAAAATGCAGTATACAATAGTAATTATGTCATAGTACTGTGGTAATAGTTTTACCAACAGTAGCAAATATCAGAGAAGACGTTCAGCTATTAGAATTGAAATCATACTAACTAACCATAAAGTTCAGAATAGAACATTTGCACCCCAAAGAGCTATTAAATGATCATTCACTGTAATATTATCCATGGGACATTTCAAAAAAAAATCATTATGATGAACACTTTAAATTGTTAATCATTTGCCTTTTTATCCAGAGTTATTTTTTAAATTTTTCCCTGTTATCCCTTGGGCTCTGATAGTGTAGAATACATTGAACAAACCTTGTCTTGGCTTTGTCAGATCTCTTTTAAAATAAGATTTTTTTTCAGTTTAATTGCTTTAATAGTTACCATCTTTTCTAACACATAATTAGACTTCAAAAATCAGAGATGGTCTTTCAAACTTCAAAAGAATTGGAGTGACAAAAAGATTAGACCTGCCCCATAACAAATTTTTGCCCCCTTTTATTCTGCCAGAATGATTCAATGCAGATTTATGCATGTCACATCCAAATCTCTGTTACCAGGGTTGAGGAGAGCTCAGAATATAAGAAATTAATGTAGATGCAGAACTGTGCTACTCAATGCTAAATGTTCATTATTATTTTACTGTTATTAAAAAAATAGGTCTAACTGGCTCATCAATAAAGTTGGAAATCTTATCAGTCATGAAATGGACCACCCAAGAATTTTGAAACGCACTTTTTTTTAACTTTAAAAAAATCTCTGATTTTAGATGGAGTGCACCTCATCCCACCTTAGAGATGGGATGGTTTTAGGAGCAGGATATTAAATCCAGTTGCTGCCCAACATAATTGATTTTTACTGTACTTTTTAGCATTGATTCGATGCAGTTTTCAAACCATCGGATGCTGAAGCTAGCGCTATAGCTTCATTTATTTCCATCAATATGCATTTATTTTTCCCTTAAAATTGCTCATTAGATAAGATGGGAGTAAATTCAAAAATTCCCCCAAAAATCTTTTCAAAAAAAGTGCAAATAAGATTTTGAGAGGAAATGTCTGCAGGTCATTTATTGCCTTTTTGTAGAGCTGAAGTGAAGCAAATATTCAAAGCATTTATTGTAAAGCAACTATGAAACCAATAGCAATTACTGAAGTTTCAAGTTGTTACTTTTAATCCTTTGTAATCCATATCCCTATTTCTTCCTTTATTATTTTGCCAAAGATAATTATCAGGCCTTGGATGTAATCCTTACCTCTCTGCAGTTACATTAGTAATAGAATTTGTTTCGCAAATGGCCAATGTTGTTAGCAACGTTTGCACGCAAGGGACAAATTTGTTCATTTGCAATTCTTGTTCTCGAATAGAGAACCAGGTATTTATTAAATGTCCAGCAGAAAATTGATAGCAGTGTCTTAAATGGAGGAAAAGACATTCAGCCTAATTGTACACAAGTGCAGTGTCGTAATGTTTATCTCTTCTAATCAATTTGCTGTTCAATGTGCGTAAATCTAAGCATGGAGCTTTTAGGAAACACATTACATTCTTTAACAGTTTGGTGCTAACACTAATGTTGTCTATAAAGGGTAGACCACCAGAAGGGAATGGGAAAATGAGGGCTGGGAGTTCCAAAGTTTTGGCGTGTAGTGGCTAAAAGCATGGCTGCTGTTGGTGGAGCTGAGAGGATGAGGGACAAGCATGAGGCCTGAGCCAGCTGAGGGGAGGCAGCGGGTGGTGGAGTAGGGAGTAAGCATGTCAGAAAGGTAGTGAAGTGCCAGGGGATGAACGGATTGGTAGACGAGTTTGAAGATCTTGAAGTTGTGGTTAATTATTATTTGCTTTTTCTCCCCCAATCATTATAGGGTCTGCCTGGACCACCTGGTGAAAAGGGAGAAACTGGTGATGTCGGACCAATGGTATGTTCACTGATTGTTAGACACTGGAACAATTCAGTTATTCTTGCCTTAAACTGCCTGTACTCCAAAGAAAGATGGAACTTGAATTTGTTCACATGGACGAACAAGTCCATTTCTGTAGGTTCTGGCATAGAATTTACAGGCTGGAAGTAAACCAGATGATATCACATGATTTAAGGTCCAAGGACCTTGGGGGTCATCAGCATATATGTATATATGTATGTATATGTATATATGTGTGTATATATGTAAATATGTAAATATGTATGTATATACGTATGTATATATACATACACTCCATCCCGTGGTACCTCCACCTCGCCCCCTCCCTTGCCACTTTCAAGACCCATCTCAAGACACTCCTCTTCGACCGTGCTTTCGACTGCTAGAGTGGCATAGGAAAAAAGTTAATCTTGTAAGTTTACAAAACCCGTGACCCATGAGCCGGAAGAGTTGCCAAGTTACTTCTTTCTGTGCCTCTGGTTTGTTGCCCCCAAACCCTCCCACAACCACTCAAAACTGTTTCTTCCCCCTCAAAACATTATAAATAACGTTTATTAATTGCTTTTAAACAGGGTCCGCCTGGTCCACCAGGTCCAAGAGGTCCTCAGGGTCCCAGTGGATCTGATGTAAGTAAGAAAACGCACAAAAACCTTTTTCCTGACTTTCAAATGAATGTCACTTGCACGAGTTTTGTCTCTCATTCTCATCATCCCTCAATTTCTTTCTAGGGAGCACAAGGTCCATCTGGTGCAATCGGCTCTCCTGGTGGTGTTGGTGAAAAGGTAGGAATATTAATAAGAAAATGTCCCAAGGAGCGTTCTGTATCCTAGTGCATGTTCAACCGTTCTTCAATGTGGAGTTCTTTTCATTCTTATTTTAGAAAGATATCAGAACTCTCCCTTGCGTGCACACACCCAAGGAATGAGTTGGGAAAGTTAACAATTTTGGTTATCTTGCCTATGAGAGGGGTTGTTGAAATATATTTTGATCAGACTAGATGAGGCCTTAACTCTATCAGTGCCACACAGTGTTGGTAAAACAGACTGTTTGAACTTATGATTTCTTCCATCCTTTATTGTTCATTAAACAAAAATTCTCAAAACCAGCTGGTAGCACCTTTGCCTTGTTGTTAGAAGGTTGTTGGGTTCAAGCTCCACATCGGGACTTTGAGTTCATAGTCTCGGTTGACCCTCCAGTGGGGTGCTGGGGAAGCACGACATTGTCAGATGACATTAACACTTGTCTGTTCAGGTGAACATTAAGGATTCCACGGTACTATTCGAAAAGTGACTTTACGGATCATCTCCCTAGTAAAGTGGTACAACTCAAAGTGGAAATAAGTTGGTTGAGCAGTTCACCGCTCTTTATGATGTGGCTATTGTATATATGGGGTGGGGGGGTGAGGAAATTTAAGTGTTGTTTTCAACAATCTCTCTTTGCTTCTAGGGTGAGACAGGTGAAGCTGGTGACCCTGGCCCTCCAGGAGAACAAGGTTCTCGTGTAAGTTATTCTACGTCACTGAACAAATACTTAGCCGAAATTTCTGCAACACAACACTTCTCAAATAGAGTACATACCATTTCCTAATTCTTGACATTTACTGAGGATGCGTGGTGTCAATTACATTTTAAGACCCCCCCGTAACCCCCACCCCCCCCACTCCACCAATTTAATTAATCATGAGGTTTGGTCTTGCAGTGAATGCTCCTGACACACATACAAAATAAATGACATTACCCTGGGCATTTGCCTTTCCGAGAGCAATGCACGTTTTGATCAGCTTCACTTAAAATTAACAGAACAAATAAAGAGCGCAGCAAATCTCATTTATTCCTCACCTCAAAATGGCAGCAAACATGTGCTGGCGGCTCTGAAAGGTAAATTGAAGCTGCTGGATAATCAGTGCAATCGAGCAAGTAATTAAAATGGGATAATTTTGAGGAGATTGCCTTGTACAGTTGTAAGAGATTTCAATTGGTTTGTGGCGGCTGGATTTGAAAAGGTCAGAGTAATAGGTCACCTTGCATTTTAATTATTTAAACAAATATCTGAATCCTATCAGGCGTTCCACTTGATTGGCATTTGAGCAGATATTCCAATCATCGCAAATATGCGAGAATTCACAAAGGTCAAATGATACTTCCAAATTCAGGCACCTTGCCTTGCGATTGAAAAGGCGTGAGGGGAATGTGAAGTGACTTCATATATATCATGTGTAATAGTTATCACATTGACCGTAAATACAATCTAAAAGAGTCAACATAAATCAAGAAATATGCAATCAAGAAGAAACTAAAAACATGGACTTACCTAGACTTGCGCGAATGTTCGGGAGTGGGGGGGTGGGTTTCTTGATGGCCCCACAGGCCACTTTTGGCAAGCAGGCCACAGGTTAGCCACCACTGCTTTACACAAACAGTTGCAAATATGTAGACAGAGAAGACAGATAATGCCAATAATTTTAAGAGGGAGGTGAATAGATTTTTGGTGAGGGAAGGGTTTGAAGGGTGTAAGAACTAGAATTTATTACCATGATCTTCATTGAGTTTGATGGCAATTGTCTATGTTGCCATGATAAAATTTGTAGCAATTTAGAAATTCCAGGTTGGAATTAATTGCCAAATCACTTGCAGACAGCTAACCTTTTAATACAGAAATAATACTAATAATCCTTGCATTTGATTTAGCACCTCATCACATCTTTGAGACATCTCAAAGCACTTCACAGAATATACTGTAAAGTGAATTGACTGTATATTTTATTAAGCTCGTAGACTGAAGGCAGTATATAACATTCCAGTTTATATTGAAGATCTTGCAATTAAGCACTGTCACTTTTGCAGTGTAACTGCCTATTTGGTACTGAACCCATTATTTGGTCTCTGCAGTTAGGCCAGTGCTTTTACCCACAGGGCATGAGAGTAGCCCGGAATGATGGCATTTTGTAAGTGTTTAAACAGCGTGAAAAAATATAATTACAATTCTTTGAATAATTTATGAAAAAAGCAAAGTAGATGGTTTATAAATTACACCTCTGACTGCTAGTCATTTAAGAATATGCCCAGTAAAGCACTAAATCGCATCTTGGAAAGTTGTCCTAGTTCAATTATTTATAGCAGAAATTAATCAAGCTGACACAGTTTTGTTGCGCAAGGTTTCAGATCAGCTGTTCACTTATTGAATGTGCTAACATGTTCTATTACATACCTGTTCAGGGCCCTAAAGGTGATCGAGGAGACAAGGGTGAGGCTGGTCCACCTGGTGCTGCTGGCCCTGCAGGTGCTAAGGGTCCCCCAGGCGATGATGGTCCCAAAGGCAACCCCGTAAGTTTGTCTGCTTGCCTCAACATCTTGCACACCTCAAGAGACATTTGTTTTTCTAGGGACCTAGAAAAATGGGAACAGGAAACAACCCATTGAGCCTGTTACATCAGTTTATTAGATATGGTCAGATGTTTTAATCCTAGTCCCTTTTGCCATACATTTTAATAGCTCAACTACCCAAGTTATTTTCCAAACTCTCTTTTGAACAACTCCTATCAATTCTGCCTCCGAAGCTTTCTGGTGTAGAGCGTTCTGCTTCTTCATAATCCTCTGTGTGAATAAATGCTTCCTGACTTCATTTCTAACTGTCTTAGTTCTGATGTTAACCTTACACCTCTGCACTGGAAGCTCTCAACGAATTGAAGTCCTAACCTGTGGAGGTTTCATAAATAGGTTTGACTGTCATAGCTGCAACCAATGTACTTCGGATGAAATTTTCCAGGTCAAAGTGTTGCTTCTTGCACATTTTTAATGAATTGTGTTTTCCTCCATAAGTTAACAGGGAACTTGTTTGGTAAAGCTTGCCCATCCATCTTAGTCCCTAAGTATTACCTTAGAACCTCAGTGACACAGGGACCCTTTGATGGATTATATTAAATCTGATAAGTGACTTGCTCTCGCCAGACTTGGCTGGCTTTGAGAGATGGATTGTCTGACCACTATCTATCTGTCTGCCCATTTACTACACACACAGGCACTTTAAATTGGGATATATCACAGTTTTGTAAAAATACGGACTTTCTTGTATCCCATTCAGAATTAAAAATGCACTTTACTGCTACACGTTGCTGTATTCTGCAATGTGTTCTACTGCTCTGTGATTTTAAAATTCACTAATTTCCTTGTACCTGATTTTATTGTTTGAATTTACCTTGCAGTACACAAATCAAGACTTGTTTGCAGTTATATCGGCATTTTGATTTCTGAATCACGTCAATGAATGATCTCCTCAATTGCATTTGTAGGGATTGTTCATAAGCAGTTCTGTCACATTGATTGACTGTGCTATTTAACAGATGGAATAGTTGTCGGCCTTGAATGGTTTGTGACACTGTTGCATAATCTGCTTTGATCATGCAGAAGAACACTGAGTTAGAGATAAAACACACAACATTAACAGCTATGATGAAAAGTCACTCATCACACAAACTGGCATGTTGCAATGAGGCTCAAATGCACAATTATGTCGATATCAGAGGAATAGTCATGTACCTTTCCACAGGGATATGGATGAAAGAAATTATTGGCTTTATTTACATTCAATTCAAAATCCACATCCATGTTAGTAGAGATATCCAGTTGGCTGGGAGCTGGTGTAAAACTCTCATCAGATAAATGCATAGTTTCACTCAGATGCCAAACATTTTGTTGTTCTGGTCACAAAATGAGTGTTGTGAAATTGGAGAAAAATAAATACATGGAGTGCAGTATGTGTTATTCACAAACCAGATGCTTTGTGTTCATTTCAATTCATGATTTTGAGAGAATTTTTCTTAAAAAAGCTAAGTATCAGATTTTGAAAATCTGATTTTTTAAAAATCTTCAATATTGTGAATTGAAGTTACTCCATGGCAAAAGTATGGCTGGAACTCATGTCTTGATTTCTAATTCTATTCCGAATTGTATAAGCACTTTATGACTGACTATGCAGAAAAGACATGTATTGGATAAGGCAGGATAGGTCAAAACTCCACAGTTCCATTGAATCATATTTTCATGTTTTTGCAGGCTTCAAAATGTATGAAAGTATAAGGCAACATCAAAGGCATTTTTTGTGTATTCTGGACATTATGCATAATTTCAGTTAGAGAAATTGATCAGCGCAGTCATACTGTTGCATCCGGTCTTCAAGAAAGATGAGTTTGTGTTCAAGCCTTGAATCACTATATTCAATGGGAAATGGATAATGTACACTGCTCTTAATTTTCATCGAACGTTGCACTCGCTGGTATACCTGTAACAAAGAGGACAATTAATGCCGTAAACTGCATGGAAAATTCACTCTTCATTTGTTATTTTATACAGAACATAATTTATGTGTCGGAAGGTTTAAGTGAGTTTAACATGCCTATCGGTAATGTATCATTGAAAGCAAGTAATAACATACAAGCCAGATAGATTGAAAAAAAAAGCTCCCAAGAAGCATACCAGGTTGACTAGTTAATGATTTTGCGCAGTAGATCCCTGCTGAGTCAATTAATTCAAATGCTTTTTTTTCTAGGGTCCAGTTGGTTTCCCTGGTGACCCTGGTCCTCCCGGTGAACCTGGTGCTGCTGTAAGTGAACGTATTTCTACAGTCAATATTAATCCTTCAACTCTGAGTCATACTAGGTGCTCATGATAATCTGTACAAGTCGCTCAACATATTATTAAACAGAAAGTCTTTGTAAAATAACAAAGCTAGAAAAGATAAACACCTACAGCAAACAGTATGTGAAAATTAACAATTCATCATTGCCTCTGATATACATTGCTTTTCTGTTTAACGCATAGATATTTTTTACGCAAGAAATGTCAAATTAGTAGTTGTATATAAAATAAATGCTTCATTTCAGTTGGAATAATGCAAGTGTTTCAATGTATTACACGGAAATTGAGTGTGCCATTATTGTTTTTCTAATCGAGGGTGTGGATGGAACCAGTGGCGAGAAAGGAGAAGATGGAGAGTCTGGTCAGCCCGTAAGTCCTTTGTTATTTTCCTTCCTAGCGAGTTGAAACGAGAATGCTATTCGTATTGCTTTGAGAATGATAAACATTTGTTTATGTAATACAATCCGATATTTAGTAACTGTAAATACCTGAGATTGTATCCAATGTAAATCTTTAAATTGAATAAATGACCCTGTTGACACTTATTGTCACATACTCAAGAGCAATGTTAATTAAACACCGGGGTCTATTTTTGACCAGATTTATTCATTTAGATTCCCAAATCCCAAATGGGGAATCCTGCTGATGACTGGAAATTAATGATTAATAATATGAAAACAATTATTGATTGTATTCATTCACATCTAATTAAGTCACACAGGTTCACTCAGTTCAAAGGTGTTCACCCTAATTTTGAATTTATGCTTCAAAATGTTAGGCTGGGAAGTTGCCAGGATTTTGCCAGCGATTCACCATTAAACACTGGAGTCTCGCTCCTGCAACCACCTGGAGTATATTTCCAGTGATGGGCATTGCACATGGGTTGCTCAATTATTGCCTGCTGTCAGCGGTGGAGTCTGACACTGAGCCAGGGGGAAGATGACCGCATGCAAGATCAAATAGGAAAGTCTTCAGGTGGGATTTGAAAGTGGGGAGCGAGGGGGCAAGGCAGAGGGATTGAGGGAGAGAGTTCCTGAGTTTCCAGGACGTAGTGGCTGAAGGCACGGCCAATGATGGTGGAGGGACAAGGGACAAACAGGAGGTCGGAGCCATCCGAGAGGAGGCAGCAGGTGATGGAGTGGGGAGCTGTCTCTGTGCTGTGGGCAGGGCGAAATCTGCACTGGAGCTGTTCAAGTAGGGAGTGGAGGGAAAGATGTGAGCGAAGTTGGTTTGCATCGATGCGTTCCAAAACTTTGGCCAAGTAAGGCAGGTTTGAGATCAGTCTAAAGTTTGTGAGGTTGGATGGAACGAGGGTAGATTTTTTAAGTAGATGTGTGATGACAGCGGTTTTGAGGAAGTGTGGGACAGAGCCTGAGGAGAGGAACTGCTTGAGTCAGCCAGCAGTGGGCAGAGGAGGGAGAGTTGAGTGACCAGAAGCTGGGTGGGAAGAGGATTGAGGCAACAGGTAGTGGGCTTCATTTGGATGATGGTGGGGGGAAAGGGAGGAGGGAGAGATGGGGGCAAAGGAGTGTAGGGTGGAGGACATGGGAGTAGAGGGTGATGAAGATGGTTTTGTAATCCAGATCCTTAAAATGTTTGCTATCAGCTACTGTGTGTGAAGAAATGTTTTATCCAGAGGATAACTCAGCAGTGACAACCAGTTAATGATGTTTGAAAAGCCCCAAAACTTACAAGCATCGTGCAAATTAAATAAAATCTAGAACTCCTGAGTTATAGGGAGTAGATGACCCCTGGATTCATATCTGAGACGTTCAATTTGTTCGTGAATGTTTGTTCCTTACTTTTCCACAGTTGAGTGACAGCTTACACATTCATATAATAAATTCTGTTTTCCTTGTGTGGAGCTATTGTTTCACTTACCTATTAATATATATTGTGCTTCGCACATTTATTTGGAATCATAATATTGTAGGTGCACCGAAGGAATCAAGACAGAATATCAAAAAAAAATCTTTTTTAAAAAAAACTTTCCAACTTTTAGGGTCCTCCTGGGCCATCTGGAGAAGCTGGACCTCCTGGGCCTCCTGGCAAGAGGGTAAGAGTTTTTGTGTGATTTACGTCCTCTTTTATCATGTTTTATTCAGTCTGTTCATTTTTACTACATGCATGATTCCCATATTGGCATAAAGAATAAGTAATGTTCCAGTTCTGAAGAGTGAGGGATAATAAATGATCAGCATGAAAACCTCCTGGTAAGTTTTGCCTCCAAAATGCACAATCGTTACAGTGTAGAAAGGAAACTCAGGTCAATAATTTTGGATGTGTCAAGACAGTAGAACATGAGAAGATAGGTTTAGAATTATAAAGAGCCCCTTCAGGACAGATACCAGGGCATTTTTTCTTCACACAGAGAGTAATCAGTGACTAGAACAGGTTGCCAGTAAAAGTGGTAGAGGCCAGGACACTAGCTAGATTCATTTAAAAATCTGCTTGATGCTGTGATGGGAGGATGGTAGAGTGGGTGTTCTGGAGGGTTGAGATCAGATGAGCCAAAGGTCTTCTTTATCCAGAGCAAACTTGTGATCTGTCACTCCTCTAAACCAATTTGACCTGCTCATTCCCAACCCCCACTCCTCCCCTCTCTACTTTCCTCCCAGCCCACGCATGACCTATATACTTGTTCTTCATATAGAGATAATTAATGTTCTCTATTCTTCATTACTCACAGAGGAAACAGTCATTTGGTAAAGCTTCTTGCTGCTAGGTTGGCAAAAATAATACGTATTACATTGATTTCATGCAACATGAAGGGGAAACAATGCAGCTAAGTCGCTGTATAAATAGGATAGTGACTTACACAAATGCTGTTCTTAGATAAATAAAATGCTTTTGAAGTTATTCCACCATAATAACGATTCAACAAACCATAAGAGAATTAAATTATGGTATAAAGAAGGATATAGACAAGACTCCTGTTCATTAGTATTCATCCTGCTGTTCACCATAATAGTTTTTTTTCTGCCTTATTGACTCTACATTTGTTGATCAATGACCATGCACCATGTCTACTTAAGATAGTAACACAAGAAATGGGATTTAAAAAGTTCAATAGACAGAAGCTGATTATTGTTTCTGTGATGATGAAAAACAACCTAGGAAATAAGATATGCATTCTCTGCAAACAAAGCTTTATATTGGCTCACTGACTTGAGGATTTGTGTTAATTGTAATGTCACACACTTTAAGAATAAATGCTAGATTAATATGTTATAGCAATGGATTAAGCAGTTTCATTGCTAATCCCATCCAGAAACTCTTAAGTCTTTCATTGAATTTTATGCACACATGTTCAATAACTAAGATGGTAAACACAAAAACGTTGTGCCATGCCATTACTAATCAATCTCCAATTTAGATTTTTCAATGAACTATTTATTTTCTGCCAAGATGTGCAGAGGCAGTAATCCTTGCAAGATATGTACAAATCCCGAAACAATGAAAATTCTTTACATTATTTTGAACATGTACCTACTGATCTTCCAGATTTAGTGTCCTTATCATTTATTCACAGTTCAGTAATCTAAAGCCAAGAACATTTTGGTCACCCTTCTCTGAATCCTTTTGTACTGATTTAATGCAACATATATTGACCTTACAATGCACATAAGTACAATGGCCATAGGTGGATACATCATCTCATTTGTAATCCCAGGAATATTTTTGTATTTTTATATATTTCTCTCTATTCCTGCTAAGATTGACTCCACTCAAATGACAGCTCTTAATCAACATGCATTAGAAAATAGTAGAAAGTTCAATGACATCAGATTGAAGTATTCTACTGTGATCTTCTTTCAATGCAAGTGGAAGCCATTGACATTATAACTCCTTATATGAAAACTAAATAGTTTTTTACACAGCAATCTTTGCATTAGGGTTCACTTTAATGATAGTGAAACAAAATGCTCTTGGTAATTAGGAATATTAAAAGGGAGGTTGAGAAAGGGGATTTACAAAGCTTTAATTGATTCTTGGCATAGATAAGATAATTGTCCCATTATAGCATTATTTTGTCCCATTATTTTTCACAAATAGAAGTAAAGTATTAACAAGAATAGCTGACAATTCCCTGTTTCACCTATGTATAGAAAGCTTTTTGATAAAGGATGGAGAAAGTTTTCAAACTGAATATAAATCTAAGTGTTTATGGTGATGGCCTATAACGCTATCCGGTCACACAATTTCTTCAAAGTAGAAAATAAAGTGAAGCTATCATTTCTGGGACAAGCAAACAACACAACATATTTGAAGGTTATCGTTAGAACTACTTATAAAATACCATATGACAGCATAGAGTGTTGCAAGCAATAAATTATTTCTGTACTTTGTAAGAATTCAGTTATTTCTGAGCTTGATTATTTTTAAATCATTGCAAGAATAATAAAGAAAATAAATATCAGACTTCAGCAGCTCTATGGTACATATTGGATTAGAGAATAATGTATTTCAGTAAGTTGGAATGAATTATAGATACGTTTGTGTTCTTGAGCTGGCTTAGAGCCAGACTATGTATACAAGCTAAAACTCAACAAAAGTCCCCAGGGCCATCTGTAATTCATCTCTTCATTGTCAGTCAGTCTACTTTACTACAACATACTCTAAGTTTCGTTTTTCCATTGTGAAAAATACCATTGCTGTGATATTATTCCCAAATGGTAAGGCCATTGGTTAGGAGAATAGGCATGTAATGTCCAATGCCAGGTATCAGATAATACAGAAAAATAATCTGTGTTTCAAAGGTTGGGTAAAAGTACTGATTATAATGATGTACATTATATTACAAGAATTTAACATATATTTATTCAATAATAAATTGCAGCTAGATGCAGCTCTGATAACGGATACAAATTTACATTTGCATAGCATTTTTCACCATTGGAATGTCCTCCCGAAGCATAACAGCAGCAACAAAATTTACATTTGTATAGCGCCTTTCACGTTAGGAGGACATCCCAAGGCACTGTAAAAGTTCTGGCTTGTCACGTGAGGGGGAGTTAGGAGGGGAAATTCACGCTTGTGTATTTTTGACAATTTGCATAAATCCAACTGGCCCCTTCCCTCCCCCGTATGCTAACTAGATTCCGTATTGCCTCCTCACAGAGATCATCAAATAAAAGTACCATCTCCACAACCCATCAACAAAGCTGCAAATACCACAGCTTTATGGTGTTTAAAATGAAATAATGGGGTTTAAAATTTTCCATTAATTTTACAACCGGGGAAAAAATGGAATACGCCATGCATAAAACAGTGAGCGACAATAAAAGTATCTCCATTTTCCTCATAAGTACTCCTGCAGATGGTAGTACCCATGCAGACAAATGGCAAAGGAGTTGAATTTTAAGATCATAAATATCACAATGTGACCTTGTAAATAAATATTACCTTTAAATACCTTATGAAGGATTTCCTCAGTGGCTCAGTGAGTCGCTTAGTTAAACAGACAATTTATACTTTTGTAACCAGCTGTAGATTTCTGGAACTCTTAGAGCATATTTCCAAGCTGTTGGGCTTTCAAGCAATTAAATATAAATAAGGCAGTGAGAATGCATCTCACTTATTTTCAAATTAATACATTTTTAATTCCTAATTATCAAACCTAGTGCTCAGTAGAGCTTTAGAGCTCTAATAAGAACTGAACATAAGAGACCCACAGTATCTAGTTAGGTAGTGGTAAACTATAACACCTGATTCTGCATCAGAGCCCTGGCTTTCATTTTATGCAGTAAACAAAAAAAAATGGTAGTTGTGTTTCTAAATACAGCCTTAGTTTTCAAAGCCATTTTTACTCTTAATTTGTTTTAAGATTTGCAGGAAACTACCTTCAAAGTCTAGATAGAATTAACTTCAAAATTCTGAACACAGAAATGGTGCTCGAATAGAATAAGCCAAGACCTGGGTGTAATTTCTCCCCATATAAGCCTTCATTAACTTATTGGCATCATAAAATGTCTATAATTCATATTCCTTGACAGAGAGTATATATTCTTAAAATTGTAAGTTACAATACGGTGAGAAATAATTTATGTAGGAAATAAGCTGCTTCTCGTTTCAGATAATGTACTTTGCTTTTTCTGCAGTCTGCCGGCAAATTTGCAATCTTTACCTCTCTTCGGGGAAGTGACTTGAATGTTTGATAGCCCTGAGCACTGAGTAATTCTACCAATTTGCTATTTAGTAAAAGTTTTACAGCCTCAACTGGTCAATTAGTATTGGCTTCTGTTCAGCAGTTAGCATTTCAATGGTGCTGCAACTCAACAGTAAGTGTGTGACATAAATAATAATTAATAACTCTTCCACACGGATGAATGCCATCTGTGTGAGGCCCATAATTAGCTGTTTTTAAAAGTAGATCTGCTGATTTTTGTCGTTTAATATACCTTGAAAGAATATTAAATAGCAGCAGTAATGTAGATTATTTATCATCAGTTTGACGTTCAATATTCAGATATTAGGGTTAAATGCTCACAATAGCCTATTGATAACAATAACTGAATAGCAAATTAATGCAGTATTTTGATTGACGTTTACCACAGAAACACTGTGTATCTTTTCGACTACATTTATCTGTGGAATTAAAATAGCAAGAAATGCAAATAGGAATGGCAAGGCGTATAGCATAATATGGAATTCATGGAATTGTACAGAAATGTCGCAAAGTGAATTTTAATCACAGCCTTGAGTAATTAACATGCAAATGTTCCCAATGTAATAGACCATACTTATAATTTTTAATATTATAAAATGCTGAATTTGACTATGGTATGGTAATTATAACTCTGAAGTGTTCTGAGCGAGTTATTTGTTATCGTAGAACCTATACGGAAACCACAGAGAATCCTGCCGTAAAATGAATAATTAATGTAAAGCCACTGTGTTTTTAAACGCAATGCTATTTCCATTGTTTTAGTGCTGCGTACAGTCACACACTGAAGGACATGGAACATTGGATATGAATTCTGCGTTTCACTCAATTGATATCATACAATATTTCTATTTCAGGGTCCTCTTGGAGCTGCTGGTGCAGAGGGCAGACAAGGAGAGAAAGGTGCTAAGGTACTGCAGTATTCATTTTTCCACAATTGCAATGAAATCTGCTCTTCTTATCTCGAGATGTCATAATCTGTATTCCTGTCTCTGAACTCGTAGAAAGTCCATTGCAGCAGCTTCCACTGCACATGTATGTATCAAAAGAATAGAATTCCCTTCGCCCACTCTCTTCTCTGCCACCATCCGAAAGAAAATGTGGAGAAAATTTGACTCTAATTGCAGTGGTAGAGTATTGAAAAAAACACAATTCATGTTTTTGCCTTATTAAATGAAGGTTTGAGAGCTTTAACTATGCCAAACTTTAAAATGTTTGATTGGAACTTTAGCATTGTCCACAGCGATGGATACAAATGTGTAGTGGAAAATAAGAGAATCCATTTGATTTTAACATCAATTTGATTTCTTCCTGAAAGGGTGAATCTGGATCTGAAGGTCCCGCAGGAAAGACTGGCCCAGTTGGGCCTCAGGGTCCTCCGGGTAAAGCAGGACCTGAGGGTCTACGAGGCATTCCCGGCCCTGGCGTAAGTACAGAATTGATCATATCCCAAACATTTTATTTCACTGAATTTATTATTGACACGAAAACTAGAAAAAAAAACAATTTCTTTACCTCCTTTAGGGTGAACAAGGTCTTCCAGGACCACCTGGCCAAGATGGTCCACCGGGTCCACTTGTAAGTAACGTTTTGTTTTAGATTTTTGAAAGTATTTTCATGTAAATAGCTGATCATTAAATATGTGAGGTTTTCATTCATTTACAGTGCATTTGTAGCAGCTAGATTTTTTTTAGCTGCCTCAGTTCGTATCACTTATGCTTCTAGCTCATAAAGTTGTGAATTTAAGGCCCATGTCAGGACTGAGCTCATAATCTAGGATGACATTCCAATGTACGACTCAGGGAAGCGATGCATTGTCAGAGGTACCGCTTTCTGGATAAGGCTTTAAACTGAGGTCCAGTCCATCTGTGCAAGTAGACTTGAAAAATCCCATGGCATTACAGGACTATGGAGTTCTGTAGCTCAGTGGTTAGAGCACTCACCTCACAACGAGAGACCTGGGTTCGATTCCCAGCAGAGTGAAATGTTGAGCAAGTTTCCTTACTCCACACGCCTCTGTTTACCTAGCAATAAGTAGGAACCCGGTTATTAGTCAATTAGCGGATTGCTTTTCTGGGGGCAATAATTCCATAAAAATAAAAAACAAAATTGGTCAGTTCAATTCACGACTGTTTGTGGGACGCTGTGGTGCGCAATTGGCTGCTGTGTTTTGCCCACAAGATATAGAGTCAATTCACTTTACAGTATATTCTGTGAAGCGCTTTGAGACGTCTCAAAGACGTGATATCAAATGAAATCAAAGGCTTATTATTGTTCGAAAAGGGTGTCCTGACTAACAATCCCCAAGATAAACTGATCGTTCACTTCATGGCTGTTTGTGGGGCATTGCTGTGCGCAAATTGGGTCATGCTTCACCTGCAAATACAAATGTATTTACAAGTGTAAATAGACTTGACTAATACTTTGTTTTTCATCCTTGTAACTTATTCTGCTGGCTCTGGTTTCTTTACATTCATCTGAAGACACATTCATGATTGACTTTTCTACAGCCTGATCTCTACCAGTATTGACTTGTGGCTCTCTCAGCTGGTCTTGTCAGTTTATTTCTAACATTTGTCATTCACTCTCAAATTGTCACCTTGTTCCAATCTTATCTCTTTTTTCTTTCCAGTTTGTACTGATTTCTTGCTTGTGGCTCTTGATTGCAGCTTGCAAATTTCAAGATGGCTCCAAACCTGGTCTATCCAGGGTCAATCTTTATAATCCACCCTACCTTTGTGATGACTTGTGTGTCACTTATGACAAAATAATATCATGTATTCTGTACTGCAAAGGTTAAGTCAAAAGTAAAAACACTATCATTTTCATTTACCTCTGCAAACGAATAGGATTTGCAGGCATTTTGACATAAAATATTCAGCTCCCCCACAGCCAAATCTGACCTGTTTTATTTGCTTCCATTGAAATAATGTGTGGCCTATCTATCCTTTGTCTGACGCAGATGCATCCTTGTTAACTTCTCCAGGGTGTGTAAAAAATACATTAAACCTTAATAGTTCTGCTGAGATTTTAATATTTGGCCTTAGCATTCAACAATAGGTATGGGGTGGTTGGCAAACAGTAAATCATATATTTTACTCCTTCATATACTCAGTTTGCCTGGAGAAATTGTAACACAACAACCATATTTATCTTTGTAACAAAGAAATGCTAATCTACAAATGGTGTAAGATTAGTAAGCATTTGCACTTTCCAAACCCAATATACAATCAATGGATTAATTAAGCTTTCTAAAACTACCAGATATTAAAAAAAATCTGTACCATGTGCTGCAGCATTTGCACCTGTAAAGCCATTTAATTCGCAGCCAGATTTTGTTTCATGGAATGGCTTCTACTCTTGCTTTGTGGCCATATATTTTTGCACAAACACCAAGGATTGTGCTTGCCTATTCCATTATTTCAGTGATCGAGTTTCATTTATTTATATTTTTGCAAAAATGAACGCAAACATGGCCAAAATTAAAGGGCTTACTGTCAACAAAAGATCTTTCCTATCCTGCTGTCTTTTAAGTGGTAACCCATTTTCTCAGTTATTTTTGTTAACACTCTGCCACCTGCTTCTATGTCTCAATGTGTGCACAAAAAATATTTTTAAAATTTGTAGAATGATTTGCCCCTAAACCATTTCAATTTTCACTCCAACCAAATGAAATCTAACTTGTTGGCTTCTTCTTTAGAGGAACAATGCTTAATGCAGTGGTTTTTTTTNACAAAACAACTAAACAGATATTCGGGAATCAATTTTGTTACGTGTGACATTCATTCTGCATTTCTCAATTCAAAAAGGCTTTGTTTGGATAAATGAGTTCATACTTTCGGTGACAAAGTGATAAAAGTCTGTAATAATCATCATCTAATCTGTTGGTTCACTAGAAAGCTTAATTAATCCATTGATTGTATATTGGGTTTGGAAAGTGCAAATGCTGCTCTTTGTACCAACATAGCTAATAACTGTATTTAAAATGGGCAAAATATTACTTATTGACCAAACCAGTGATTAATGTCTAAAATCAGACCTCTGGGAACATGCCTTGCCCTTCAGTAATCAATTTCCACATATCTATTGAAAGTTGATTTTGCAAACTTTACTCTGAGATGCTATCCTAGATGAAGACCACTGTACAAATGCAAGTTCTTGTCATATCTGAAGTTTATTAATACTGTTAAATGTAATATTATAATTCTGATATAAACTTTCATTCTTTAGGGTCCACCAGGGTTGCCTGGCCTGAAGGGAGATCCAGGGACGAAGGGTGAAAAGGTGAGCAACTATAAAACCCATAGCGGTCATTATTGTCTATTATTCCATGCAGCCCAAAATTGTTCATTTGGTACATAGCTCAGTGAACAAATCTAAGCATCGCCCTATTTTTATACTGACTAATTTCAATTAATTTGTTGTATGTTAGAGGTTGTATGACTTTCTCTTGTGGTTCTGTAGGGACATCCTGGTCTGATCGGTTTGATCGGCCCACCAGGAGAGCAGGGTGAGAAGGGTGACCGAGGTCTTCCTGGTCCTCAGGGCACACCAGGAACCAAGGGAGACCCAGTAAGTACATGATTCTGATTTCAATTCTTTTCTGCCCAGACAATAGCATCTCATTTCAATATTTCCATGTCGTAAAAAGAAAAATTGCATCGGATCTGTTTGTCTGCATATGTCGGACACCCAGCTGTCCAATTTGAAAAAAAAATTGTAAATTTGGAATTGGTCCAAAAACTGTCAACAACTTTTTACACGTTGCGAGGTGACTAAAATAAATGCTTCAGTTTTCACACGCGCAAAAAAAAATGTTTTTTTTTCACCTCAGGCTGAATGATTGTAAGTTAAGTGCTCCAAGATGAAGGGCAAGTTGTTGTTATTGTAATTGCTTGCTTTGGTTTTGTAGGGTATTGCTGGTTCTTCAGGTCCTCTCGGTCCTCCTGGTCCCCCTGGTTTGCCTGTAAGTAAACAAAATATTTATTGTAAATTATTATATTTATACACAAAATGTTGAACCTGACAATTTCAGTTCCATTTGTTAGTTATTCTTCAATGGGCTTATCTCACTTTGCTCATTTCTTTATTCCAGGGTCCTCTAGGTCCAAAGGGATCCAAAGGTTCAACGGTAAGTGATGCATTTGCTAACATTTTTGACTCACACCAAAATAAAGATCATTTTGTGCCCTTTTCAGGACATTACCTGTGTTCATATTCATTGCCAGATCGTAAAGTGCCTGTTTTTCTTCATAGGGTCTTGTTGGACAGAAAGGCGACACTGGGTTATCTGGCCCACCCGGTCAACCTGTAAGTGCAAAACCTATGTGAATCTTTTTGAAGAATGATAGCTTAATGCAGGAGTTGTTCTCAATCTAACCCTTTGCATGTCACAGCAGAGATCACATTTGTCTGAGGGTCATTGGGATCCTGAAGGATTTACTTATTGGCGGTTCCATGTGCCATTTTGAACACTTTTTAACACAGCGGTAACTTTTTTTGTTTTCATCATATGTATGACGGCCTCGATCACTATAATCTGTGGTCTCTACTGACTGGAAATTCTGCTTTTAGAAGTCAGTTTTCAATCAATGAAACAGACAGCGCAAACTAGAATCAAAAGGCATTTAGTGGATTTAAAAGTTTACCTTTTCTAAGGAAACAAAGTTAGAAAAGATGGGATATATTTGATTAGCTGGGGGAAGGTCAGTAAAATTAATTTAAATAAAAATAAGACAGGGAGACCGGCAAGGAAGAGCAAATAGGAGATTAAAAGGAATGAAGATAAAATGAACTTTTAACATTTCTTTGCTTTTGGTTAGTGTCACAGTAATGGTGCTGCAAACTAATGAATGTTGAATATTAAAAATTCACAATTCCCTTGTATTCATTTAAAATAACAAAGTATATTACCTACAAACCTCAGGTCTTGGTCTCAAGCATCTTTTGAAAAGTCTAAGGTGTAATGTGTGTAGCTACACTGTGGCCCAATATGCATCAAGTCTGATAAGGTAAATATATTTTGGATATTAAGTTTCAGTTTATTAAAGTATACCTAATTTGTTTGCTTTACTTTTAAACTTAAAGGGCCCACCAGGTGAGATTATCCAACCCTTACCCATCCGATCACCAAAGAAGTCGAGGAGGTCATCTGACGCGCAGGCTGATGAAGCTGGCAATGATCTGGAATACGGTGATGGCATGGAGGAGATCTTTGGCTCACTGAACAATCTGAAAATGGAAGTTGAACGGATGAAACATCCAATGGGCACAGAAAACAACCCAGCTCGTACCTGCAAGGACCTGCAGCTCTGCCACCCAGACTTCCCAGATGGTAAACAAGAGTGGTCTTAAATGGGCATATAATTAACAATCAAGTGATTCAACCGCACAATCATATCAATATGGAGTCCCATAGCACAGAGGTTAGTGCACTCGCCTCACAAGTGAGAGGGCCCAGGTTTATTTCCTGGGTGGGGCAAAACCTTAGACACGTTTCCTTACCCCACACGCCTCTGTTTACCGCAGTAAGTAGAAACCTGGTTATCAGTCGATTGGCGAATTGCTTTCCGGGTAGTTATAATCCCTTCACAAAAAAATAATAATTTGGTCAATTCATGACTGTTTGTGGAACACTGCTGTGCGCAATTGGCCAGTTTTGCCCACAAAACACACGGCCGATTGTTAAACTCATGTAACTTTCAAACTAAAGTACCACATAGTTGATCGAGAATGATATTGACCTGTTTTAATTTTCTGCTACAGGGAAACAATATCCTCTATAGACGTAATGGGCATGATAGTGTTGCGAAACCTGTAACTGCAATTTTCATTGAGATCTGGGATGAAAAGAAATCTTATGTGCAAATGATGATCAAACCTGTGACGAATATTGACTCTATTCAATAAACTTTCATCTGGGTTGCAAAGAAGGCTTATTGAATGGAATCAATTCTTTAAACCACTGGTAATAAATGGACCTGAAGGTGTCTTGAAGTGCTTTGATTTTTAGTGTTATAAAGATAGCTGAACAATCTACTTTTTTTCTTCAGGTGAATACTGGATTGATCCTAACCAGGGATGCCCTGGAGATTCGTTCAAGGTGTATTGTAACTTTACAACTGGTGGTGAGACTTGTATCTATCCCGATAAGAAGTCAGCAGGAGTGAGTAGCTTCTGATCCTTTGATTGTGTGTCTATTGTTAAGAATTTGTCATTGTGTAAACCTTTGACACTGGTACAATCCATAATAGTAGGCTTACCAGCGATAAACTCACTGGAAAAAATTGCATCTTTGTTTTGTAAGTGTGGTTTGGGTCAGCCTGTACTACACCCTAAAATTAGATTTAGATATTGAAATTGTACTCCTTAATCCACATTATACCTTTAGGTCTTAATTTAAATGGTTGTAAATAATTAATAATGTAGTTCCACTTTATGTATGGATTTGGACCGTGAATGTTGGAAGGCAGTTTTGACCAGGAGGGACATCACACTTGACCCTGATGCCTACACATGTACACTCCCAGCAGAAACAGTTGTGCAGCGATCAGGAGCATGATCTCAGTTTAATTTTTCTCGCTATAGTGCAGGTTTGCTGAGACCACTTGTAATGCCCCTAGTTGAGATAAACACACACCAAGGACCTGGCCCGAGACTCTGTATAGCTCTTTTAGTTCAGGCTAAATAGCTTTACCGACTGACCTATGGGGTGGGGGAAAGAGAGGAGACGCAAAATTAAGAAAACTTACAAATTAATTGTGTTTATTGCAATATTTTAACGTGTGCTTTACAACTGCAGTAGGAATAGAAGCAAACCTAGACCTATCTTAAATTCTACTTATCATTGTTATGCATTTAGACATTCTGAGCATAAACATTGTTCTAATTTCACAGGTCGATGCACACAGTTGTGTTTCCCAATTTCCAATCATAGAAATTGAAGCTGCTGCAATTTTCCAGCACTTTAAAAATCAAAAGGAAACAATGATTCAAAAGCATTGATTGTCCATTTCTAATATTCATCTCTGAATTTTTTTAATTGCAACAAGATTCGCAGTTTATCGTACTGTAAAGGAGACATTTACTATGACAATTGGTCAACGGTTTAGGGTGCTTACATTCTTTAAGATGAGAAATGTTTAAATGCACCCATAGAATTGTAGCAAAAGAGAATCAGCTGCCAAACTGCCCTGTGTTTTGCTGCTGAGTGTAAACGTTTTCCTCTTTAACTGGATAGTTTCACATTACTGCCCTTATTCTCTATCAGTGATGTACACTGGAAGCATGAAGTGAATGCTAGATAGATTTTTTTTAAAACCTTTGCTGCTACTTATTTCTCCCAACATTAATTCATGTTTTTATTCCAAGAATGTCTAATGGACTTTATCTGACTTTCTTCCTCCCAAGGATATTTAGACAAGTGCCTTTCTTAATTTACATAATCATTTTAAAATGAAAAAGTTTGAATCTTTTGAAAATTGGCACAAAAATTGTTGTTCTAACACAAATTGCCTCCTTCATTTATCCTTTGTTTTGATAGGTGACTTATCTGTTCCTTAATTTCAGGAAATTATTTGTTTAAAAAAAACAGCAGGGTTAAATTGCAGACGTACTTCGCACCAAAATTAATGGAATTTTTTGTACAAGGTGGCACTTTTATTGTAGTTTAAGCCTTGAGCTAGCTTTCAGTGGAATATAGAAAATGAGACTAATCAGCCAGATGTAAATAGTTATTTGTGTTATAAATAATAGTTGCAATATGTGAGAAAAAAAACTAACCCTTTGAGTATCTGAAATGAATAATATGTGGAAAGATTAGACTTAATGAATGTTAATCTTTTAATAGTGTTAGTCTAAAACATGCTTTTTGCCCTAACTGTTAATATATTAAAAGTTCTCACTCTCGTGAGATTCATGAAAGTGAATTTCTAATTTTATCAATCATGGATTATTCCTGTGCCAAATAATTTCCCACTTAATTTCTAACACCATTTCCAGGTCCTAAATTTGTTACTCACCAAATGAGTTTATTGAACGATGAACAAATGTCAACATTGCATCAAAATAATGTATTATTCGTTGAACTCACTTTGAAATAAAACAGCAATTTATATTGATCCTGTTACTAGTTAATTTATCAGTGGACTGTCACCACTATATATTTTTAAACTACTTTTTTTCTTCCACAATAGGCTCGAATTTCTCCTTGGCCAAAGGAATCACCAGGATCCTGGTTCAGTGAATTCAAGCGGGGTAAACTGGTAAGCTTGCTTTGTGGGCCTTTAATTTTTCCAATTATGAAAGGGTAAACAGTGAGATTATTTCCACTAGTTGATAAATTGACAAGAAGCGGGCACAAGCTTAAAATTCATTCTTGAATCAAACACCACAAATGCCAATGAAAACCATGTGAAATAAGTCAATATATAAACATTTAAGCAATAAATATATAAAAGGGTAATCAGGGAAAGAGCAGGAACATGGGATATGAGGAACCAATTGGATGGGCCAAACAACCTATTTCTGAAACATTTCTGTGATTCTGTACCTAAGCACTTACCACACCAAATGGAGGCTAAACATCCTGGGTCCTTCCAAAACCACACACTCATATTGTAGATGCAACTCTTGAACCTGCATTTTGGTAACAAGCCTACTTTATATGGTTTTTGGCCTCCTCGAGGGCTCCTACTCCTGTCTGAATTGAGTTCTGGGAGTCAGTCAAAACAATCAACAGCACAAACACTGATAACTCATATCACTCTGAAAATGAACTAAGAATATGTTATTTCTTTCTGGAGGCAACTTATTTATTCGTGTGCAAAACAAGCTGGTATGAGCACCTTGGAAATGGAAAGCTGAATGTACCTTGGTGCAATGCAGAACGAACTTATTTCACTGATCTTTAAAGAAATACAACCGCTTACAGTCATTGGTTTCTATAGGCCAAATACCTTATACTCTAGGATAAACCACAACAGGTAGAATTCCTGCAGACACTGGATCATCAAATATCCAGTGGTACATTTTGCAAGTTCAACCAGCCTAAAACTTTAAAACTAGTATTACTGCAGTATAGCAGCATAAATCCAAATTGGTGCATGCAGTAACCTATGTGAAGAAGAGTGCAATGGGTAGCTAGAAGTATAATTTCAGACTATTCTGCTCCTAGTAGTGCATCACTACTAAATCAATGCAGAAACTGAAGTGTAACCAAGTCACTAAGTATTATATTTTATTTGTTGAGAATCTAAGTGAAGACTCGTAGCACAGTACACAATCAAGGTTGGACAGACTAGCATAGAAACGAGATAAACCTAAAAGGAAATGGCTATGTGATGTGTCAAGATAGCAGCTTGTATGAGGAAGAAACAAATGTCAGGAGATGGTGCAATCAGATTGAACACTGAGTATGCAGGAAGAAGAAAGAATAGATGGAACAATGCTTTAGAAGAATATTTGGAAGTGCCTTGACTGTAGTACCAATAAAATAGAGAGGCTGCAGCAAAGTGAGAGGATAGAAGCCATGGGAGAGAAAAGGATAACCCACCTGTTCGTTACTGATACTTTCAGCAAATTCACTCAGGAAAAAAATGTTTCTGGTGAGCTTAGCCTTCCAGCTCATGAGTTTGTCTACTACATCCTCCCCAACTCCCACACCGGCCCCTACCCACACCTTCGAACATGTCTCCCACTCTCTCACCACCACTATAGCCTGCATGAAACCTACCCCTCTCCTTACCTCCCAGCTCCACCTCCTTGCTCCTCTACTCACAGACATCATAAACCTCTCCCTGACCACTGGTACTCTTCCCACCCCATTAAAAATGGCTGTTATCACTCCTATCCTCTCCAACCTCCCTTTCCTCTCCAAGGTGCTGGAGAGTTGTTGCACCCCAGCTTTGCTACTACCTCTCCCACCATTCCCATCACGATCCCCTCCAATTGTGTTTCCGTGCTGCCCCCAGCACAGAAACAGCTCTGGTCAAAGTGACAAATGACATTCTGTCTATCTGCGACCAGGACTCCCACTGCCTCCTCGTCCTCCTTGACCTTTCCGCTGCCTTCGACACCGTCGACCACCTACCTCATCCACCATCTCTCCTCTCACCTCAACCTTCACGGCGCTGTCCTTGACTGGTTCAGATCGTACCTCTCACACCACCTCCACTTCATCTCCCCAAAAGGTTTCTCTAGGCCCCACACCGTGCAGCTTTCCTGAAGGCTCTGTCCTTGGTCCTTTCCTCTTCAATATCTATATGCGCCCTCTTGGTGACATCCTCCACAGACATAGGGTCAACTTCCACATTATGCAGATGACACGCAACTGTATCTCTCTGCCTCCACCCTTGACTACAGGACCACTGCTGTCTTGACAGAATGTCTATCAGACATCAAGTCCTGGATTAGAGCTGGATGTCAGCCTCCCCATCTCCTCCCTCCATAGGCTGCAGATCATCCAGAACTCTGCAGCCCGTGTCCTCTCCCGCAACAGGCTCCGAGACCCTATCATCCTCGCCCGACTCCACTGGCTTCCCATCACACAGAGGATACAGTTCAAGATCCTGGTCCTCACCTTCAAAGCCCTCCATGGTCTTGCTCCCCCCTACTTTTGCAACCTCCTAACTCCCTACCATCCTTCCCACTCCCTCCGCTCAGCACGTCCCCCACCTCGCTCGCCCCACTCTGCCCCCACCTTCTGGAACTCCATCCTGCAGTCCTTCCACCTCAACCCCTCACTTGCCTCCTTCAAAACCCACCTCTTCGACCATGCTTTCGAACCCCCTGCTTCCCCCCTGCCCTCCACCCTCCCCGATCCTGACTCCCAATTCGGGTCCGAAACTCTGACTCTCCAGCGCCTTGGGCTGTCCTCCTGACATGAAAGGCACTATAGAAATGTAATTTTGTTGATCTTGTTATAAATACCTTTATGATTGAAAATCATAAGAAGCTCAACATAGTATAATTTAATTATAAATACTTTATTTACCACTTCAAATGTTAGGAGTTTCTGCGTAACTACAACTAGGGCTATTGCACTGATCACTATCCTGCATAACTTAAGCAGCGCATGTCTGGCATTGGAGAACGATTCATTCTTCTTGTTCACACTCTCACCTGAAACGTCTGCAATTCTCTTACAGCTCTCGTATGTGGATTCTACAGGCCAACCAATTAACTTAGTGCAAATGACATTCCTGAAACTACTGAGTGCATCCGCCAGACAGAATTTCACTTACAACTGTCAGATATCAGTAGCTTGGCATGATGTGTCATCTGACAGCTATGACAAAGCATTGAGGTTCCTGGGATCAAATGATGAAGAGATGTCACACGACAATAATCCTTACATCAAAGCCATCTACGATGGTTGTGCAGTAAGTGTTACTTTGACATGCATTTATTCTTCTTCTCGAAATCCTGCTGTGAGACGTAACCAAGTTGATCTGCAGATTCAATTGCACTTCACAATTTTTTTTGATGGAGTTGCAGAAACAATGCAAGCAATGAATTCCTTCAATTTATGCTACAGCTTTTAACATGGCCTGTGTACTGTGCATTATAATTATCATATTTGTTTTCCCTTAATGCTCCACCATTTAGTGTTCTAATGAGCCACACTAGTTTCAAAGTTAGAAGTAAAATAATTTGGTGGAAAGAAACAATGGTCACAAGCCAGAATTCTGAATTGAGTGATGATGTCTACTGGTTTCAGTTCACTAGTTACTTTACAATTTTTCAAAGATTTTGTTTTGCCTGAGAGCTATATAGTATTAAGCAATATACTAGATCTAAGCAAACTTACAAAAATCAATGCCAAACACTCCAAGACAAATATGATAACAATAAAGTGTTGGTTCTGCTCAACACAATTGTAGTATCACTTACATACACTTCTCATTTCAAGGGATGTCAGTACGGATTGCTGTATAAATTATTTACATAAATATCAAGTTTGTAATCTCCTTACGTTTTTTTTCCATTCACAGCTGAGAAAAGGCTATGAAAAGACTGTAATTGAGATCAACACCCCAAAAATTGACCAAGTGCCAATCATAGACTTTCTGGTGAATGACTTTGGTGATTCGAACCAGAAGTTTGGATTTGAAGTTGGTCCTGTATGTTTCCTTGGCTAAACTCAGGACATGGGGCAGATCAACAAGCAAGCTGCAACTTGGTGCCACCAACCCACTCCATGCCACATGCAAGTTTTGAATATGGATGGTGTAGAAAATATCTCTCGCCGTGTATGTATGTATTATTATCTAGAACATACGTGTTGCCCTTGTAGGGCCAGAATCACATGACGTAAACCTATTATGGTAAACGTCGAAGGACATATGATGCCATGGCGGAGAATAGCACACAGACAACAACATAGGCGTTGCTGTGAAGTGTCGCCTTCCCCTTCAAGATGCCTCCGGTGCTGAACAACTGACTGTCACGATGCTCTTTCACATGCATTACAGAGGTGCTAAGAAGGTGTATTTTAATTAACTGTAATTATAATTGTAAAATACTGTAATTTCTGTATCCACTTTCAAAACTTGCATGTGTCTCTCTACTTCACAACACTTGGCTATCTTTAGTGCCATTTTCAAAATAACCTTTTTTTTTAAAATTGAAAAACTGTGTAACGATAAAAAATAAAATGTTAGCCTCCAGTAAATGAAATTCATTCTTTTTCCCTGATTGCAATAAATTCCATTGTGTATATCGGCCATGAAGAGCTCTGTCTTTACTTACAGTCGCCTTCAAGACCAGAAATGATAAAACTAGAAGATCTTTAACAACACATCAGTCAAATCAACATTACTGTGCTGATGTTGCTATGTATTTGCTATGGTACATTTTCGAATGATAAAGGAATCAATCCCTTATGGAACAAGTGCAAAAAATCTATTTGTTGGTGCTATATTTATAAGTTTCTAGCAGAACTGCTAGACCCGTGAATGCTTAAGGTTACCCTGTATCTATCTATGACGTTCGTATTCTGTGCAATGGGGGTAAAGGCATTTCTCAAATCTAGATCTCGCCAGTTACAGACAGACCTCTTTGCTTGCGCTTTCCCATTTCATGAAAAACAAATGCACTTCAAGTTTTTGACCGAGAAATTTATTACAATCTAAATCAGCTGTATTTTTTTCTATGCCCAAACTTAGCTTTACGATTTGACTTGAATTGAGGTAACATTTAGATACCTTTATGTCAGTGCATTGATATTATGGCTTCTTTCAGCAGACAGCAATTTAGTGCCGGTAGAATTCTCCCTTCCTAACAAGCATACATTTCTTAACCCACTAGACTAAAGACCATGCACTCCATAATATGTTTAGGTCATGTGATTCTAACTAGTTGCTAAGCAACATATTACGCGACTGCTACCTACGGAGCTTAATTTCTTGGACCCAAAGCTTTTCAAATCTTATTAAAATATTGTTTAAATTAAAGTCAGTTTGGTCTTCTTCCAGCTGAGTACTCTGCATTAGTTGTCTGGGAATAGGGAACAATTTTTGAAAACTTTCAGAAAGATAGATCTCTCTTTTGTAATTATTTTTCATAATATATGTAAGACTTGAAAATACATGTTTGGTAACTTGCTCAGTGAGTTTTTAAATTAATTGGTATCAGACCCTACAGGCCCGTTTCTAATGAAGACTTGTGTTTCTCCATGTGACGTAAAAACTTGTAAATTGAGATTCAAATGAACGTATTATGGTTATGCATTTCTCTATTTTCAGATCAAAGTTTGTAATTGTCGACCTCAAAAAACAATATTAAAAAATATCAATAAAAGTCAAGTCTTGTCTACCTGGGTTGGTTCTGCTGTTTCTTTTGTGCAGAGAGAGGGTGCTGGGCCAGGAATTCTGTATTGCTTCGGATGTCTTCAAGGTTTCTCAGCTCCTGCTCAACCAAAGAGTTTAATCAGTAAAGATCAATTAAACGGATGGAAGTGGTGTGCAGTTTTGTAGATTTGTAATGTGATAGGAAATTAGGAACGGTACAGGCACTCAATGAGTCTTAGCAAATCACGATATCGACTTCAATTTTGCTTTGTATAAATTGATTGTAGAGTTATCTGAGATACAAAAACTGCAAGATTTAACAGTTTAAAAAAAATGTAATGACTTCACCTGTATTAAATGGCTCTCTGTATTAAAGTTTATATAAAAATAAAATTATTTACAACGCTTTCACTTGGGTTCTAAGCTTCAACACTTTTTCTGATCACTTCGGAAATATGTCTGCAAGATATGGGTAACTTTCATTTCTTTTTATTGCTGTTATGATATGGAAAAACACTTGACAGGCAGGACATGATTTTTTTTTTTAAATTCTATCAAAAGTGATTTTTTTTGATATCTTTGGACACTCCAGTGCTGAATTCATCACATAGCCAGTGGCAGTGTCTTTGCAAAATATTACAATTAATCTGATGATGATTCTGCTCGAAATATGTCTCCAGTGTGGTAATACTTTGCCCATTCGTCTGGTGTTACAAATGGAAACCATTACTTGGTTAATTTCACCCAAATATAGGCATTCTCGATGGTCATTTTCTATTCATAAGAACATTAACAAGAGCGGCAGTATGCACTTTTAGCACAACAAATAGCTGCTTACGTAATAACGTGCGTATATTTGTTGCCTTTGTATTACAATGAAACTAGTCTCAGTTTTGTTGCTACTATTAATGTGCAATTCCTGAGAAAAATTAAAATGAAGAACACACATCACATTGTGCTGGAATGCAATGCCTTGCTTATGTATCATCCATTATTTCCTTTTTCCCTGAGGTGTGACACGACACAAAACATTTGTGTGCACTCGTTCCAAAGTGGTAGGTTAGCAATTTCCCTGGCAGAAATACAGTTCTGTGTGCCTGGGATTAGTTGCTATGGATGTTGCACTTGAAATATTGATGGACTATGATTCCTATTTTCAGATGTGTTGGCTATTTACATATGAAATTTGTACCAGTAATAACTGAGAAATTAATTTGTGTGTAATCTGTTGCTTTTGACCATTATTTCGATATTGACTAATCTATCATTCCGCTCATCACAACTCACTTTCAGATTCTTCAGTCTGTTGCAGCGTTACTGAACAACATGTCATGTAAATAACAGAATCACCAGTTGTACACAGCAATATCAATGTGTGTTTCTCACACAGCAACCGGGTTATGCTGAACTGTTTAAAATGCCCATTGACGTAGAAACAAATACTGAAAAGACAAAATATAAGGGTACAATTGTTTTTTTTTCCTACCGGGCCAGAGTAATCAGGACAAACTCTTGAAATAATCACGCAGCAAAATTTAAAACAAGCAAAGTATAACCCCCTATATTGTACATTCTCCGGTGGATATCTTCACAATGTGCGCTTATAATGCCCGCTCAGCGGGCTCCAGCCTGCTTCGCGTTGTCCGCCTCGCCCACACCACCATTGGAGGGCGGGCCTTCAGCCACTCTGCACCCACGCTGTGGAGCTCCATCCCACAGTTCCTCCGCCTCGCCCGTTCCCTTATCTCCTTCAAGACCCATCTCTTTGACCGTGCCTTCGATCGCACTCCTCCCTCCCGCACTCCACTGCCACGATCCCAACCCCCAGCTTAATTGTCCAGCGCCTTGGGATGTCGTCCCAACATGAAAGGTCCGGTACAAATGTAATTGTTATTGTTGTAATAGGATTTTCCCATAAAAAACGACTACATTTTGTGACATAAAATATTAGGACCATGGTAGCCTTAAAGCAGCCATTAGACTCTTTTTGAAAAAGGACAAATTTATGTGCATTTTCTTTTAGCTCCTCCAAATCTAATCCATGTGTCCAATCATACCCAATCTATTGTATTCCTCAAACAGGTTTTGCTGTAATCCTCTGCCAGAGACATCATTAAATCAAGATTATACTTTCACAGTATGTTCTATAATTAAAGTGCAGTTGACTGCATTGCTCATTCATTAAGCAAGAATAAATAATTCAGATTGACTGACAGAAAATACTCAAGACAGGAATCTAGAATAACCAGAAATGGATCCTCGCCATGCAGTAAGGAACCAAACAGCTATTGCAAGTAAATAATGATCCATCCATTTGATGTAGCACCTTTCACGTCAGGAGGACGTCGCAAAGAGTTTCACAGAATTTTACTCTAAAGTGTAGTGACTGAATTTAGCAGGCAAATGCGTGCAATGAAAACTAACAGGCTTCTAATTCAAAAGTGAATCTGCAGGTTTGTGTTTTCTGAGCTGCTTGAATATTAATCGAACACATTCCTCTTTTCACACGACTATTTGAGGCTATCCAAATGGAATCAATACAATACAAAATTACATTTGTAAAGCGCCTTTCATGTCGGGAGGTCGTCCCAGGGCGCTGAGCTATCAGGGATTAAGATCCGAGAGTGGGGGTGGTTGGGATCAGGGAAGGTAGGAATCAATGGATATTAGCATTTTTGGTGGCATCGGTTTTTGTAAATTTGGCACATCAAGATTTTGCAAGAGGGACAATTTGACTGCCAGATGTTTAGCATCTTCCTGGCAAAAAATGGCCACAATTACTGCTTGAGGAGCAACAATGCAAATCAAGTAATGGCATAAATTACCACTAACCATTATATTAGTACAGCATCAATAACCAGTTCGTAATTTAACAAGTTATTAGATTATCTCTATGAAAGCTCAAGTTGTAACTAAATAGTCTAAAAGTAGCCATTTTCAGATCACTAAATGATTAATGTATTATTAACTGACTGAACAATAAAACAATAAAAGGTTATTTTCAAATCTTTGTTTTGTAAAATAAACACTTCAACTACATCCTAATGAGTGATGTAAATCTTCATAATAAACAAACCTTCTACTTTATTAAACTTCAAGTCATTTATTTTCCCAATATATATGCCTCAGATAGTGCAGTATAGAATACTATTCTGTGACACCTAATTCATGTAAGGTTTTTCTTAATATCCTTGAGGCTTACTTTCTACTATTATTCACCTAATCCCCCTTAATGCACTGAAAGGGAATGCACTTCACTCCAAGTTCCGTTTGCAGATTTGCCTTGAATAGTTAATGAGGCTTCTTCGTATTACTGCTCCTGAGGCTCTGACAAGATCAGTGCCTAACTGACAGGTACCTCATTGGTATGTATGAAATAATTTCTGAATGGAGAAAAGCTACACATTTTTTATGCTGCAGTAACAATTTGTTACATTTCCATGTCTTGGTCTGAGGAATACCTAAGGGAGAATAAAAGGAGACAGTAATGGTGCATAATCAGATGTAATAAATTGAGTCAGGCAGGTTGGGGTCCAATTAGTTCCTATCTAGATATTCCTCAGTACTTGGTATAGTGAAGCTAAAGGGTACAAGCTATTTATAAGGCAGACAGAACTGTAGGTTGCTAAAGCTAATGAGAAATATTACAGTATCAGTGCCATATAAAAAATGGGAACTTATGTGAACCTTTCATGAAAGATAACCTTGCTGTGACCCTGACATTTCAGTTTACTGATGTTATATTTCAAGATTGATGGCGGAAAAAAATTCCAAATAATTGAGATTGAGATGAAGGGGAGGGAAAAGAGAAGCCTGGGATCCAAAAGTTTACATCACATTAGGATTATATCAAACCTTGCCATAATAATTTAGGGAGATCAACGCAGGAGAAGGTCAAGGCCAAGTATTCCGTGTGTAGGCATTATACTAACAGATGCCTGGAATGCCATGAATAAACATTATATTAACAGAGTTTAGCATTTTATTGATACAGCAAACAGTACAAGCTACTTTACAAAGCCAAATCTTTCAAGCCATAGAAAAAATAGTTCACCGACCATTTACGTCTCAGGGAAATGCATGCACATTGGCCTGATATATTTTCTGCAGGTTCATCCCAGTTCATAATGAATACAGCTTCACTATAATGCAAAATGGGACCACAATCTAGCATTCAACTCAGAAGGATGTCAAAACGCTCACAGTGTGCAGCGAGAAGCATTCCCCTGAGCTGGGCTCAAGCACACAGTTGTGGCAGAATGAAACATGCTTCAGTCTACAACACCTGACTTTGAGAGTCTGACAACACTGAGGAACAAAAGCAGGAACGTGTTCTATTACCCCCTAACTGTGACAATCTTTGCTTTGATACATGTAATATCTTCGTACACACACGTAAAGGGCATTGAAGTACAAATAATGAATTATTTTCATTTCATTTCTGCTACACTGGGTCATAGAATGCCAAATACATGGCAAGCTCAGAATTTGGGAGTCTCTCTATTCTTAAAGAATCATATATCAGTCATATCTCAAGAGTGTGATTTCTGCCTTGAAATATTATAGGTACTAAATAAAAGACCTTTTCTTCATTGCTAGAGGGAAATAAAAAAAGTAAAACAACTTAAACTGAAGTGGTCTGAATTGTGCATTCAAGTTAACTAAAAAGACACACATATTTTGGGCAATTTAAATTATTTAAGATTCATGTTGGGTGGATTCTTCACACTCAAATTGGCAAGAAATGTCCATTAATGCATTATTTTACCTATTTGTTACCTACAGTTCTATAGCATTAGTGTTAGGGGCAGGTAAGTAGCTGCTGCGTATATCTGAGTTACAACATGATTTGATTTCATTCTATTAATACAAAATAAATTGAAAAAGATACCCAATCTCGTCTTTCTGACTTTTGTCCACGTTCTCTGTGAACCTAATATTTTTAATGTCTGATTGAGAAAGTGAAGAAGGAAAAGAGGATCTAGATTTGGGAACTCGTAGACATGATGTAAGCATATGGTTTTATGGTGTCTAAGAGGATAATTAGGAAATATATTCAAGTTCTATTTGAATCTAAGGGAAGAATCATTCCAGTTTTCCTGTTGATGTATTGGTGTTTGTAAGAAATACATCCAGCTTTTATTGTTTATGAGTTGGGAGAATAAAAGGGCTCCAATTCCTTTATTGAATAGAATTTTTCTGCATTTCTTCCTTCATAGTTTCTGATTTGACTGAACTGCTGAAATTGAAATCTGTATGTGAAACTCAAATTAAACTGAGTGCTCTCGTCCCCAGTAAACATTTGCATAACCCATTTCCTCAAATTACAGTGTCTGTACATTACATCTTCTGAAATGTTTTCTATTTCAAAGTGTGTTTCCAACTTTTGTTAGCTAGTAATT